GGGGGGGGGGGGGGGGGGGGGCGAATCGATACTATTCCTGGGCCGCACTACGATGGGTGCTGCTGGCTTTCCAAGGAGTCAATGAATCAAGCGTGAAGAGGAAACAAAGAATCATGGTCAACCTATTGAAACATCAACCAGCATCCCAAACATGCAGTCAAGCTATCCATAAAAAACATTGGTCTGGTGTAACTCGGCAACTTCAACCTGCAGACTGTAGTTCAGCACTCCATGGGTCCCTTGGCCCTTGACCGGTGCAGGTACAGACGTTTCGTTTCAAGGATGTTCCTGGCTCTGGGGTGCCAAGCTCTCCGTATGTGTGGTAGATATAGATCTGTACTTACAGTACGGGTTTAAAAACATGCTCCTGGGCACCAATACCTGCCATTGCCAGCAAAGTTTGTGGTGAGGGGTTTTGAGGGTAAAGCAAGGGAGAGACGTGGAAAAACATTCAGGCTTGCAGTAGCAGCGTGGATGGGCAACGTTATCGTTTTCTCAATAGTATTTACTTTTTCTTCCTGCTTGCACCTTCGTATTGCTATGCTGCAAGGCAAAGACCATGACATGCATTGTATACGAGTGCAGTGCAGTCCATGTTCTATTGTCATGACGTGGTGGATGCAATGGGCGAATCTCCCTAGGTCTATTCGGGGGTACTGACTGGTCTGGTCAGGTCAGTAATAACCAGTCTGACCAGTTTGGCTACACCTATCGTATTGACTAGAGGCAATATTTTCATGCTATGACGTCGGGTCCAAGATGCTGGAAATAGAAACGGAAATGGGAATGGGAATATTCCTGAGGTGATGGAAGGAAGGCACGTGGCAGAGATCGGACTTGCACTTGATCAATGAAACATTCATCCAGGCCTCAGTAATTAGGTAGGTAGGCCCCTGCCTGTTGTATCAAAACTCCCCCTTGCTGCTGCATAACGTCAGACTAAGAAAATTATGTGTCCACCAAAGTCCACTTCTATCTCATCATCTGCATATCCCATCTCCGTGCAAATCATGATTTGCATCACCCGAAAGTGACATCAGCGCATGCCAGAGTCCCAGAATCCTCGTCTCGGCAGTGTAGTCCAGGCCAAGCCACACCAAGCAAGGACCATCTCAACTCTGGGTCCCTTGCCAGACCAGCGCCAGCCTCTCCCGTTGTGCTAACGTAGCTCAGCGCAATTACGGGGCCCGCGCAGTCAATCCTCCCTCAGTGCAGAAGCCAGTGACGTTGAGGTTGGTGGCTTCAGCTTCGGATCGCTTAACTCTCTCACAAGCTACAGCAACGAGTCCCTTCTTCCACCCATCGATCGGAGTCTTTTCCCTACTTCTCTACAACCTAGTAGTAATTATGCTACTGTGGTACGTCTCGGTCCCAAGGTTCCATCTCGTGCCAAGTGGAGGGAAAGCGGGCTTCATGTTACCCAATGACCCTTCAGCCTCCCCTCGCGGCGCAACAGCTGCTGCCCCGTCCCCTGCGACCGAGGCCCCTATGCCGTCCAGGCCTTGTGAGACCCACGCCCCAAGCTGCCCGCTGTCATCCTCCCAAGTCGCAACGAGGTCTCCACTTCACCATTGCTGCAGCTGGTGTTGTGTTCAGGCCGTTCCCCGTCACAATTACCTAGGTACCTACCTATCGAGCATCGACTCCCGCTAGCTATTTAGCTTTCCCCGAGCTCCAGCCATAGGGGACCAATAGCTGGCCATCGTTGACCATTTCGTCGGGAGCCCTCCCAAGCTACTGGGAGCCTCGCAAATTTGTGAAGAAGAAAAAAGTCACCGAGACGACTAGAGACTTCTCTCTTCGTCATCACCGTGGGACAACTCTCGATAATGCCCACTTGGTTGGTTATGTAGGCAGTGCTCCCCTCAGTCCCGCCTCCAGTTTGTCAGAGGCTTTGACGTCGTCACTGTATTGACATCTACGATGGAAACCCATTGGACCCGAGACATTCAGGAACGTTGCGCAACTTGTACATACAGCAAGTGGACACCGGACCCGAATAGCTTAACCGGATGCCACCCCTGTACCAGAATTGACTGGGACCGCCCTTCAATTATCATTGAGTGGCACGCATTGTTCTACAAAGCCATCTGGTGTTTACCGGTCACCATCTTCCGCGCCTGTATGTTTACTGCACGTTTTCAGGGACAGGGGCGGCTTATAAAAGTCCTCTTGAAGAGCTAAAGTTGGCCTTTAGCCAACCATGTTCTCGAGCTGGCCATAGCCAGAAAGCCTCTCCGTACCGATCCTAGCTGGAGGCATCCATTGTCTCCCTTCGGGATTTTATGGCGATAGCTTTGCTAATTATTCACCTGATTGATGTCTATAGGCAATTGGCAGTACTGAAAGGTAACTAACTGGCTGTCCATGTTCATTCCTTGGTTAGTGCCCTTGAGGCGCTGGATTGCCCCCGGCTTTTCGCCTTCAGCCCCGTCCTAAGCTAGGAGGTATCTGAATCTCGCCAGTTGCCTCGTGGTTTATCTTCTGTCCAGTCGCTTTCATCTGTCGTGTTTTGCTTCACAAGCTTATCCCTGTACCTAGCGGCCATAATCTGCCGATGGCACATTGACCCATCAACCTTCTTCGTTTCTCTTAGTCCCTGCTACGACTTTGCACCTACTCTCTTCATTGACGAATGCTTCCCCCTCCCTCCTTGGCATGTTTTTATAAGTGCCCCCCTTGGCAGATTTTTTGCTTTTGCCTTGTTCCTTCGGATTTTCACAGCCGTTTCGGGTAGCTACTTACTGCCGCTGTCATAATCGCTGCACTCTCTTCTCTCATCTCTTCGTCTCAGACGTGCTACATCCCTGTCACTGGTATATTATAAGTGTCGTTGTTGGCTCCCCAGGTCTTGCTTGGTTGCAATCGCTGCAAGTTGCGCTTCCAACATCAATCAGACACCTCTCCAACATCGGACAAACAAACCAAATACGCAAACAAATACACAAACAAATACACAAACAGCAGATAACTGATCGATACTGCGACGACCGCCATCGCTATCGAATCGGCTGATAACTCTTTTTTAAGGGTCATCTTAGATTCGTCCCAGCCTAGGTCCAGCCGAGTCCAGCCCGATCCAGTCTGGCCCCGGACCTTGACGATCTTGCTTTCGGTTCACGCCAGTTCTAGAACGCCAAACCAACTTGACAACCATCACATTACGCACCACCTTTTTTTTTGGCATTTTGGTTCTTGGTATGTCGAGGCTTTAAACCAGCCAAAAACAAAATCACCGTTTTCCCCCGGCCATTTCTCTGCAAATCCTGGTTCCTACCACTTCAAATCAGAAAAAGAAGAAACAAAGAGAGCCACTGTCCTCTAAACAATTCCCTCCAGTCTTGCGTGCCCTTGGTGGCTTTGCCATCTCTGTTTACCGACCTCATTCTCTCCGCTTCCCCAAGGCAAAAGCTCGAGCTAGCCGCCACGGCGCATCCCAAACTCCTGGTCCTGGGAACAAACGCGGAAACTCAATTTCAGGCATCATAAACCCTGGGCATCTTTATTCGGTTCTAGTCTGCTCCCGCTGACTGACTCTGTCTCCCCTCTTGAGCCTTTTTATCCCCTCCCCAGAATCGATTTCCCACCATTATTTTTGAGCTTGACTCAACATCTCGGTTCTGGCCGTGTGGCATCGGCTGTGCTGGTCTGCTGGTCCCTCAAAGTATTGCACCACACCATTGAACGTTCATCAGTCGACTTCGAGGGCTTATCACTAAAAAGCGTTTATTATAGCTGCAACGGCACAGCTTGTTTCAACATCTAGTGGCAGGTTCCTCTCTCTTACCACAATTGTTCTCTCAGCAGTTCCTCTCCTCGCGAACCCCACGACCAACAACAAACAGCAAGGCTCATTAGTGCCATATCCTGCCCTCGCTCGGACATCGCTTCGCAGGCGCCCAGTCTCACCATCACCAAACAGAAACGAATTTTCTTGTCGCTAGTTTGATATACAGTATCTCAGAACCTGTATAATAGTCAACATTCGCTTCACCGGTACGCGTTTGTTCGTCACGTATCCTCTTCTCCCTCTCGTTTCTTTTTGCCGCCAATATGCCGCGACATTATCACTACCAGCCGAGGTATGGCCAATTAATCCTTGACGCTTCATGAAGCTTATTGCTAACTCCCCTAGTCGCGAACTCCATGTGGTAGTCCTAGGAGCAGGTTCGTTGACGTCCAGCATTCATCTAATTATTATTTCCTTCTTCTTCGCTTTATCTCTTGCTTCTTCGAATACGTTTTGTCTGACTCGCTCCTCTCTTTGCAGGTGGCGTGGGTAAAAGTTGTCTGACTGGTAAGTTGCCCTTGTCTCATTCTCTTGTCCCCATGTTCTCTATGTTGCTGTGCCTGCGCCCACCGTCGCATCCACAATCCTACTACCTTCCCTGTCTACCCCTTTGTAGTTCAAGGCTTACGCGAAAACAGCCCAGTTCGTTCACAATGAGTGGATTGAGAGTTATGATCCCACCATTGAGGATTCTTATCGTACTCAGCTCCAGGTTGATGTAAGTACTGCATACGGCACAAATGCCGCTTCTCGACTCTCCGACTGACTCGTTCGGCCTAGGGACGTCAAGTTATTCTAGAAATGTGAGTACCATGTCTCGACTATCTTACCTATCAGTCCAAATTTGGAGAAGAGCTGTGACTGACTCAGTATTTTAGCCTCGATACTGCGGGGACCGAGCAGTTCGGTAGGTCCTCTATTGCTCAACAACATTTGCACCATGACCTTCATACTGATAATGATGGCACAGTCGCTATGAGAGATCTCTACATGAAAACCGGTCAAGGGTTCATCTTAGTATTCAGCATTACGTCGTCGTCCTCGTTGAGCGAACTGGCGGGTTTGCGCGAAGAAATCATCCGAATAAAAGACGACGAACACGTTCCACTCGTCATTGTTGGCAACAAGGCCGACCTCGAGGAGAACCGTGCTGTGGCCCGAGCCAAGGGCTTCTCCATTTCACAACGATGGGGCGCACCCTACTATGAGGCTAGCGCAAGGACGAGGAGTGAGTTTGTCCGCGCGCCCGCAGCTTTTGTGCATGGGCTTTCGCCGCATTGGGACTAACAGACTCCAGCGAATGTTGATGAGGTCTTTATCGATCTCTGTAGGCAAATGTTACGCAAAGAGGACGAACAAAACGCGAATGACGGCCCCAATGACGATTACAAATATGACAACGGTCGAAGTTCCCATAGACGCCAACGCCGCCGCCGGAAGAAGGATTCACCACGATGTGTTATACTCTAAAGCTGCCAACTTTGGTTCCTAGATTGATGACCACTGGTTGGCATCCGCGCATTGGGATCTTTCATTTCTTGACCCTGACCTTTTAGGACTTCGCCATTTTTTATTCTTTTTAAAGTCTTTCAGACTACCCGATATGTATTACATGGATTACGACGCTTGAAGGAATTGACCAAGGGAATGTACGGAAGTAAGGAGTACGCAGTCGGCCTCGTGGTCTGATGAAACGAAACGATAGTTCGGAAGCACGATTGGCCCACGGACGAAGCGGTAGACTTGGAGCACATGTTTGAAACGACACCGAAGCGAATAGAGGGCACGGCGCATTATATCACATCCGACACATCGCATGCCTGGATCAAGCGACGGGTGTTGGAAAGGTCGACAAGAGCTCATTTTATGTACACATTACGGCGTCGGTGGAGTTGGAAATTTGACCTGGGACAAGGTCTGCTGCACTTGTTTATTGTCTCCGATTTAGCATGGATATTTATTGAAACTCGATCAAGACGAGTTGTATCAACTGGAGGGATTGGGCACCGAAAGAGACCGAAAGAGAGTGTATGTATCAGGCAGGATATAGCCGAAAATCGGAGAGGTAGTGAGTTCGATGCCGGTCATGCTAGACGCGTATACATATCCGCGGATACCAACTATTGATGGTGGTTTTACGCCATCAATGCATATACACGTTCATGGCCACATTATCGTACTTACCTTTATGTCTATGGACTTCGGTTGACTCCAATCTTACTCAAGACGAAGTAGTTCTTTGTGAATCTCATCAGACCTACTATCATCTTGTCGAAAGGAACTCGAAAGACTTCATGACGACCAGTCCATAGAATAATCTCGAACTTCATATAGCTTGTCACATTCAGAGTCACACTTTTCTTACTTCTACTCAGATCTTAGGTGCGCGTATTTTGTGTCATTGTTCCACTATATACATACATTCTTCATGGTAGCTGGGACCAACTCGTTTCCTATGTACCTCACCCAGCCCTTGCTCGCTATGCCAATTCCCATGATATGATCCTAATCTAAAATCGTGATCTGAATGAGAATGCGATGTCTGCTATCGCCCGGCCATATACCAATGAATTAGCCAACGGGAGTTCTGTCTCCCAACGTTTCCCAGAAACTTTCTCTCACGAGAACCACATGTTGGGTTTATTTTCAATGCTCACCTGCCGTTTACTTTCGACGGAGCATGCTCCAAATGTCAGTGACGATACCAAACCATCCCTTGACTCGTTCAGCGGCGTTCAGCAGCAGAATGTAGCGCTTGACAAATGCATCGACGTTGTCGTAATCTCCAGCATAGCATTCCCACACAGCTCGACCCTGTCCATTGTTCTCACGCTCCTGGACAGCCATGAGGTCGTCCTCATCCTCAACACCATGGACACCAGCGGACTTGAGCTTGGGGCCGATACAGAGCGCACGGCCAGCAATGTCTTCGTCGGCAATGAGGCGTGTAGCAGCGTCGATGACATCCTCAATCGTGGCTCCACCTGCGGTGCCAGAGAGGAAAGCTGCTTCAACTGGGAGCTTGAGCATGTTGGACTTGGAGACGTAATAGGGCGTGATCATGTTGACGCGGACGCCGTTGCGGAAAGCCGTAGAGCGAAGAGTGCGGAAGAGGCCTAGGATGGCATGCTTGCTCATTGTATACATGGTCTGGGTAGGGAAGGGGCAGAGTGATGCGAGTGAACCGACCAGGAGAAGGCAGCGATCACGAGGAGAAGATCCACTCTGAGGCAGCCAGTAGAGGGCGAGATGAGTGGTGTAAGTAGCACCGGTGATGTTGACATCAAACTGTTTCGTGTTGGGCTTGGGCAAACGGCCATTCTTCAGAACAGGCTCCTCGAACTGGATAGAAGCGTCAGGGAGGATGATGCCCGCGTTGGGAACAACAATGTCGATACCGCCATGAGGACTGACATTGACAGCCATCTCAAACAGACTGACCTGTGAGTCCCAATCGGTGACATCACAGTGCTGGAATGCAAAAGCCGAGTCTGGATACTGAGCTGTAAGTGAAGCGACCAGCTGCTCGCCTGCTGTATCATCAACATCGCCAACGATGATGTTGGCCCCGTGGGAAGCCCATTCTCGGACCATGAAAGATCCGAGACCATTGGCACCGCCAGTGATGACAATCGTCTTGCCTTTGAGGGTAGAAGCGTCGTAGGGCTTACTTACATCCACAGGCGGTGACTGGCGGATAAGACCCTTGATGTCGTTTGAGGGCTCCATTTTGAGATGGATGGATACTGATGGGGTAATAATGGCAACGTATTGTAGTAGTGATGAGATGATGGATGTGATCCCTCGGTAGCTGGAAATAATGTCCAACAATAGAAGAGAATAGATAGAGCGAAACAAGTTGCGTATGAGTATCGAATACGATTTGCTGATCTGTCGAATCGGATTGGACTGTAGACTATTATACAGCCGTTTGACCAAAAATAATCTTCCGAGTGGAGTCGAGTCTGCAGAGATCTGTTTAGGGCCCGATAAATTAGCTTGAGCTTGGTATGGTGGGGGATATATCCACTCAAAATGTTGGTGATGATTGTTAAGGTGTTTGCGATGTGTTGCGTTGCGTTACGTATCAAGATGATGAGTTGATAAGAGCAAGAAGCTATGATAGTAGATAGAAGAAAAGAAATCCTGATGAGTTGAGACAAGTTGAAGAATTTATACTCGCAGCACCCCTGTTCTTCTCTGCATTCGCTGCTGTATGTTCATGGCAGCGGCAGGCACTGCCCGTAAGAACAAACTACTGATGGGATGCGCAAACGTCAAGTTCAGTCAAGACGTATCATACCGACTGTCACACATGGGATGGTTTGTGCTTGATCACGTTCGAGTTCTGTGCAGTTGTTCAGAGAATGATTCTTCTGTCATATCTCGCCTTAAGAACACCACCAGCACATCGTGTCAGAGTTATCGTTGACGCTCGTTGTCCCTTTTGAACGCAACTTTCCAGTACAATCATAATAAGGACAATCAGTCATTAATTCATGTTGTTCTTGTACCAAGCCAAGCCAGGTTGACGTTGAGTTCGCATGTTGCTTGTCCAATTGGATTCAGTTTCTCAACTACCTATCAAGTATCACGTCAAAAGCGTGACTTTGATATAGTCAATTATATCTTGGCATGGTTGATATGACCTTCTCGGTCTCATTTAGCCATATAAACATCCGGTATGGATGCCATCCAGTGTCAGAGATCAGGCAAAGTGTCCTAGGTCAGGCAGGCAAGTGGCGGTCTTGCGCAAATTCCTGCTGGCCATCAGTAAGACGTCAACGTCTATTTCCAAGTCTACAGAATGCAATCGATGATAGGTATGTAACCCAGGCTCCCTTATCTAGATATTCGCATTTCGAGGCTGCGGAAGCAATCCCCAAAGGCATGCGCACTATTGTTCGTAATCTATAAAGACTCATGGAACATCGGATCTTGGTTCCTCAACAGCCAGCTAAGAAACGGACAGGACAAGAGTCTAACTCCAGAAGGGCTGATACCCATGTCGCTGCTCATGCTCACTTGAAACCAAGGGTCCAGAGGTTCCTCCTCTCCCTTGGTGTGTTATTGAGAGTAGTTGTCTCGGTGCCTCAAAAGTCTAGCAAGGGTTGAGCAAACTTATCCACCCAACAGCTCGTTGCAAAGGGAGGAAACGAGTCACATGAAAGGAAAAGGTTGGGGCAGGACGTCGATCATTTCATCTAGAATTGATCAAGTCCGAGCTTGTTTCGCATGGTTCGACTCCCATTATTGCAGCAGATTCCTGTCCCGGATTCAGTTGTAGCTCAGTACCGTACAGTATATCGTAGGTTTATCCTTGCAGCACTTGCACCAACCAGACGCTTGGTGATCCAACGATGATGCCCGGGATGTGACGGACTCTCGAGGTTTCAGCGTCCAACAGGCTGGGATGCCGGGCCCTGTCTTTGCAGGCTGTGGGCCTTGACTGTTCGTGACCTTGGGCTACGTACATGCTGTACTGTAGTCTACGGCGCAAGATCCGCACTGAATTTGGCGTTGAATGCCACGCTAGGAGACCCTTGCAACGTCGGGCATGGCAGGGGTTGGCTAGCTTTTTTCTAGGGCGATCGACGCCAATCAATTAATTACTACCTAAGTGTCCGTACAGGGACAGCTTCTCTGTAAGTGAGAAACAGGTTTAATTATCCTCATCCTTTCCTTGCTAATGATCCTACACCTGTGAGACATGGTATCATTCGTACCAAGACCCAGCGAGTGAGCTATATTCAAGCAGAAAGGGAAAATGCTGTCCAATTCTAGCTGAGGACTTTAAAGTCAACATTCTGACCCTGCTGTCGCATCTAACCCCAACCTGGGACTCACGTGGTGCCCGTTAGTCCACGAGTTGTTCTGCATAAGCAGCCGACGAAACAGCCCGAGATGATCATGCAGACGTGCGCGACTGGACCTAACTGACATAATGGCGCCTTCAAGCGAGGTCAACGGTTTGTGGTGGAGAGATCAGCGTTCGCCGTTCAGTACTGTACTGTGCAGTTACGTTAGTATGTATTCTAGTTAGTGCTGGTTTATAGAATGAAACGGGCGTTGGCGCATTGGAGTTGCGCTTGTTGCTCCGCATGCCATCTATCGAGTTATCCATTTGCAATTCATTCTTCCAACGATTTATCAAAAGTAATCATCAGTCATCTACCTTGCAATGCAACAGACACTTGTTTATTCTGTACTGAGTTGCCAAACTGTGAGCAATAGAGTACGCACGGCCAGGAGGGTCTCATCGCGTAGGGGTGCGATATCCTGATGTTCTGAAGGTGCAAACTGGTCAAGCCTAAGCGGAGTCATTGATTAACAACTAAAATTGAGTTGATGGGCGACCATGTACCCTAGGGTCGTTTATCCGGCAGCGCGGAACGCCAGCATTAGATCCTTGATGTCCGACCAATGCTTTGGTGACAGACTTGTACACTTCTCATACTGGAGTGTCAACCTATTCCGCATTGCTAAGTTTGTCCTGACCGGCAGACAGATAATCGAAGACTGTGCCAGCTTTCGTCGCCAAGACGAGTGTGAGAGAGCTCACCATGGTAGGGACATAGAACCTTCTCCAGTCGACATCTCAGCGGCGCTGTTGTTGATTTCGCTATAAGCAAACCTAGTTCTCACAGCATCAGTGTACAAGCGCAGCGTATAGCTGACAATATTTTTAGGATCTCTCTGAGAGGCATACCATATAACATAGGATGACGAGGAATTGACGGAATTCTGCGTTGTTTTCTCCACAACGTCTGGATGTAAACGTGAACAAGTCAGCCAATGCCTCCGCCTATATCACAATGACCAGGTAAGAAGTAGGAAGGCAATCCAAGATGTGGTATGGACCTGTTGAACTGTTACAGCCTCAAGCAGGGAGCTCACCGATAAGTCCTCCGAACATCTGGATACGGGCTGCGGAACAATATCATAGTGACCAACGACTATATTCATAAACGAAACTAGTCTCAACTGTGCTCTGCGTTTGTATTGCAGTATTGTCAGTTGCGCATTGATAAATCCTCTCGTTTTTCCCAGATGTTTGTGTACCAGTAGGCCACAGGGATCTCTATCACATTAGCATATTTGTAGTCCGCGATGTTTTTCCTAGTTCTGTCTGCCAGAAAACTATACTTTCTAAGATGCATTTCGCCATCCAGTATACCCGTGGTGGTGAACCGATTGCTTGAACCTATTGATGCAAACGGACGTTTCGATCGATCTGAATACCCAGTGACCTGGAGAGGAAGGTATTTGATCATTTGTGAATCCATGGGCACTCGGACGGGACTTCGATAGCATGCCTTGCGGGATACTTTGTCGCCTTGGTCAAATTCGTTCATCTTCATCACTTTGAAGGCCAATACAGTTGTCAATCATTGCATCAAATAATAGGCTCATAGGCTTAACTGGTGTAGAGTCCAATCGATCAGCTGTGACACTCAGCTGTGTATTGTTCTGCACAAGCATCGGAACAGATAACAAATTCCGGAGGCATAGGGACCCGAGGTCTGTGGTCACTTTGTCCTTTGTCCGAGGATAATCTTGATTGATGATAACGCAAGAAATCTTGTGCAAAACCACTATGTTAGAAGTCCTGGACTTGGCGGTTGCCTTCTCGTCCAGAGTAAGATGACACACAACGCAGCTTGCAGTCACTGGGCGACAAGACAAACAACTGATTGACAGGGCCACCAGGGGAAAAGTAGGGAGGTGGTGGCCTGGTTACCCCTGTCAATAGGTTGCATGACTGGCTCACCGGCTGTGTACCCCTCCCGCCCGCGGCCACAGCCCCGGGTGGTTTAGCATATCTTGGTGAGAGCTCGACAAGGAAATGCTGCACAATCCGATGTTCTCGTCGTCGAGAGGGCGGGCACCCAAAATCTATGGAGGTTTCAAACGTGGCTCCTGTCGAGGCAATACGCCCCCGAAGGTAGGGCACATCGGACGGCGATTGTTCGTGTGCTGATTGCTTGACAGACCGACATATCGGTCGGTCAGAGCTTCTAGGTTTCACATCATCAGATGCAAGCTTTTCTGGTACGGAGTAGCAAGCAGTGTTTCTCACTACATGTTGTGTCGCCATGTTCTTACCACAAGACTCTCGGACAAGAATCAGCTTGGGTTTGCACCACAAGGTTACAGACCCATTTGACTTGCAGGTTGGTTAAGCCATTTCAAGTCGGGCTCGCAGGTAGTGCTACTGTGGCTGATGTACTGCGTTTCGATGCACCGTGCATATGCCCTATTGTAAGGCAAGCAGAAGGAAATGAAGCGCAGGTTGAAGCTTGGAGTTCGTGTGACAGCGACGATGACGATGACGACAAGAGGATGGAAGAAATCCTCTTGACCCTGATGATCTGTCTGCCGTTGCGGTGCGGGCAGGGTTGAATTAAAGTCCAGATTCACACCAGGCCTGGACTTGGACCTGGACCCTTGAGTTTCAAGTTGCGCGCAACCGCGTCACCACCCGCGTTCGAGGACGGGAAGGAGCATCTACTGTACTGTACCTTGTACTTGCCTGATTCTGGGAAAGAAAATCTCGTCAGAGTATAGGTACCTAGGTGAGTAGGTAAAAAATAATCCATGACTTTACCCGGCAGACTCATATATATCTACTGTCTCTAATATTTATTCATCAATTTCCCTCGTTTTATCTGTATTTTTAGGTAGGTCATTTATTTATACGGCAAGGAGGTTGCCCACATGCAACAATTGGTTACATGCCCAAGCACCCACTACAGTAGGTACATAGGTATAGGTACACATAGGTACAAGTGGGCAACAGAACAATTGTCCTCTAAGATTTAGGGCGTAAAAATAGAGTAGTCTAAGTGATTTGATAAACTCGCATAAGTTGACCAAATTATTTCGTTTTCTATGTTTCTATAGGCCGATCTTTCTGATACCCGAAAGGTAGGTACGTGAACAGATACAGGAAATCACGGGCTCGTCCAAGTTAAAGTGCTGCCCCACTGTAGATTGCAGCCCGTGGAGACAGGTCAAATCTTGGTCCGCCAGCTGGGGAGACAAGACGACGGGCATGGATCCGATGGGGAAGGGGCAGCGCGGGCAGACTCTGTTGTAGGCTGTAGGCTGCTTCCCCAGTTTGGCTTCTGCGACAAACAGCCGGGCGAGTTTCGATCTCAGCAATCTTTTCTGATCTCAGATCTTCCGACTTGATGCTTGGATTACCCCAAGATTCAAATTGTCATTGGACAATTTATCTTTGACAAGTCAAGTTGACCCTGCAACGCAACGCCATGAGAAGTGACGAGTGTGCCTGGACCACTGAGATGATGCTGATGGGACAGTACTGTACACTTTGTTGGGATGGAAATGGCTTCAATGGCCTTCTTTCTATCTTGTGCTTTGTTTGAAATTTTACAAGGCTGGGCTGGGCAGAGTAAGCCATCTGTTCCTAGCATTACATCACCTGCCCCTCGCCTGTGATTTGTATCGCTTCTCTGGTTCGTCTCTGGATGCTGCACCAGTGCACTTCCCCTCTCCTCTCCCCCCTCCAAGTTGTTTAGTGTCTAATTTCTAGTCGGCATTTTGCTTCTTTAATGCTGGTTGTTGATTGTTTAGTGTCCGTCTTGATCTTTAGCGTCTACCGTCTTCACCTCTCAAGAGGTCATCTTGTCATCTTGCTCCCCAGACAAGACAGGGTCGAGGCGCGCTACCTCTAGTAGGTACTAAGTCTGGTGCTTGGAGCCCCGAGCAAGGTCCATTGTAGCTACGAGGAAAAGGAAAGCGGGACTTGCTTTTGTTTTAACTTTACACCACTCCATGCGATCGACCTCCGATTGGCACGATAGCCTTAGACGACCTTGACGCCAAAATTGCGCCCACCCCCTATAGAGTACAGACCAGTTTCCACTCCACCCATAAGCCGCTTTGCGCGCTCCCCTCGCGTTGCGTTGCTTGCCCTCGCTCTTTAGTCTATCTACTGGATTATCCAACACAACTCGAGAGGGGAAGGTTCACCAAGAAAGTAATTGCTTCTTTGCATTTCAGACAGACTTGGTTGGGCTGGGTCAGACGAGACATTCGAATGATACGCTACGCTACGTGTTCAAATTGTGTCGAAAGCTTTATGGGAATTAAGCCGAGCAGACGGGACAACAGCTGGTTGTTGTCTGCGCTTCCGTTCAACCAAACTTTGTTTCCCCTTCGGCCATGTACTGTAGTATTTATTTAGTAGCAGTAGCAATAGCAGTAGCCAAGAGTACAAACACATCCCACAACACATGCTCTGTCCAGATATCCTCTTACATATCTGCAACATTACGATCCCTCATTGCATATCATTGACTAACCGTCTGGACCCTGACCATATCGACTAGACTAGGTAGAGGCTAACTTGACATTTCAGGCACCTACTACAGCATCAATCAAGGCTGAAACAAACACGCTGGCCATCATATATGCATCGCCTTATGTGTTGACTAGCATTGTGCTATCGGGATATCTGCGCTTTTTCATCCCAAGCCTGCCAAGGCTATCTTCTACTGCTTCTCAAGACTCAAGGTAGCCAAGGTAGTCAGTAATTAATTAATCGCTTTCTATCGACCAAGGACAAGCACTGATCAACAATAGCATCCTCGAAGCCCGACGAGAGCCCTTGAAAGCCACTTTACTTGGTAGTCTCATCCCGGTAAACTCCACCATTCCATGTTGGTACAAGCTTCCCTGAGCCCCTTGATCCCCGGACTGATCCCCCGGAGACGGCATTCGCTAGCAACAAGCCCGTATCCATCGAACACAGACGAAACGTATTCAGAGTCCCAGGAACAACAGGGACAGGCCTAACTTACTCGATCCAAGAACTTGGAAGCAACCCAAGATCCGAACGGAATCGATCCTCAGCGCATGGACCGAGCGCCAAACAGAGCCCGGAGAGCTGAGAGTGAATATCCGTACAATACTACCTTACTCTCTTCTCGGTCTACCTTACAGCTTACAATACCTTAGGTACGCAGGCACTACCTGGTTCTAGGCACCGCCCGGGACGTGCGACGTTGATACCAAACCTCTTACGCCCGTGCCGCACTGGCAATTCTCGCGCGGCCGTTATTCTGTTTCCCCTCGCTGCCACCCTCTAAGTTCTTACCTACCTACACATCTGGATCCATCTCAGAGGTAAGAAAGAACAAACCTGTGAGCCCGTTACTCTAGTTGCCGGCTTACCTATCTTTATCACACACACACTCTCTATCTCTCTCTTCTCTTCTCTTACTCACCCTCCTCCCTTCTCCACACCATCTTATTTCGTTTCATTTCATTTCCCCGTTCCCCTTGTCCATTCCCATCATCATTAATTTTCCACCCTCTTTCTAAATAACAGGAGCCGGGCATCCACACACACTTGTTCGCAGACTTTCTGGTATAGCACAAGCACACACGGGCAAGGTTGGCTTTTCTTGCCGCGCTCTGCAGGTCGGATCCCCAGAGCAAGCTAGAATAAGTAATTCCTGGTATCACTATCACTATCGCCGTTAGGTACTGGTACTTAACGCCTGGATTCAAGGGGTTTCCGCCTGTCCCCGTCATTTCATTGTTGCCGCCCACCAATCCTGCTCTACTCACACTCTTTGTCCACTCTCCATTCCCATCTCCCCTCTTACACAAGGCGTTTAATGCTCCCTCGTTTGATTCAGGTACCAGGTTAGAATCCCACCTTCTCTCCCCCCTCAGCGCATCTCTGTCACATACCAGCCGTTCTGGCCTCCAGAACACCCATACCTTCCATGCAGCCCCAAATCTACCAAGCATTGCCAATCCCTCCCACCCTCTTCTCGTAATAGACACTACCACTGCCGCTACCGTTTTTACCCTACCTAGCGAGGTTCTGCTGCTGGCGTGCGCATGGAGAGTTGCTGGTGCCCCCTACATTAACTACAACGGCCCCCCTCCATCCATCCGACATTGCAACTTGCACCACACCTTCTCACTGCGACAAGCTGTCGCACTCTTTTTCACGTCATTTCCACGGCGCATCTTGCTCATTTTCCCTACTAACACCGCATCGCATACATAGGGACTACTTCTTCCTGTACTCAATACAGTGATACGCGCACCAAGTTGCTCAAAGCTTGTCCATCCTCCGAGTCTATCGCCTGACATTACTACTGCGCTATTGTTTATCTCGACCTTCGCTTTGTCGTGTACGGCCGTCGGACCTAATTACGCCCAATCGCTATCCGTCCCGAAACCTCGACATTTTCGCTCATCGTTTGCATCTCAGGTCCCAACAGCGCGACTCGTCGTTGACTTTGTGATTACGACCGCGACCGCGCTTCTCATCGCGACGACTGGATCACGGCAATCTCTCTAAAGTACTGAGCCTTGGCGATCGTCGCATTTGCCTGACTTCAGATCGCATCGCTGTAGCGAATCAAGTCTTATTCCGACATATGCAAGGAGGCAGCAGGCGATGAAAGCTTTTGGAAGCGCACCAACACCCGACCCAACAAGGATCGTATCTCCAATTGTCGAACCTCCCAATCGCGCGAGCCCCTCTCCACCATTTACCGCTTCAACAAGTACTGAAGCTACGAATACAGCCCCATCCTTTGCTGCAAGTTCGGCATCGTCTGTCGCGACACTGTCAGCTATGGCCATGTCCGGCTATCTTCAGGCTGGTCATGCCTTTCGGCCAACCAAAGCATCGCCATCGCCATACAATCCAAACATGCACGAAACCCCTAGATATGGAATGGGCGCATTTTCAGGCTCTGCGTCGCCCACAATATGGGTCAAGATCCGACGCCTGCCGCTCAACACTACAGAGGAGTCGTTGAGACTCATGACCATGTTCACACACGAACAAATAGCTGAGGTAGAACTGCTCCCTATGGAACAATCAGAAGATAGCGGGTTTCTCTCGGCTAACCTGCGATTCCGAACCATGGTTGGAGCACAACATGCCAAGACGACATTAGATGGGCTTTTGAACGCCACCAAGGAGGCCAACATGGTGGTCGAGATCAAGTCTGATGACTCACCTCTCACGCAGCGATACTCTACAGATCCTTTGTCAGCGAACAACTCAGGTTCGCCGGCTTCAGCTGCGTCAGCATCATCTACAATTGGGCCTGGCCAGGTTCCAAGATTCAATAACAGCGGTTTCCATTCACTCGAGAACATTTCCCCCCAGACCAACAACGCTTATCCAGGCCACGAACTCCCCAAGCCAAACTCAGCCGTTGATTTCAAGAACATGTTCTCCCCGCAATCTCCTATCGGCAACCACCTGACCGAGCGTGGTAGGATGAGTGGCAAGGACCTTATTGCCCACGATTCTGCAGACGACGACGAAACGAACAATCTTTTGAAGAACCCTCTTGCGTATGCCGAGATCAGCAACGCACCCTCTCAGCGCAGAGCAACAGCACCCCAGATCCCTATCAGCAGCATGGCTGCCCTCTCGCTGAACACCAGCGCTATGCCGCCCCCGGGGCCCTCTTCCTTGCCTCCATTCAACAACGTCATGTCGGCTCAGTCCGGACCCATGTCGCCTGTGGATAAGGGCGGTTTCAATGGCTACCCAGTAGCTTTTGGCCGACAAGCCTTCCCGCCAGTTAATCCAGCCGACCAGAACCCGCCTTGCAATACCCTCTACGTTGGCAATCTTCCCGGCGACGCATCCGAGGAGGAACTCAAAGGTCTCTTTGTCAAGCAACGTGGATACAAGCGTCTCTGCTTCCGAACCAAACAAAACGGGCCAATGTGTTTTGTCGAGTTTGAGGACGTCTCCTTTGCTACCAAGGCACTCCACGAGCTGTACGGAACACCATTGCACAACAGTACAAAAGGTGGAATTCGTCTCAGTTTTTCCAAGAACCCCCTCGGTGTCCGATCTGGCCAGGCTCCCTCACACGCTAATTCCAACCAGATGGGTGGAATGCACCAACCCATGCCAGGCTCCGCGAATGGTTTCCCATTAGCAAACAGGCCGCCTCCTGGACTTGGACTGACCGTACCTCCTCCAGGTCTTGGGAGTGGCCGCGGCTATGCCTATATGAACGCAGGTCACGGCAACGGGGCCTTTGGTGGTCTTGCAAATTATGGCTGGAATGGGCCAGTTTACAATGACAACGATGACCCCAAGAGGAAGAGGAATCTTTTCGCAGGGAGCTATCCCCCTCGACACAATTACATGGTGGGAAAATAGCATTCACTCAGAAGATCGGGAAGCATAACTGTTTAATGCAGACCCGAGTCAGGCTTGCGTATTCTTTTCATTCCATTTTTGCATTATTTGCGATTTCTGTTCACTGTTTCGCCATGATTCCCCCTTTCCCATAACCCTGTGCATTTGCATCGCTGATATATATGGAGTTTTCTTGTCTTTTACTTCCTTCGGCTGGGAGCCCTCGGGCTTGACGATAACGCTGTCACTCTTTCAACAGCACGCATACAGAACTTCAGGTGACTGGCTGTTGTTTGACTCTTCTCAATCCAGATCAGGTCTGTGATCGCTCACATGTACCTCGCTGGATTTTAAGCCAACAGGCAATTTTGAGCCCAGACCCCGCCGAAGATTCTTTTAGTTTGTCGCTGTCAACGTCTTTCACTCGTTCACGATTTATGGCCTCGCGGGATACAAAAGAAAAAGAGGAAGCAGAGGGGGAAAAAAAAGATACATGAGCAAAAAGATTGCATTGCTCGCTACCCGAGACGGGTACCTGGGCACACAACGCGACGGAACACAAGGTCTTTTGCCACGAAAAGATGGAGAGTTTCAGGAAATATGGGCTGTTCGAATTTATTGAGTTCTTGTCAGAGCTGGGAGTTTATTTGGGCAATTCTGGATGGGCAAGGAACGCTGGAGCACGGAAGATACTGGAGCGGTCGCGCCGCATCACATTTTGCATTCAGAAGGGTTGGAGCATAGGACTGAACGACTACACGAAACATGGGTTCATCATACGCATGCATACCAAGATACCATTAGCGGGCAATTCAGCAGATCGCTTCTGCACCATGGAGGAGTTCCTTTTTTCGATCGTTCAGCACGGTGGCCGGCGTCTGATCGTTTACCTCCTTTTTCAAGACGCTAAGCATGTTTGGCCAAGAGTATTGACACGAGGCAAAGGCCTTTGCTCGGTCTGGCACTAGGTCGGATCTTGTCACGGTGTCACATTCGAACGGAAAGGGATTGCATTGTATTGGATGGGATATTGAATGGGAAAGGTTCTGGGAGCGATATATCCACTTAGGAGCACTCGGTCAGGTGCAGGGAACAGGGCGTTCTTTCTTTGTTTTATTTGTTGTGTTTTCTTTCCCCCTGACAGCGCTGGAAGGACATCAAGCGGAATCATCTTGTATAAATGCTCCCTCTGCGTAGCACGCGAAGAGTCTTCGCCTACTCAGATGGTAAATTACACAAAATGTTACAACAGACTTTCTGGGACTAGTGTTGGTCTTGTTTATTGATAGAGAAGAAATATATGGACGGTTGTTTATCTTGCCTGACTTGTCGCCTACGTTGGCATATGGTCTACTATAGCACTTAGAACGCGACCTTCTCCTGGCTGTTTGACTTGCCCAGTTCGAGCTCTTGTCTGATAAAGCTCGCTCTCTGGAGCTTTGAATCTTGAGCCGGATTGTGTGAAGAAATATTACGGACATCGTCACAGACCTCTCAGCCTGTTCGTGAATTGAATTGCAGTTTCTTATCTACCCATTAAGCGTCGGGTCAGCTTGATGTTGTAACTACTACCCTGGACGAAACTTGCATTCATTTCTGAAGCCGATGATATCCTCACAAGAAGAGAAACGTGCATGCGTGCATGCCGTCTGTATTATGCGCAGAGTCCTAGAGTCATGATCACATGAGTGCCGACCAGCATCACCGGTGAGGCTTATCCATCTCGATGAGCCCGGCTATTTACCCAATGGCTATGAGAGATCCACGTAGGGGCAATAGCAGGATGCTGACAAGGTAGGGTATTATTGATGTGGCTTCAGTTGTTGATTATGCAAGTCAAAGTAGAGTCGGCGCTTGTGCTGTGCCTGTCCTGTCTTGTGTAGGTATTGTATGAAGCTTGTGTCACGCACCCATCTGTATCTCTTTACATGCTCGGGAACCGGTGACGGGAGACTGACCCAAGATGGTGTTTGCCGATATGCAACCGTCTCTGTTCAGAGCCCGACTTAATGGAGGGTTACAGTTACACGCTGCGAAGGTAGGGTAAGGTAAGTCAAGGCAAGATAGCTTACCCAGGTCCACGGGCCGAGCCCTTAACGGACGGACGGGACGGGCGCGAAATCTTGAAACCACGAGCCCGGGGAGAGATTGAGAATATGCTGTGTGACATGAAGGGCTGTCATGTGGGAACAACCGGTAGCAGTCGAGCAAGGGGGGTGCTGTATAAGACAACAGGGGGTGGGAAATTAGGACGAGAGATTTCTGAGTTGAGACGAGTGCAGAAGATGTGTGGAAAGAGATCATTGGGCAGTTTCACGACGGGGAAGAGATCCGGTGAGTTGAAAGATACTACTGTACTGTAAGGCTAGGGAGCAGAGCATGTTATTTGCTGTACGGCTAATTGGCATACTGATTGAGGTTATGGATCCAATAACTTGTTGCGCTCTATGCAGAGGCCGGAGTGTAGAGGATGATCATGCATGTGTGATAGATTGAGGTTCAGACGCGGTGGTGGTTGTATTGTTTGTGCAGTTGCATAGCTCATGGATCAATCTGACAGCAAAAGTTACCAATGATGGAAACAGGAAGGCAACTATTGGAAAGGCTGCGTTAACGAGGCTTTTGTCACATGTTTGTCAGGAGACGACCTACTATTAAGTACACCATCATTGCCTGTAATTGCGCTTGAAAAGGCAACACTTGTTGGTGCGTATCTACAACAGATGATAAGTTCTAGCTCTTCACATATCCATCGTGCCACCATCATTCGCCCAGCTCATGGTCATGGTTGCCCATAGATCATGATACATGGGCTGTTGCCCTTCCAAGTTCATGTTCATTGCAGGCAGTACAGAACTCATGTCGATTTCTGTGTCCCACGCCGGTAAGTATGGCTGCATGTCTTTGTCAAACATGGGGCACCCTTGACGTCCTAAAGTGTTGCTGAGACCTGTTGTAAGCATGTCAACGCGACGGTCATATTTCGCCTTGACTACACGTAGAACAACACGGCTTGCAGATAGCACATCTACACGTTTGCTAGCCGGTGTTAGATCCTCAGGACCCTCACACATGAACTCAAGAAACTCGTCAAACCGCAGTTGTGAGCGTGCCCAGGCATGGTCCCAGTCGAGGACAGCAGTGATAGGGAAGGAGAGGCGCACAGCGAGGATGACGGACAGAATGAACTTTTCCCAGTCAATGCTTGTGAAATGTGTGAAGGTTTCGAGGTTCATGAGGTAGTCGAAAAGAGTGCGCATGTTGTTGACACAGCGGATGAGGCGGGTCGATGAAGGGTTGATAAAACTTGGCTTCTTGGGGTTTGCACGGGTGAGATAGAATACGGCGCCGCCTTGGAGAAAGACGTCGAAGAATAGATGGGCGAGCTTCACAGGTGCTGAATAATGTTAGAGGAACGAAGGCATGGTACTGAGATAGGGAAACTTGCCAGAGCGCGAAAGGTGCGGCACCATAGCTTCCTTCATCTCCCGATGTTGTGTCTCGAGTCCTAACAACATCAACTGAACCTGCTGGTTCACATGAGGCTCATTGTCTCTAATTGACTTATTCGCCGTATCCATCATATTCGCCAACCTGACAAGATAAGTCAACATTACATCACCGTCAACTTCAGCATGTCGCTGCAGAAGATCGCAACATTTGTCTGTCCAGGGGGTCCACGCAGGAATCAGGTGCTGCATCTTGAATGTGAACATGAAGCTGTCGAGCGTGAGTAAGCTGGCTCTGGTGCGCTTCATTGAGGACGTACTTTGTCAAAGCATAGTGGTATGCTAGATACGCTCGTAGTTGATCGAGCTTGGCGCTACTCATTTCTCCAGGAATTGTGCTGGTAAGATATGCTGATTCTTGGTCGAGGTCGAGATCGCTTGCGAGATCGCCAGCCATGCGGTAGTACTGGTAGGCCTGTTTGTTCTTGGGACGTAGGTGGAACGGATACCTGTAAATGTTGGCATTCTATGGTAGATGGCTTAAGGATAAGCTTACCAAGCGCAGTAAATTAGAATGCCCTGTAGTAGGGAGATACTCCTTTCACCACCAGCAACAAACTTGAGCCCCAGGACTTTCCGAAACTCCTCATCATAAAGACTATGCCCCTGTAAAGTCCGCGACCCAGAGGCTGCAGCCAAAATGGCTAAGAGAACAAATGGTTTCGTCGCAGCAAGACTAGCCACCGTCTCGTCAGGCCGGAGAACGATGACAGGATAGTGGGCCAGCATTCCCCGGAAAGAAACCAACAGAGATTCGGCAGAGTCGAGGTTGAACTGGGGCTTCGCATGCAGAGACTGTATGGGATGCGTATGCGATGAAGACGGCGTCGGTAAGCTTGTGAGCGGAGAGTCTTGAAAACTGCTGAGATCTGTATCGCCATCTGCAGGAAATATGGATTCAATGAATTGCGCGTGCGATTCACGCAAGTCATCAAAGTTCTCATCCACTTCTGGCTGGGTAGAAACTTCGAAGTCAATGGTGAAAGTCTTTGATGGCGCTGGAGGAGGAGGGGGAGGCGGTTGATGAGTCTCTATAGCACTACAAGGTAATGTCAGTCAAATTGCTTTGAATGCGAATGCGATCGAGGGCATCCTACTGCTTCGTCCTTCGTCTTCTTGTTCGTGGTCCTGTTCGCGATATACATTCCTTCTTGGACTCGAGACATCTTGATCACCACGCCTTTGTCAGATTGGCTATTCTTTTGTACAAGGTACCTTAAGTAATTGTATGATTTTGGTATGGAAATCTTACTTGCGACAGACCCCAGGTTGTTCACTTGGTTGGCATTTGATCTTTGTCGCGCGACATGCTTCGCACGCTGTTGAGATTCTCTTGCGCGCGGGGCATGTTTCGATTGGTGATGATTCGCTTGTCATTTGTATAGTCTCGATTGGACAGGAATTATATCAAGTAGGTAGTCTAGATAGTAGCTTGAAGCTTTTGTATGAGTAAAAGGGAGAGCGATAGGTACAAAGTTGCCGGTGTAATGAGAAGCCGAATCAACACAATCCCCGACGGCTCTCGGATCTTACCAACCCTGCCCCCACTTACCTCCATACCTAGGTAAGTACCTATCTATCCTACTGTACCTATATTCTGTCAGCAACACCAAGGAAACCACAACGTACATACAAATTAGCGGATTGTATAGCATCGCAAATGCTTATGCCCAGAGTTGGTCAACCTCGTGTGAAAATCATTCGGTCCATTATAAAATAAAACAGTATTCCACAGTCGGTGCTTAGGTTCATACCTCCGCCAGGACCATATATGTATACAATCATCCATCCACAGAGCCTTCTCATTCGCCCTGCCTGAAATTAACTCCTGGGTTTCCCTCCTTTAGTATCTTTTCAGCCGTCTCAAACAATGGCAACGCAAGCTTGCTAATCTCATAGGCAGCAGCTGATGTCATGTGCTTAACTTGTCTGTGTCTCCCAATATCCCGCGTTGCGCATGCGATCGAACAGTATACAGCGGCTTTACCATCGCCTTCCACTGACCCTTGCTCGCGTATGTCACACTGGTCGACGCAGTCTTTGCAAACCACAGCCTCCGACGCTGATTCTGCTCCTGTGTCGCATTCCTCATAGTCGGTTTGTATACATCTATCCCCTGCCTCACAGTCGTGCTCCTTATCGATGTGATCATCCTACCAAAGTTAGCATCTCCTCTGGATAGACAAATGGAATCACTCACAAAGCCCTTGCCTTGGCACTCGTCCGAGCAGTATACCGTCATCTTCCGACGGCCACCAAGCTGGACAAGTGCTTGGCAAAGAGGGCATGAGAGGACATTCTTAGCGTCCACCGATTTTGAGCAAACAGAACATGGTGGTAGGTCGTACAGATAATCAGACACGGCTGGCGTTTGGTTTGCTTGAGCCCGACTCTTGTTCTGCAGCCTGTTCTGTTCAAACGCCATCTTTGCTCTCCGTAGCTCATCGAGACGACCTCTGTGCGTATCCCGTTGAGGTTCTGTCGTGCGGCTCGCCTTAAGATCCTGCGCGATGCGGTCAATGACCTGCTCAATGGACATCGTGTCGCTTGTCTCGTATGCTTCCAGATATGGCTGCGCGTTTTCCACAGCCTCTCCTGTTTCTGAGTCTTTAAAGAAGAGATCAATGTAAAGCTGCTTCAGAGCCGTTGCATCGTTTTTGACAGCTGCCATCTTCTCTATCAGCGATTCTACGTCGGACTCCCAGTTGACTGGCTTCCCAACACCTTCCCAGATTCTCTCGATGAGTTCCTCGCGTCTCTTAACGGGGTCATCCAACATGGCTCTTAATTCGTCGGGGTCGGCCCCTCTGTCTCCTACCGAGAGGAACCGCGGATACATGCGCAGCACCCAGCGGTACCATGCCTCCTTTTCGGAAGCAATGCTGTCCTCAATGGCTTTGAGATCCATCTTCTTGTGATCTTTGACGTCGGTAAAAAGAACGTCTAGCTCATTGAGGAACGCTCTTCGCTGTGAAAACCACTCTCTGCCCTCGGCGTCACAGTAACGGGCGCGCATCCTTTCCAGAACTTTGGGGAAGCATTTTTCACAGTCCACCACGCTTCGTTTGCCGCATTCTTCTAGACATGTTCTCTTTATGGTGTCCACCTCATCGGCGCATTGTTGTCTGTGGATCCTGGCGGCACTGAGCTCCGTCCAGTGCTCAGGCAGAGCAACTCTCACGTTTGAGCCCATTTCCCAACAACGTGGGCCCTGATGTTTGATTCGATTTTGTTAATGATTGTTGTTTCCTGGATCTCGGAGAAACCGTGATGTGATAGTGTTTAAGTCAGGGGGTTGGTAAGAGGTTGAGTTTGCTTGGATTTCATTTCCTTATGTCGGTGAAGGCGCGTTAATGACCTAGATATGAATCAAGGTCAAAATGTCTGAGAAAACAAGGGTTATCTTTCACTTGTCGAGTCTTGTGGTGTTGCTATTGTTCTTGATGAGATGAGAAGCAAGGGTGAAGACATCCAGTCCCAGGATCTGGTTGTAGTTTCACCGAGGTTTAGGCGATCCAGATGCCCCTACCTCGATCAAAACATAGGTAGGTAGGTAACAATTGCGTCAAAAGAAAAGGCTCAATGGAGTGGTCTTTGACGATGCATGACGTGCCATGTTTGTAATGTCATGTATTGGCTTGAAGATGTAGGACAAAGGGCATAACTTCATCGGTCTGACAGCATTGTGTCTTTGGTTAGGTACTTACACCTTGATACCAGTAATGGAAATTATAGAATATTCCGCAGTCATTTCATAACCAAGTCTCCTGTTATAAAATAAATCTTTTCGGATGTAATTAAAGACGAACAGTCGAAGTCAAAGTAAGCGCTTACTATTAATTATTCTCTTCCATTCACACATTCATAGTGATATGTATGTGGTTGTTCTTTCCAAGAGCTTATGCACATAGCGAGGTTCCACCTTACAGAGCTGAGCTAATCTTATCAGTCCTGGTCCTGTTCTGTTCTGTCGCATCAACTTTCATCATTTCGCGGTCCCGGCGCATTCAATCTAAACAAGTACCAATCAACACAAAACAATAAAAAATGGTATAGATCGCCCATCGCTGTCTCGATATCCCTCTTTGCTAACAGCTCCAGGCCGATAAACTCCGAACCCAGCAAGAACTCGAGCGCCTTCAGGCAAAGTACGTCGGTACTGGTCACCCAGACACTACCAGCTGGGAATGGCGCACCAACATTCAGCGCGATACCTACTCTTCCATCGCCGGTCACCGTCCTCTACTCTCTTACATCGCTTTGGCTGAGAATGAACCTATCTCCAAAGTCCGCGCTCAAATGATTAGGGTATGCCCGATTATGCGACTTGATGGCCGATCAACAACTGACGATTTTGCACAGAAAATGGTCCAGCCCTGCGGCCCGCCTCCTCCACGTGAAGATTAGAACGACGTGTACACTACGAGCGATTATGTGCAAAATTTGCGATGGATTCATAACTGGTTTGTTGGATTTTCCGGACGGCGTCAAGGATTTATACTATACCCCGTAGAAGGGAGGATTTTAGACATGCAATATCACATTTCACCTTGCGACCACATTCAAAACCTCATGTTCAGAAAGACAATGCTCCAGGATGTATTGGTTGGGTATCATAGCGCCGACATTATTCCTCGTTCCTAGGGTCTCATTCTTGCATTCGACTGGCCTCCGCGTCGACCTCCTCATCATCGCCGTTTTGCCGAGGGTCTCTAATGTTCAGACTCGATCGAAGCTTCTTCTCCATCTCCTCGTTCCAGCTGTCACCATAGACTTCTCGCGTCATGCCCATCACGCCACTCAAGCCAACTTCTTCCTTGCCGCGTGGGCCAACATGCCATGTGATGGTATGCTCACCATCTTGGCCTAGAGGTGGCCGTTCAACTCTCCTGGTCACATATCCTTGCCTCTCCATTCTCTTGAGAATGGTTTCAGTCTTGTCCATCGACACATTCTGATCGGCGTTCATTCGTTGAAGATGGCGCTTCAGCTTTTGTTCACTGAGTTCCCCACCGCTGAGATAGATCAACGTGATGACCAATGTGTAGAAAGCCGTATACGTGGCCTCATCGTCTGGGCTGGGTGTTTTCGAAGGTCCGAGGATCGCAGCGCTGCGGTATGCTTCTGGTAACGTCGAGGTAAGAATATAAGAACCGGAGCCGAGCTTGGGCTGTGAGTTGCTCTTCATGGCTACCAGATATTAGCGGAGGCCTGTTATGGAAGCGATATTACATACCTTGACGCTTCTCCTGAAGCGAGACCTTTTCTCTAACAGGCAACTCTCGCATCTCCATGCCCCAATACTCTCTCAGCTGCTTTTGCGCCATATCAAAAATGCGCCGGAAAGAACGACCTTGGTTTCCCAGGACTCGACCTTTGTTAGCTTTGGTCTGGTATTCAAGTGTGGGGCCTGTTACCTCGCTCTTTGATGCCATCTCTTCGTATGATGGTTCTTGAGAATTCGCAAGATATAGCATAGCGAACAAGCTTCTTCGCTAATTGTTCGTCGGCGCTCTGCACTTGAGTCCTGTCGCCGTCCATTTCGGCATCGCTAGGGTCGTGGTCGTTTTGTTCGTCCTCTGAACCAGCTCTGTTTCTTTGTCTGGGACGGGCATCCTCTTCTGATTCCTCGGCCTCAACCTGATGTGTACGTTAGCTTGGTGTTCAACAGTAAACACGGGTGACTTACAGGGCGGCGACGTCTTTGTGGAGGCATGATTACGGATGAGAAGAAAAGCGAAAACACTGCCTAGGTAGATATTCGAGGGAATAGAGCAACTCAGAAACAGCTAAATCACAAATGCGGTTGCAATTAACGAATACTGACTGAACAGACACTGAGGGGTTCGTAAGTTAAATGGAGGGAAGGCTTTACGCGGTTGAGCGCGTCCCATCTTATCGGGTTATCACTTATCGCTTAGTCGCTTATCGGATAAAATTTCTGGGACCTTCAATTCTCAGTCTTGAATAGGCCTGGTCGCACTGTCGTAATTTGCTCCCTTGACGGGGGTTTTGTATTATTACTCTCTTTCTCGATGATTTCTAGAGCGATCCGAGTGCCGCGAATTTGCCTGGCATGCAGGTTCGGCTTAATAACTCAGCGCAGTGCCGGCTTGGGCTTCCGACCGAATCCAGTTCGTGAGGGTATCGGCCGACGGTTATATACATTCGATATAGGGAAACCGGGAGATGGCAGGATTGAGTCTTTTGTTTCTGACAAAGACGTGCCGAAGAGTAATTCAGAACAAGAACCTGTCGAAGAAGAGTCAACGACGACAACGACGACACCATCGAAAGATGCTGCAGAATCGACTAATAGCGCCCCCGCCACCGAGATCGACTCTAAATCAACCCCAACATCCGAAGAGATGTCAATTGGCTCTGCACAAACTGAACCCGATAGCCCTGTGAACGAAGCATTGCCCTTGGGAAAGAAGTCAGAGTATATCTCGGCCAACTCGTCACAGCCCAATAATGATGTTTCTGAGCTACCGGATCTGGACGAGCCCGCTTCTGAGCAACGGCCGGGGCCTGTGCATGGATTAAATGAGCTTATAGACGACAATTCGACAAGATCGGACCCCAAGTTTGACGTTTCCGAGCTACCTGAACTTGACGATGGGTTTTCAGGGAGTGATCAGAAGACCAGGCCTTGGCCAAAGCGAAGATTCCGCGATGAGCTACTGCACGAAGAGTCTCTTGGTGTTCCATCCTTGGGGCTTCCGGCCGATGCTATCGTAATCAATAACCCGAATAAGACACGGATCGAAAGAAAGGCTCCCATCGTGGTGGAAGAAGAAGAGGCACAGCCGGCCAATATTGACTGGGAAAGCATGAACCCTGCCGAGCCTGTTGAGCCTCCCACGGAAGAGATCAATGCCAACATTGAAGAGTTCCGCCCTGATACTCGTATTCTTCGATTAACAGATATTCAGTCTTTGATCGAGTCGCTCTGCAGTGGGTTTACAACTAATCAGCTGAAGGATTACCATCGCGACCGCCAGCCGGAGCAGCAGCAGGGCGAGATCATGAACTACTCCTGGGTTGAAGAAAGTGTTCCCTGGGCATCAATCAATTCGATCCAGGTTCGTGGTATAGACAAGACGGCAATTGCTCAAAAGATCGTTCTGTATAAGTGGGGAATCGAAGTAATGGAACACGAGAACGATCTTGGAAAAGCTTACGTCCGAATGGATCCTTATATTTTCCCTTTTCTCTTATGTTTGTGGCCCCCAGCCTGTTCAAAAAGCACGGTTGCTAACGAGCGCAGATGGTCCGAATAACATATCGCGCTTGCTATGGGAGTTGAGGCGGGACTTCCTGGTAGGCGAGGACGAGAAGTTGACTCTGAGCGTCCAAAGGTCTCGTCTCAACATCACAGCAAGAAAGTCAACAACTTACGGCGTTCTTGCCTATATTGACCAGTGCCTACAGAAAATGCGCACTCGAACCATCGATGTGGCACCATATCTCCCTCGTGATACAAGTCTCCCGAATTCGTCAGAACTTAAGGAGCTTGGTCGACTCACTAAGACATCCATCAGGCGCATCAAGGAGGGCACGAAAAACGTATGTTCTACTGATATTCTACAAAAGAAAATTCACTCTGACCAGCTGCTAGAAATTTATGGTCTCCTGGTTGCCCGACTCTGATGAGGCCCCAGCCGAGACAGAAGACCGTGCAGACATGGTATTCCGCTTGATGGCTGGCCTTACTGTCCCAGTCACAGACAACGTTCTCCAGTGCATTCCTTCACAAGAAGACAAAGTGGGCGGTCAGTTTGTCCAAGTTCGAAGACAGACTAGAGCTATGTCTTGGAGAGACAAGCTAGGCCGATGGTTAAGGGTTGTTGACCCCGTCACCAAGCCTAACTGGTCCGCCAAAGAGACGTCGCCTCTGAAGCTGGCAGCTTCGGCCGAATTTATCAATTCAAAGCCTGGGGAAGCCAAGGAAACTACTACTGCGACTTTTGGGCATATTCTGCACTCAGAGTCCGATAACTCGATAAAATCGCTCTCTCGCAAACGTCGCATTCTATTACCTTTCACTCCTCATCCCGCCTCATTCTCTGCCTTGAAATCGGATGACGACAAGCCAGTAAAAGAATCCACGACCATTGTTATTAACCTTGTGCCTCACGAAAAACGCAAAAGCGGCCGCAGCAGCGACGCGCAGAAAGAGAACAAGCATCCTGCGGTCCGTATCAACATACCTGTTAACCCTGGCGTTGATTTTGACAAATTCCGGCTTCCTGATAACATGACCGCCGATTTCTTTGCTTTCTGGCACGTGAACGATGTGCTACTACCGGGTGAGGCTGTTGACGTCCGCCTCCAGCACGAACGCTCGCAGGTCCTAAAACTCACCACCAATCTGAATCTACAGGCGTTCCTGGAAGCATCTCAATTTAAGCTAGACGAAGGTAAGCTTCGAACGCCGAGTCAAGCCATGCTCCACGTCCCGGAAATGTGGCTGGGTGGCAGGCAACCCGGTCTCAACTCTCAAGGGAAGAAACAGGATGTTCTCTACGATTTTCGAGGTACTGAGATCCATCAAACTGTCGAGATGTCCTGGCGTGGCCATACATTGCGCTACTCTAGCATCGAGGCAGGTCAGCAGGGTGGCCAACGCCAGGAAATTACGTTGCAGGCTGGTACACCAAGTGAAAGCCCTGTCAATTTTAATGGCGAAAGACGAGCGAGCTTCTTGCAATTGGTGGAGGAAATGGCCACTGGCAAGTGCTTCTCTTGGCATGAGGGCTACCGGTCTATCAAAAATCGCCAGTTAGAAGACTACAGTTACAACTTGCCTGAGAGGGAGCTCACGGACGACATCATCGTGGAGGATAAGTTTGATTCAAGGGGTCGCTTTAAGACCGTTGAACGCGAGAAAAGGAAACGACAAAGCGCTCCGAAAGCCCAGAAGGTTCGAAAATCGCAAGCTTCTTCCGAAACAGATGCATCAATCGAATCGAGGAATGAGCCAGTCTTTGACGACATCGATAAGTTGTTTGCGGCCGAGAATGAGGACAGCATCGAAACGAGGCCTGAAGTTGAGGAAGAGTCTATTCAACACCAAGAAACAGAAGAGCTCATGGCTATACTCGATATCCCCTCTACTAAGCAGAAAACTGCCGTATATGAGGAAGACAAGCAACCTTCCATTCTTGAGGATGCTGCTTCAAACGAAGCAGCTGGGAGCGAGAAACAATTTATCAGCAGTGAAGGTACCACTAAAGACGAGGTCCCCAGCAGCAATGACCCCGAAACCACTACTGTCGGTGCCTCGTCTAATACAAATGGCGTACCCACGATGGATAAGAAGAGCGCCACCGCGGCCGAGCGCGAGAGAGTTCGCAACGAAATACTGAATAACTTTTTCGGGGCCGAAGCATTGATGACCGAGCCCACTACGGCTAGCGACAACAAGAACAAGAACAAGAACAAGCCGGGCGCCGCTCGCAAGGCGAAGGTCGCGACTCGCAAGTACACTATTCGAGACCTGGAACAGCCCGCAAAGAAGAAGAAGAGTAACAAGGTGGAGGAAGATCCATTCCTTGCTCAGTTTGCCGCACGAGCGACCAGCAATAACAGAGTCGCAGACCCAAATGCCGTCGCTGGCTTCTTTGACACTCTTCCACCGGAGAAGAATGGAAAGCCTAAGGGGCAGTCAAGGAGTAATGGAAATGCCAAAGGCAGCAACAAAAGAAAGAACAAGTAGGGGTTGAGTATCAGCGGGTGCACAACCGGATTCATGAATGAAAACAGCAATGGGAGACTACGAACATGTCATGTCAACCAGGGATACATGCTCAAGGTAGTGACGGGTATGTTTTCGGATCAGATTGGGGAGTGAATGATCATTTCTGTATAGTATAAAAGCATTTGTATCATATGTAACAACACCATTGGACCTATAGACAAGGAATACCATGTATGGTTTACGACTATAATGAGATACTTCAATGAACACCAAGGGCAATCCTATCAAGACAATCAACGCACGCATGGGGAGCAAATGCTCCACAAGCAACAGGATAACATCTAGCCACTAGAAAAAGAAGTCAAGACATGGAGCACAGCATGAAAAGCTGCATAACCAAAGACCCAACTCAATAGACATGTATCACCAGAGCTTCATTTGCTCGAGACACAAAGATCGCATCGCATCGCATCGCATCACATCACGAGAAGCATGGGGAACAAGAAAAATTGCACGAATCACTTCTAGACTCTCTATTCTTTTTTGATTTGCACAAAATCCTAGGCATTTTTTCCGCCTTTCATCCTGTGCCCCCAGGCAAAAGCCGAGTGCTCATGCCAACATAATCATTTCATCGTAGAAGCGAGTACATCAGCCCTTGGGCGTGAGATCAAAGTCGTAAGATCCCACAGGAGGTTGTCATTTCAGAAATAAGTCGCTTATTTCTTACCAGCCTTGGCAGCGGACTTGGTGACCTTGCCGGCACTACCAGAGGACTTCTCGACGGCCTTGATGACACCGACGGCGACGGTCTGTCGCATGTCACGGACGGCGAAACGACCCAGAGGAGGGTAGTCAGTGAAAGCCTCAACACACATGGGCTTGGAAGGAACCATCTTGACGATGGCAGAGTCACCAGACTTGATGAACTTGGGGGCGGCCTCAGTAGCCTTACCGGTTCGGCGGTCGATCTTCTCCTGGATCTCGGCGAACTTGCAGGCAATGTGGGCAGTGTGGCAATCAAGGACGGGAGCGTAACCAGCACCGACCTGACCAGGGTGGTTGAGGACAATGACCTGGGCGGTGAAAGAAGCGGCACCCATAGGGGGGTCGTTCTTAGAGTCACCAGCGACGTTACCACGTCGGATGTCCTTGACGGAAACGTTCTTCACGTTGAAACCAACGTTGTCACCGGGCTGGCCCTCAGTGAGCTGCTCGTGGTGCATCTCGACGGACTTGACTTCAGTGGTGACGTTGGAAGGAGCGAAGGTAACGACCATACCGGGCTTGATGACACCAGTCTCGATACGGCCGACGGGAACCGTTCCGATACCACCAATCTTGTAGACATCCTGGAGGGGAAGTCGGAGGGGCTTGTCGTTGGGTCGCTTGGGGGGCTCGATGGAGTCAATGGCCTCAAGGAGGGTCTTTCCGGAGAGCTTGCCAGACTTGATCTCACGCTCCCAACCCTTGTACCAGGGGCAGTTGGTGGAGGGGGACAGCATGTTGTCACCGTTGAAACCGGAGATGGGGACGAAAGCGACAGCCTTGGGGTTGTAGCCGACCTTCTTGATGAAAGAGGAGGTCTCCTTGATGATCTCCTGGTAACGGGCCTCAGACCACTTGGTGGTGTCCATCTTGTTGATGGCGACGATGAGGTTCTTGACACCAAGGGTGTAGGCAAGGAGAGCGTGCTCACGGGTCTGGCCATCCTTGGAGATACCAGCCTCGAACTCACCAGTACCGGCAGCAATGATGAGAATAGCGCAATCGGCCTGGGAAGTACCAGTGATCATGTTCTTGATGAAATCACGGTGACCAGGAGCGTCTGGAGCACATGTTAGCATGAGAAGGTAATGAGTGTAAGTGATGACAACATACCAATGACGGTGACATAGTAGCGAGGAGTCTCGAACTTCCAGAGGGCGATATCGATGGTGATACCACGCTCACGCTCGGCCTTGAGCTTGTCAAGAACCCAGGCGTACTTGAAGGAACCCTTACCGAGCTCGGCGGCTTCCTATTGTCAGGTGGTTAGTGACTGATTGACACGTGATGCGCGAGACATGGGTTTGTGGGAAGAGGGCCAACGCCTGTCACCCAAGTAGCGGGGTTGAAACCCCACCAAAATAAATTACGGTTGAACCGCAAAATTTTGTCCTCGAGCGGGGTAACAGGCGCATATTCACTTGTCGTAAGACTGATTCGACTGATGGATCGGTGGGTAGAGGGCGTGCGATCGAGGGAAATGGAAACCAACCTTCTCGAACTTCTCGATGGTTCGCTTGTCGATACCACCGCACTGGTAGATCAAGTGACCGGTCTATACAATCTTGTCAGCAGATATCCAAGTTGAAATTACCCCGCCACGAATGGCGGGGTTAAGGACTGCTGATAAGCAGATCATCGAGGGTAGTACTCACAGTGGTCGACTTGCCAGAGTCGACGTGGCCGATGACGACGACGTTAAGGTGAGTCTTCTCCTCCTTACCCATTTTGACGGTTGTGGATGATTTGTATGAAGGTTTTTGATGTACGTGCTGTAAAATTGTCAGCGCCCGAAAGAGACGAAGCGAGAAAGGCAAGCAATAATCAAGAGGATCGTGAGATGTTGCAATAAGGCAAGGGATCCTGACGATGCTCTTGTTCAAAGCCTTGAAGGGTTGGACGTACAAATTCGCAGATCGGATGCTTGAACCGGGTATGCGAGACGAGGAGGGAAGAGAAGAAAAGATTTAAGGGAAGAGGTGGGAGGAGGAGATTTAAAAAGGCCACGGGAGGGAGGAGGGGTGGGGTGGGGTGAAAGGCAGGTGCGGCGGCGCGGGGCAACCAGCTTGGGAAGCCCTAACAGCAGCGAGGTTTTTTTTCTTGAGGCATGTGGGGTCCTCTCGGCCAATGACTGAGCTCCAAAGTGTAATGACGGCAAGTGAGCCAGACCTGCTCAGTTGAGGAATGGTATGAGGAGGGACAGAAGGAGCTTGACAGAGGTCACAATATCAGATGTTTGTCATTGAGAATGCTATGTGTGTAGAGTTCTATAGAGCTGTTACTGGAGTGCATTCTATTGTTCGGGTAGGTACCTAGGTAGCTGGAGGTTTAATGAGAGCTGTCGAGGTGCTGCTGGCGGTTCTCGTGGTTGATATCAGCGTATGAAGCTGGGCTGATACAGCACAAAGGCGATACGTTTGTTTCAACAAGCTTCGGCAGACACTCGAAGAGATTACAGAAAGTGACACCACTACCATGGCAGAAGCACTCAGTAGTACCTCCAGCAGATCTATCACCGGCTCAATAATCTCTATCTTGACTTGATTCCCATGTCTGTCTATCACCAAAAGCATTGTCGACCAGATTGACAGCTTTGTGTGAAGGTACCTCGCATCTGTTAGCAGATACATGCGGGGCACAATTTTTTGCTAATCTTTGTTGTGCGCAGGCATCGCCGCCCAAAGTTTAGAAAAATTCTCTCTTTCGGCCTAAAGAAAAATTCTATCATGGATGCTTAAGCGGTCGAGGCTCGGTGGGTTCTTGCGTGTGGTGGATGCGCGCGTCCTAGATTGTCTGGGGCCCTTTTTGGGTCTGCTACACCACGCCGTGGGACTCTTCTACACATCCCAGCCAGTACGTGAAGGCTACCTAGGATTAATTTTTCCCTTGTGCCCCTCATTTTTGCATCTGTTAGCCCAACGCAACAGCGGCGTGAGTCACCTTGTGATCGTTACTGTTGTTACCTACTATCTTGTTTCTCTTCGTTTTCGGCGAATTTGTCATTTCCGTATAACATTCACAGCTCTCGGGCGCTTTCAACTCAAGTCTGTTGGCTGTGCTATTTTCCTCCAAGAGGGAGGGGAGCTTCAAACTGCCCCTCTTCTCTGGCGCAGTCAGTTTCTGGCTCAGATTCCCTGCACGAATCAACGTCATGCTCCACCAATACTCTTAGCGCCCATGAGTTGCCACCCTAGCCACCGCCGCTGCGCGACCAGTGCACGGAAGATCTGGGCTTGGCTAGGATGTTATGTTGCTGTGAGGTGGTGAAACAGGAAGTTGATTGTCGCGTATCAGAAAAATTTTCCTTATTCTCGTTGGAGGGGTAAATTTGGACCGCACATCAATAGATCTGCCATGACATCAGGAACAAACTTGTGTTATACCACCTGATACAGTACACTCGATATACTGTAATTGCTGCGTCCTACAAGGTAGGAAATTTGGTAGGTAGGTAGGTAGGTAGGTAGGTAGGTAGGTAGGTAGGTATTGTTGACTGATAATGATAATACTTGCCGCAATCTCCGCCCGTTGTTGCATTCTCTTGTTTTGGCAGTGTCTCATGCAACAGCTGTTTACTCATCTCTTGTGCCCCTCCCCCTCCTTCTCAACAAGCCCCTCAGGTGGGTGTCAGAAGAATTGTCCTTCAAGTTAGGCTACAGAAATAAAGTAGCCTACTTGCTAGCCTAATCCTGCATAAGATGGCTGGTTTATTTCGTCTCTTATGCTCTGCGGGGCCAATCCTTCTGACACCCCGAGGCCCCTCCATAAGAGTTCGGTCCAAGCAAAGAAAAGTCCATACTAGCCCAAGGACAGAACGCGCCAGGCCAGGAAAAAACCAACAGGAGGGGCAAAATCCAGCCACTGTGGAGACCGCTGCAACTCACCTTCGTTCGAACTTTTCAGTGGAGGTCGAAAAATGAGATGCTGATGAGCGAGGTTTATGGCGATTTCATGCAGCTTCGGGTGCCAGCTCAGTGTTTTCTCTTGCCTGGTCTCTGGCCACTCTAACAATACTGTACCTTCAGCCATTGAGATGACATACTGTAAAACAGAAAGTGAAAACCGCTGCAATTCATCTGTTAGACCCAGTTGTTAATGTCATAAAGGTGTCGCCATAGCGGCAAATACGATGCTAAATTCGTCCATAATTGATGAGTTGTCGCGATGCACATCATCAATCTCTTGGCTCTGTCTTGAATTAGGCGCATACTGGCATGTTTACGGCGGCTAGACCATGCTCCTCTCGTCTCCATTCTACTGTATGCAAGGTTTTTCTTGCTGTCACATTGCCATTATGGAGAAGCATATCTGCAGACTCCGAGAGGTTTGTCCACTGTGGGCATGGTCCATCTCCTGCATGCTTCGCTTCGCTTCGGTTCCGCCGTGATTATACCTCAATTTTATCATTCAACGGAAGATGTCGTGAGTCTATAGTGGAGGAAACGGCATCTGCGAGAATTGCATGAATCATAGATGAGAAGGGGGGGGGGAAATCTGTTCGTATTTTCAGACCGCTATTGTGAAAATTCTGTTGAGAAAACATCGAAGACTTGCCTTTCATGTTGTGAGTTTAGGGTAGCAGAACAACTTGGAAATTACACCAACCTTATTCTTGATAGCTGGTCGATACCTTCGTTTACTATTATTACCTTGCTAGGCTTGCACAAGCCAGCCAAGCTTCTGTCTATCCAAAGGGGGAATATCTATTATGAAAGTCTATGCAGGTTTATGACCAATAATTGTGAAATTGAGGGTCGCTATCACGTCCTTGCTAAGCTTGACCTATCCTGGCGGCCAAGCGGAGCCATCCCAAAAGCCTTATAAAGTCATCACCCCCCTGACTGCACTGCGTTACACATGGATGTCCCCATTGAGGGCCGTAGGCATGTCGCAGTTTACAACCGCCACTCGAACCTACGTCGAATTGGTCAAAACTACCAATTAGGAGCAATCTAATTAACAGATTCGATATCAGCTATCACTTCACGAACTACGAATACGCGCGGCGCTTTCGACGATAAACCGGATCCACGACTACGAGGCACGATACATCAACTATAAACTACAGCATCATAACGACGAACCAATTCCACAAGCAGTACGACCTACAGCTACAATATATCCTGCGTAGCCACAGTCCGTTATTCATATTGCTTGATCCAATCGCTGTCCGCCGACCTGCACTTTCCCGCCTGTAATTCTGCAGCGTCCCGCCAGCTGTTACCAACAGGCAAACCGCCCAACAGGATATAGACCGAAATAACAATCACCCCCCTCAACAAGCGACGACCGAAAAGACCTCGTGGCCGAACGGTTAAGCTCTTCGAAAGCCCGTATAGAGTAATAGCAACTCGTTGGTCTCCTATATCAGTGTAGGTGATAGCCAAGGATCCTGGTGCAAATCCGGGTACGGGTATTTGTTTTGTACTTTTTCTGCCCTTTTCTTCTAAAACGGAACCAAGATCAGGCTACGCTTTTTGTTGCAAGCAGCGGGATTCGAAGCGCATCCCCCTCTGCCTATTGCCTTGCCTCCTCGTCCCTTGGTTAGGGAGGTCGGAGTGGCAGAATAGCAAGCTGGCAAGCTGCGACACGAAGAAGCCAGGTTGTGTTTCGCCAAACCCATCAAAGAAAAGCCAGTAAACTTGTAGAAACTTCCAGTAGATGTAAAAGATAATGTTCAGTTGTCTAGACGGTTGTACTATAAGGTCAAGACCAGCTCAACCGTAGAGCCCGTTATATACAAAACCCAAAGTCGCTTCAAGCACCACCCACACCAGCCTTACTGAGCCTTGCCCTCAACTTTCTTTCCCTTGATATCCATGCCTTTGGGAGTCTTTAATCCCCCAAACACCGCGGCAGCAACAACCGCAATACCCGTGGCACCCATACCATATGCGACCTCACGGCCAGCCCACCAGTACACGCTTGTGAACAAGATGGGACCAAGACCTCGACCAAGCTGACCCCAGCTTCGTAGCATACCGAGCTTGTTGCCGCGCTCGTCCTCGTGAGCCTCAAAGCTGCTCAATGCGTTCAAGCCAGTGACGACTGTCGCGGATGTAACAGCCAAGCATGTTGCAGCGAGATACAGACCGCCAATCGTGTTAACCTGTCCCAGGAGGATGAAGGACGCGAGGCATGCAAGTGTGCCAACTCGCACAGACATCAGTGGTGGGAGACGTCGCGTTACACCACCCTGGAGGATGGAAGCCACAAGTCCGACGTAGCCCAATAGCCGTCCATTCTTGCCAGAGGTGAACGAGAAGAGTTCGTATGTCATGAAAGAAAGGGAGCTCTCCATACCGGAGAAGAACAGCAGGAAGACGAAGTGGATGGCGTTCAGAAGGAAGTGAGAGTTGGTTCTCTCGACATTCTTGGGCGCAACCTTCTTCGCATCACCCTTGTTCCCAGCACCACGCATCGAAGGCAGCGTCTCTGGAAGACTGAAGTACAGATAAACGGTCTCAGTTACGATCAAAGCCAGACTGAAGCCAGCAGCCGCAGCAAAGGGGTTTGCAGTGAATGTCGAGAACGTGCTCAGCCAAGCGCCGAGTCCAGGACCGAAGGTAAAAGCGATTGAGAAGCACGCGCCAATCAAAGCCATGGTTGCACCACGAGACGACTCGTCCGAGATATCACTGGCCATTGCGGTTGCGAGCTGGACATTGCCTTCTGACAGTCCACCGACGACTCGACTGGCGATAAACGTTCGGAAATCGACGGCAGCTACCCAGAGCAGGACTGATAGAATGTTACCGCACATAGAGGCGAGGAGAGCCTTGCGACGGCCATAGCGATCGGAAAGGGCGCCAATAAGAGGGGAGGCAATGGCCTGAAGAAGTCTGTATAGTGCAAGATTGTCAGCTTGCGTCTCTACAGTTACTAGAAGGGTGTGCAGGGAACATACGAGAACAGAGAGCCCAGAGCTCCGCCTAGCAAAACGATATCATGTCGCGACTCGATGGGGCGGGAGAAGGAAGCCTTGTATCGATGGAGACCGGATAGAACATTCTGAAGGAGGGTTTGTGGCGCATCACTATCGAGAGGAACCTGGCCTTCGCGATCGCGGTAGAACTCGAGAAGCTTCGGGAACAAGGGAAGAATGAAAGTAAAGGAAATCTAAGTCGAGTTTGTTAACAGATGACACGTCTAGCCTCCAATTTTCTGCATACCAAATCGAGGAGTAATGAGACAGCAATGACACGGAGGACTCGCTTCCTCGCAGTAGGATCGAATGCAGCCATGATGGCTAAGGTTTGTGTATATAAGGACAGATAACACAGGCGGTAGAAGATAAGAAAACAAGATCAAGACGTAGCACGACAAATATATACCTAGGCAGAAAATAGGACAAGAAGAAAGAAGGAATCAACAAAAGAAGTGGAAGAAAAGCTCAGGAGACAGTGGACACTTGATCGTCTGACGGCATCGAATCTCAAAGTGGAAAACGTGGTGGTTTTGGTGGCTGCTTGCTTTGACTGGCGCGATACTATGGAGCCGTAGAAGTCCAGTAGCTCCGTCACTTCAAGTTCCCGGCCCTGGACGGTCTCAGGTTGTGTCCGGGTGGCATCCACCATCAGCTATCTTCCCCTGTAAGTTAGGGGCTATTTCTGCAACATCTTGACGACAAGAAGCTCCACTGCTATTTCGATGATTGTTAATTAAGTTAACCGGGTACGTAGTACGTATAATATTTCTAAGCTTTCCATCGTACAGAGGTAGAACTGCCGTAAATGTTTCAACACTAAGCCTGAGATCGGCATTAGAAGCGAGCCGTTATATTGCAGAGTAGCATTCACAAGAGCGGAGGAAACATCGTGTTGAGATAGATAATATCTGTATTTTTTTGGTTCATTCATTTTGTTATTTTTAAGATCTGGTGTTCTTTCCCATAGGTCATATCCTATGAACCAGTTTCCTAGTTCTCGAGATATGAAAATAGGTCAAGTCAAATCTCGTATCGTATTCTTTTGCGATACGACGTTTGCATAATTTCATCCATCGTATCTTTCGTGACGAAGAAGGTTAATTAATCTCTTGCCAGTGCGCCTTCGTTGACGATTCAGTATACCGGGAGTGGTTGAATTCCCCATCTCCAGAAACACGGTAACCACGAGGGCCAAAAGATGACCTTCAATAAAAAAAAGAAAAGCAGGGGAAAAGAAACATTGCAAGACATAGAAAAAGGCACGCGTGTGCCGTATCATATAAACATAAACATGAAACTCATAGCTTTCTCATGACATGATAACGTAGTTGGTTTTCGTAGAAACTCATTTCCATCAAAAGTTCATATAAATAAAATAAAAAAAGGACAGAAAGGCATTGTGGTATCATAAAGCAGAGCAATGGAAGATACCTGTACCTTGTATTCGTAAGAGTGAAGTGCCCAAATTCACTTAATAGCTTTCGAAGACGAAGCGGAAACCTTCCGATCCCTTGTATGGGATGGGCATGAAGTAGTCGGCGTCAACCTCACAGTCTCGGACTCGTGTCTCGAAGATGCTGAGGTAGCCGACATCTCCGACGCGTTGGTCGCCGTCATCGCTGCCGAACACAACACCGCCGCTTCCCCATCTGCGGAAGAGCTTGGCCAGCGTCAGGTAAAGCTCGGCGTGAGCCAGTGCCATCCCAAGGCAGATACGGGATCCGGAGCAGAAAATGTCGAGGTACTTGTCGAGTCGCTCACCATCTTCCACCCAGCGTTCAGGATGAAAACCTCGGGCGTCGTAAAAGATACTCTCATCCATGACTGTCTTGTAAGGGCTCATGCCAACGATGGATCCCGGGGGAAGATTCCAAGCCTCATCGTTCTCACGATCGTGATAAACAAGAGCCTCGTCCGGTGCCACACGTGCGAGACGACTGCTAGTTCCAATGCCGAGTCGCAGGGCTTCTTTAACAACTCCCCGGAGGTAGGGAAGCTTCTCCAATCGAGACAGTGGGATAGTCTCGTAGGCGTCAGGCATAGCAGAAAAGAGTTCGTCACGCAATTTGCGAAGAGTCTCTGGGCGATTGAGAAGATGGAAGGTAGCAAGAGACATAGCCCACGAGGTAGTGAGAGCGCCACCTTGAACAGTAACTTGGCTTTCCTGTGTCTGGCGTGATACACTCTTCTCCCTTATAGAGCGAGACTTGGTCGACAGCATGGTAGGGTGGCCCCCATCCATCCGCCATTTACCGGTGCTCTGAGGGGGGTCGACGCTGTGAATTTGCTCAAGAATATCGTTCTTCATCTTGAGGAAACCGCCCCATCCTGGCATGCATCGGTTCGAGATAGACTCAGGTAGAGCATTGACAAGGGTAAGCACCCAATCGAGTTGTTGCACACATGGTCCCATATGGGTGCCGATGAGAAGGTCGTTGGTGACCTCAGCACCGAAATCCGGTTTTTCGACGAGGTGGTCGCTTCGGGCAAAAGCATATTCGTTGATGACGTCTGGGAATACTGTTAGACATGGGAAATATCACAAGACAGATGAAGCTTACCATTAGTAAAAGCCGAATAGGGATACATGACATCAAGAGGTTGTCCGTTGGATACTTCGGCGTAGTTCGTGAACGCATTCAGAAGGGCTTCCACTCTCTCCTCGATCACCGGCTGCAGTTCGCGCACAGTCTGAGTTGTATAGAAAGGGTTCAGCGCACTTCGACGCAACTTGTGAAGGCTGTGGTCGATGGCAGCAAGAGAGCCTTCAGTCGCAGGTTTGGGACCCGCGAGAGCGGTTGGGTGAGGGACCTGGGTACGAGGAGCTCCGGACTTTGTTCATGTCAGCATTGGGTTTTGTTTTGAGAAGACATTGTGTTTACCTGTTGGGTGTAAAACGTCCACTTATCCCTGCGTCGGCTAGGCCCAGAGTAGAGGTCTGAGAAGAACTCAGGGTCTCCAACATGAACTTCCCAGGGGTTGATGCGAACGATGGGGCCGTAACGTTCATGCATGTCGATGATCTTGTAGGTGTATTGTCCCCCTAGGACAAAGTCGTAATAGAACTCATAGTATTGAGTCAAGGCCGCCAGCTTGGGGCCTGGGATATGGGCCAGAGGACTGAACCATAGTCTCCAAACCACAAGGGCGACGATATAGATGAGCCAGATACCTGCAAGCAAGCATCCGGTTTGCTGCCAGGTGAGGGCAGCAATGGTCTCTTGGACCGCCATGATGGTGTTGGTAGCCATTCATGAGCGACTCGCCCTGCAGGACGGTATTGTCATTGAAGGAAGTAGAATTAAATATGAAATAGTGGAGTGGCCATGGGCTCTCCAGGCTGCAGAGCAGAAGCCTTTGAAAAATGTCCTTCTGGCATGAGAGATGGCGCTGCATTTGTATTTCAAGCATTTCAAGCACAAGCCTTCACCGCATGGACTCTCGATCAGCCGGAGCGGATAGGCTGAGAGACGGGGAACACTCTCCCGGGTGCGCGAGCGGGCCGCGTGGGGACGTTTCGATGGCGGTGAACGACAACTCGGGAACCCAAGACAGGGGAGGCGCCAGCTGTCACCGCCAGTACTGTAATCATCGTTGGTCGAAAGGCATTTGTGCCTCATCCCAACAGTCTTGGTCGCGTGGAGGGCCAATGGGTGGTGCATCCGGAAGCCGGGGAGCTTGCAAGCATCGTCAACGCTTGTCTTGAATGGGAGGCGCCATTGGATCGCTAAGACGTTTGTGAAGGAGTTTTCAGGAACGAATTTAGTTCGAGGCTGGGAACCCCAGGGGTCCAAAAAAGGATTTTGGAAGTTATTTGATGGTTTTTTACGGATAGAGAAGAGTTCGATCAGAGCGAGAGGTTGGCGGTTGTGAAGGGCGAAATAGCAGGTTGCTGATGGAGGTTGGAAGTCGATCGGTGGTTGGTGGTTGATACCTTCCTCAAAGGTTAGACAAACCAATCAGCGCAATACAGCGAAAGCGGTGATGTATGAAGGCCTAATGGTGTTTCTGATCGGTTGCATCCGAGCTAAATTAGATGCAATGCACTTGATAAAAAAAAGTGGGAGATGAGATGATGAGAAGCATTTGACAGCCCAGGCTCGGCCATTCTATGCAATGTGGTGCATACGCAGAAGCAGAAGCAGAAGCAGAAGCAGACAATGGCTCACGGGCCATACAATGATACCTACCTTAGTCCCTACCTAGGTACCTTTTACATGTATGGGCCAACTTGACGGCAGATGCCAACTCGGCAGATGATGACATGCAGCAGAGAAGCTCAGAATAATATGATAGATTGTAATACGCAACAAGTATTGAAAGGAAATTAATAGCGATTGATGAAACAATCTATATTAACCATTTTGGTCCTACAATATCCAAGGTTATACCTAGACGAGACTTTTCACTTGCTGCTCATCTTTTAGCCCCTCCTACCCCTCATATCGTGTAAATGTCCATCCATGCCTACCCTTGATAGCCACCCTATACTCTTCTCCATCCTGTTGCACTAATTCATGTATCTTGACCGACAACTCGGGAATACCATGTGGAAACACTAGAATGCTGAAACAATCGACTTGTCGCGTGTTCTGGATGCCTCGGCAATACTAATCCTTACGTGTAGAGTTGGCTGGTACGACTCAAGGCGGTGTCACTTCATACTGAAGCCATTCACAGGTGACTGACATACGCTGTGTACCAGCGGCTACAGAAACAATCACTGACCAACTTTAAAATGCCCGAAAATCACCGAGCGAGTAGCTCAGGAAAACAAATGATAAGGCCAAAGCTTCCTGTAAATGATTGTAAACCAGCCCCGTTCCTACGCTTCACATGTCAGACCACCCGGGCATATTGGGCGCTGGAGAGTAAACATCACGATGCTTACTTGCTGGAGATAACGAATATGCAGACTTAAGCATGTCTTCGATACTAAGGTGAGACCTTTGAGTCTGGAGCATGGTCTAGCATGTGGTGATGCAAGTGAAGCTCAATTCGACCATCACGATGTTCAGATGATGGATGTTTCGAGACGCTGCACCTATGGCGATAAGCCACGACCTGAATATCCATCAAGATCAATGCTCATATTGTACAGCTGACACCTTGTTATTCGCCAAATACGGATGCTGCATCTGATCTCATGCATCAGCACAAGGTCACTGCATTGGAGGGCAGAGAAGAGCGAGAGGGTTATAAATGGGGTTGAGAAGTTGACATCCCGCGTTCAAATGCTCCACCCCCACATAGAAATCCGGGGTAAATGCCTCCATTTATTATTAGTTCCAGATATGAGGCAGCTAACCTTGCCTTGCCTTACCTTAACTTAGTAGACATTGATGCTGGGTTAACGTTGACGCTGAGAGATAAGAGAGGTGACATCTGCCCCTCATTTTTCTTCTACATGTTTAATTGTAGGGCTGACTTGCCTGTAACGTTTTGTTGTGTCACCTACCTATGTCTCTGACTGGTCCCTGCTTCGGTTGCTTCCGCCTTGTCGATAGCCTCATTTGACTTACACGCTCACAGGCTTACACGGGTAATCACTTCATATCACATCGCATCACGTCACATCACATGCACGGTAGGAGCTCACAGCTACCTGTCAAATAGCTGCACCATTGACATAAAACCCAACCTTCCGTTTTCAGCCAGGCCCTTCGGTACTTCCTTAGCTTCCATTCATATTAAAGTCAGCGGCTACCCCAAGGTAATTACTCTCAACGTTGAAAAGAGGGGAAGGAAGGGTCGCGCATTCCTTCCCTCCAGATCTCAACCGCTGTGGCTTGAAAACGGGTTTCAGATGACACAATTCTCAACCCTGATTTTCTTTTCCTTCATTCCACTTCATTGATTCTTTTGCCACATACCTCTCAAGGGCTTGAGAGAACGCTGCGAAACTGAAATCAGCAAGCAAACTTATGCTACGGATTCCCTCTACCTACTGGGAGGCTTCTCGACAGGGCCTCAACAACGACAGGATTCTTTCCGGGATGCCCCTGGGTTAAACATCAGTTAGCTTTTTCAACCATTACCTGGGTTCCACCAGGTCCGTTCATCTCCACCAGCCCAGCGAACCGGTTCGAGATCACGATAGTCCAGACTATACTCGGTAGGGCTACGACTGATGCAACAACGTTTCTATCCCTCGATTCGATAACCCACAAAACGGTTACACTATTGAACTTAACGTCACGAAGCTGTCAACTCTGATCTGACTGGGCTGGCAAGGCAAGGCAAGATAATGCTAATACTAATAATGTTTCAAATCGTATTCCAATAGGTATAGGTATCAAAATATTAAGTCGGCCCTGAGACCACACGCACTCTTATGTACGTTTCTATAACCATGTTACCGTTTTCCCTCCTCTTCTGACAATCCCATAGATAAGATCATGATCCGAGACCTGAGTATTCCGTCTAATAGTACTTTTCCGAACCGTTTCCCAAAGAAGATGAAAGCATAACTCCACAAACTCCGTCATCCCAGAATCCCTTTTTATTTCGATCGGCAGTCGATATCATCATCGCTAAAGCAGTGCGCATGTCGTTGAAACAAGCATGTTGGTTGGCTTGATTTTACATTGTGGCCCTGGAGGAGGGGTTAGCATTCGAGTTTTACAATCTCGACAACCAGGAATACTGACCTGAGGCACGCTGGCTCATAACAGAGGTCTAACCGCAGTGCTTGCATCGTCTTATTGCTGGCGAACGAGCTGAGGGCACTTCTTTCCCTTTGGGGGCTTGGGCGCATTGGGCTTGACAACGCCGGTAGTGTCGTAAGGTCCGCGAGGCATGTTGAAGGTTGTTTGGGTTGTTTTGTTTTCTGGTTAAACGGTGCAGAAAAACAGGTTGGTTGTCCTTGAAGAAGTCGGGACAAGATGAATATGCTGATAAGTTGGCAGAGTTGTTGGTAGGTTTGTTGCAGGTTGGTTTGTGTGTTAAGCAGCAAGCGAAGAAAGGCAAAGCTGAATTGGACTGAACTGAACTGAGCTGAGTTGAACTGAAAGACAGGAATCCAAGGGCAACGCGCACAACGGGATATTCTTAAAAAACCAAGAGGAACTGATCGCAGCAAAGAAATTGTGACGGGGACCATTTTGTCTTAAATTCTTGGGAAAAGCACCCCCGAAATTTGGAGGCTCGCGTGGCTTCTACGCACCGATACTTTCAGGTCTGGTCATAACCTGGCGGTCAGCGCACCAACACCCCTGATAAGTTGTCTTCCTAGCCCAGCTTTCGAAGACGCCCCCTGTGCCTGGTATCCCAGCAGACCGCAGGCCTAGCTGTTCACTGTTCCAGTGCTAGGATCTGCAGGGGCCGTGAGTCTCTCTGTCAATTAGCACTGGACTGGCGGCGGAACGCCAGCTCAAGTTGCCGGGCCCTGGTTTAGACTGGCCTGGGGGATTATCCGAATGTGGCAATTGTTTGTTACGGGGATCGGGAGTCATGTTTGAGGCGGGATGGTTCTTGAATTGGAGTTGCTCAACCCAGCTTCAATCAACATGACTTACATACTCAGAGGGCCAAAGGAGAGGAAGCTCCAGACTCCAGTCAGTCGATAATGTACCTCCGTACTGTGCTGTGCTGTGCTGTACATACATACAGCAAACGCAGGGCGAGCGAGATGAACCAGATCAAGGGCGTTTGATACAGGCCAGGCCAGGGGTCGACAAAAAAGTTCAAAGTGAAGGGATGGTGGACACCAGACCAAGCTTGTGGGGAATTTCAATCACTATCCTGACCAGGATGAGGCTTGCAACTGGGGACTTTTATTCCAAACAGAATTCTAGAAGAGACGCCACGATGGATTTTGGGCTCAAAAGTCACTATACGTTGGGGCGCAAGGGGAAGCGAAGAAAAGAAAAAAAGGGACGGTGAGCGACTCAGCTGGGCTATGATGACATTCAGATCCAATCTCGGTGTGGGAATATTTGATTCATTGTGACAAGTCGCTACGGTTTCCGTCAAACGACACATCATTCCTGTTGAGACAAGATCAGAAACAGGGAGACAACAAAGGCAAACGCCATTCTTTTTTTTTGGTCAATCAATCCATTAATTTTTTTTAATGAATGGCAAAAAACACTGATTCAATTAAAAAAGCAATAATTAAAGCAGCATGCGTAGGCACGAATTCGCACTTGTTCTGCTTGTCTTGCCCTGTCTGGTGTCCGTCATCATACCACACCGACAGCTGCACATGAGCGTCAAGTACACGTCTCCCCGGCTATTCAGGCGTTGATGCATAGGATTAGGGTCGATAGGCATATCTGTAGGGTCGTGTACATACAGTAGAGGTGACGTCTGTTGTGTGTTGTATTGTTTTGTCCACCGCTTCGGGTAGACCCTAGCCTTGGTACCTTACCTTACCTTACGTTTAGTTTTAGCACGTATCAAGTATTAAGTGACAGTTGGTCGGTCGGTCTGGCTGCACTCCATATCAAAAGAGCCCATTGTGCCAGTTCATGTCGATGTGGACTGCAGACCGAATGGATACATACTGCACATACATACATATGGATACTGTAGTAGTCTAGTAAATGGATATTCAGATGTATCTGTATGTATGTCTGTATGTATGTGTTTTACAAGACCCCTTTCTGTGTCTGTTCTCCATTCTCCCATGATCCATCCATCCATCTATTCTTCCATCACCCAGCCAAGAATCTCCTTCGCACGAGCCAGTTCATTTCGTGAGCCACGTTATTATTCCAAGAACAGGGTCTACTTTTTCCATCCTCCACTTAGACTAGGAACAAGAGCCCGGCCGTCTGTCACAGCCCTGTCAAAAAATCGAACCAAGCGAAGTATCAACGGCCAGTCCTTAACCTTGGAGTTTCCACTACCCGTTGGTGCGGTGCCATAGAACAACAAAGTTCCAGTTCCAGTTCCACGGTCCCGTGTCCTCTTTTTCTCTCTTTCTCTGCCGATCGGTTCGGATGATGCTTCCCAAGTTCCGGGAGGGATTAATTGATTATGATTGTCATGGCTCCGGTGGCAAGGGAAGAGCTTCCCGAGTACGGTAAGTAGGTATCAGTGTCAAGTGTAAGGATGAAGATTATGGGTATGGGCATGGGTAACTGCATTGCATTGCGCTGTAATGTAGCTTTCTGTATTCTTCCGACATTTTGACAGGTTTCGGATGGGGGAGGCAAACAAAAGTGCGACACGTCAAAGGCTGAGATTTTAGGGCGATCGTTTTTTTTGCTGCAGCACCAAGCGATTTCCATGACATACGAGGCTCAAGTTGACGCACAGGAATTTTTGATCAGTATTTTTGTTCATGATTACACAGCATCCAATATTATCTGAAACTCAGTGGTTGATTTTTTATCTCACAATTCATCTATACAGTAAGGTAAGGTAATTTACTTCACCTCGAGGAAATGCCACCCGTAATAATAGGAATAGCAAATTGACAAAATCACCAGGACAAGGATTCATGAATACGAACCACACAACAACTACATAGTACGTATAAACAAGAGAGTTTTTATTTTACAGCATCTTATTTTATTTTTTTCAAACGGTCCTCCGTTGATGAAGAAGGGTCTGAGGGTTGAACATCGCCAATCGGAGCCCGTTCCAGGTGGACGGTCCTGTCTTAGTGCCCTTGGAAATCAATTCCGAATCCTAGACTCCTTTTTTTTTTTGTCCCTTTCCTTTTCCCACCCCCAATCCATCCATAATCCTCTGCCAGCAAGCAACCAGAACAGTGCAGTTGTCCGACTTTTCCTGTGGACTCTGTTGACGTTCCACCGGTACATGGAACCGAAATAGTCGGATCACCGGGCGGATCCTCTATCACGCTCTCTCTCTTCTGGATGGACGGTTGCAAGAATCAGAACCCATCTATCCCTGTTTGCCATGCGATCAGGAGCGCTTTGGACATCTGACAGAACTAGATGCCGTACAAGTGCCGCTTCCAAGGGCTCAAGGGAGGAACACAATGTTGGGGAAAAGGGTGTGCAGCAAGAACAAGTCTTTATGCATAGAGGTCTTATTAGTCGAATGCATGTATATGTAAGTGTCTGCCAGCCATACATCTAGTCCCTTTGCGACTGTACACCTCACTACACACGCTGTCTTCGTTGTCTAGCTCGGCGAATAGTCCTGAGCCCAACCCCAAACCAAGCCAAACCAAACCAAACCAAACCAAACCATAGGAAAGCAAACCAACTGGCAACTGGCAACGGATACGGTACGGTACGGAACCTGGAAGCAAGCGTTGTCCGGACTGCAGGGGTCATATTCCCCGTAGTCGTAAACTCACCCTAACACCCCCGGACGGCGGCAGCGTCAGAACCGTGGCTCCGGTGCCGACGCTCTAATCTAAGGTAGCTTCTAGCCTCGCTCTATGTACAGTACCTACGTATCCGTACAGTACAGTACAATACACTACAATCAGTACCTTAGGCTAGGCTAGGCTAGCTCGATTAGCTGCTGCTGGGGGATTCTTTACCTGGGCAGGGTTTCAGGACCAAAACTCATCCACCTGTAAGCGCCATCGAATCGGCGACACTGACAGCATGGCACAAGCAAGGCTGGCCTGGCCAGGTTCGAAATTTTCGTCTGTGTAGGGTTGCGAAGCCCGTGATGGAGAAGTGAGCTAAAGTCGCGATGGGATCAAACGCCCCCCAGACCGCTACATATACCGGCCGAGCTGTCATGTTAATGGAAGATCCGCTTTGGCCAACGAGGCTCCCAAACGAAGGGCAAGGACCATGAGCACGGTGATTTTCCAGGCGGTGGGAGAAGTTCCAGAAGGTTTCCCAACGAGTCAACCCTGCAACCGAGCATTGCATCAAGGGTACCTGAGCCGAGAAGCATAAATAGGAGTTTTGTCTAGTCATAGAGGCAATGCGCTATGAGGTGAAACGAGTCGGTCTCGACTCACTTTCATAATGCGGTGGGTAAAATGGATGATGTTTCAATATCAGAAAACCTTCCACCGACATAATAGCCTCGGCATAACCGCCATATATGGTCCTATGAATGGGGATGGTGGCTCTTGCTTTGAATCCGATATAAGTAGGGGTCTCGGTATAAGCAAAAGGCATTTGTCGGTCTGGTCTGCAAGCCTATACTGTAGAGGACATCTGTGGATGCTTGGTACACAAGATCTAGTATGGAATATGATCGCTCACTCCGATGAGAGATTGAGTACTCTGTACCGTAGTCTAATCAGGGAATATTGATCGATCTACATGAGACAACTCATGACAGGACAGAGAGACACCCATGTTTCACAAGAGAAGAGAAGACAGGAGAAGACAAAGAGACGAGAGACAAGAGCAATCAGCCATTGTCGCAAAGTGACATGGAAAGTGCAATTGTTTGGCGGCTACTCATGCAGTTCAAGGGTCCAAGTCAAAGCTGGTCCATGATGTCTGCATCTAAAATGTTCCGTAGTCGCCCTGTGCTGTAAGTCGATCTACAAACTGCAGCCAAAAAAGCAATGTTGTTGCAGGAGGCCACGCGCGACCAACAGCCTATCATGTCCCAGGTTTCAGCAATTGTCTGACTGACTCGCAATGTTTCTATAAATTAAATTGAGTTCGAATCATGAATGTTGCAGTAGAGATACTGCCTATCAGAGGAAATATACATCAAGCATACTTGTGCCTGGCAGCTCAGTAAAACTAAACGCGAGTCAATGAGTACTTACTTACCGTAGGTAGACTCAAACTACAGCCCACACCAGAACTACCTACTAAGTTGATGTAGTACTTGTGAGGTAAGTTACAACTCCACCGCCGTCTATCAATCTACCAATCTACATGCTCTCTCTCTCTACTCATCTTGTATTAATCTTAGGAAACCATTGCTTGCTCGTTAATTAAATCTTGTCCTTCTGATATCTACCTTAAGCCACATACGGATACCTCCATACCTACCTATGACATGACTGTTTACTCTTCACGTGACCTATAATGTCTGCCTTCCACATGCGTCTAGCGCTCTCGCTGTGACCCCATCTTGGGAAGGAGCCAAACGCGCCTCATCTCGAAACAGCTCAGCTTCATATTGGAACCTCCACTCTACCTACTGTACGGCTTTAAGTGCCTACCTTACCTTATCTTGATGACACACACAGCAAAACATACATACAGTCACAGTCAGTATCAGTACCTGCTTCCATAAATAAGTTGCTGCAATGCCTGCCTGTCATGGCTGTCGAGTGCGCAAGGTCAAGTGCGATGATGGAAATCCCTGCTCGCCGTGTCGTCAGTTCGATGTCCAATGCATCAGATCGACAGCCCCGAGGAAACGTCAGAACCCCAAGCGAGGGCGTCTAGTAGCCCAGGCCAGAGAAGGCAATATCCAACAGCAGACGGCTCTTTCGCCAAGTGCTTCAGTGTCTCCTTCGGCAGTTCATTCAACGCCTCATGCAGCTAGCGAATGGCCGCCAGGGAGTAGCCCTGGTTCTGCATCAGGGCCATTCTCCCCAAACTCCGAGGCCTTTACCAATGGCTTCTTTCACTCGCTGCTGCCCGAGTTCGAGAAGGTCGTTTACCCTTTCAGTCCTGCAGTTACTCCCGAGGATATCCTTGCCTCAATATCCATGATGCATCATAATCCTGAGGACGCAGCTTTGGTATACGCATATGCAGCTGTCACCACATTTTTGTCACAGACGGCGGAAAACACACACGGTAGTGTTGCAGCGCAAATAAGCAATCTGGTCTACCACAGTCTCGACGCACATCATCGTGCCGGCATCAGTAGTCATGGCCCAGGACGTGTAGATGAGGGGTTGCCTCACAGCATCAAGCGCATCGTTACATGTATCTACCTCGAGATCTCAACAATGGGGTTAACTCGTCTCGACCGAAGTTTCAGCTTCATACGGGAGGCTATATCGCTAATTCAGGTCATGGAGGCTCAGCAACGGACGTTACCAGATCATACGCGGACAACGTATCCGATGGCTCGATTTCAGCAAGTGTACTGGGAGGTGTATATCCACGAGAGATTTCTCACCATTGCCGATGGATACCCTAGCATCATGCCTCCTCTTCATACAAACCTTTCAGCTACAGATGCTTCCACCCCGGAACACATCCGAGTTGGTTTTAACTGCTTAATAGAACTCTTCCTCATTCTGGACGAGACGTTCCTCGCATCTTGGCAATCGCAAAGGGGTGCAATTGGTGGGCTAACGGTGCAATGGATTGAGAGCAAGCAAGTGCAGCTCGATCAGGCTGAGATGAACGCTGCAGCTGCTGAAGCCAGAATGAACAATGCTGGACACGCTGGTTTCACAGAACTGCAACGCGCCGATCTCTTTATCACAAGACTCTGGTTGCGAACATTGCTCTGGCAACTGGCGCTCTCCCAAGGTCTTCTACGATCAGGATCCTCAGATACAACACACGAGGGACTGTCACTGCAATTCCCAGCATCGCGTCTATCAATACAACTTCGCAGCCTCGTTGACAGGCTGGATAGTATTGTGAGTATAGCAACGCAAGGCAGTGGTATCATACAAAAGCTCTTCGAGATTGCCAGCACCATCGCCGATGTACTCGCTCTTCCTGCGGGGCACAGCGCAGAGGACGGACTTCGTTCGCATGTGAAAGATTTTCTTTATGTGGTCAATTTTCTTCTAGAGTTGGGCTTGATGAGAGAGAACCAGAAGGAGTATCTACGTGAGAAATATCACATGTTACAGCCGTTAAATACAGAGGAGGAAATGCCTGCACATAATGGGGAGCAGGCAGTTGCGTCCTAACGTGACAAGGTTCACATTTAGGATATTTGATTATTTAGCCAAGGTAGTTAACGTTATGATTCTGCATGTATTAGTCAAGGCAACAATACCAGGCATTATGAGTTATGATCACCAAGCCTTCTGATTGGGAACGGATAGGTAATTGTCGATGAGAAGAGGCATATTTAGCTTATTAAGCATGCATTCTTGTACGGAAATAATGTCAAGATAAACTGCATGCAAAGTTGACATGTTACATGGATATACAATCGGAAGCTTGAAGCTGCAAGGATTTCGGTCCAGCCTTTAGCGCCACTCAAAAAGTCACTCCACTCACACAACGTCAAACCTTGAAATCACTTCACGTACCCTAAAGCTTCAACTCATTTCAACATCAATTATGCATTTCCAACCTGTCGAGCAAATGACTGACGAACCATATACCGCTCGTCCTCAGAACGAGTCTCAAGCTGTTCATCACGAAAATGATGTGCTAGATGATGTTTGGGGATCAGAGCCTTCGTCGCCTACTGAGCATCGTCACAAGGATGAGTCAGGCACAACTCATTCCTCTGATATCCGTCGCCTGCAGACAGAGCATACAACAGCAGGGTATCGCGAGGGCATTACTGTGTCAAAGGAAAGCAGTATTCAAGCCGGGTTCGATGAAGGATTCAGTCTCGGCGCAAGCGTGGGCCTTAGAGCAGGCCAACTTCTGGGTCTTCTGGAAGGTATCACCGAAGCCGTCCACAGCCTACAAGATGCAGATGCCACCAAAGTAATCGAACTCACAAAACAAGCACGCGAAGAACTCAGCACACAGGGTATCTTCAAGCCCGAGTACTGGGCTGAAGATGGCAACTGGAAGTACGAAGTCAAGCCTGCTGCTGGAGCAGAAGAAGTCGTCTTTGCGGACGTGGCAGATGCGCATCCACTTGTAAAGAAGTGGACAGGGGTTATTGAAGAACAGGTTAAGCTGTGGAAGATTGATAGGCGGCTTTTGGATGATGAGACGGGAGTGAGGTTGGAGAGTGTTATGGATGATACGCTTGGGTCGGGAGCCGCGCCGGCGGTCAAGAAACCGCTGGATTGGTGAGGTTTTTGAGGTCAGGGATGGATATACATTGAGGAAGTATGGAACTCTTGAGACTTAGATGGAGACTACCAAGGTATGTTGTCTGTTTTGACTAAGTGGTATAAGCTAACGATTGTTAGAATGTAACATATTGCGTGAGCCCAGAATCTAGCGCAGAAAGCACCTCTAAAAGAAGTCAATCAGGAGTGACACTGTACCGGTGCTGCTGTGCGAGATCTCGTCGCAGACCATGGCAGCGCTATGAGAATTGCGCTGCGCTGTCTGATATTACGTCTCAACTATCGTCACTTACCAAGGGGCAATTACTTGCTCCGTCCCTTGCTTGGAACAAGATACCTCAGGATACAGTCATGTACGCATCGAGCAAATCTATCACGATCGGGGAATTTGTAGACAAAATAGATGTGGTATCATGGTGATTTGTATTGTATGACTTGTTCTTTTTCTCTCAAATTAACAATCTCATACCCCGGCAATACATTTCACAGTCGATTTAATCTCCATCAGCTCACTAACAGACTGAGGCCATCGCGACCGTCTACTCCGGGCCTTTAATTAAATAAGTTAGATGCTCTGATAAGGTAAGAGAACTAGATAAACTATTTTATGCCAAGGTGCACAAGATTCTTAAGTTTTCATAGAGTAAAAAGTTAGGCTGTGATTCACTGACTTACAAGCCTCGTCTCAGCCAATCACAGATCTAGGTTTATCCTCACCACGAGTACAATGTCTAATTATTTGACTATTCCTCCAGTTCTTTCTTTCTCTTCTCAAATCTTCCTCCTTTATCATCACTACACTCCAAAAGGTACAATTTCCTTACACAAACGTACTGTGCTATCCATAATTAATCTTTATTAACTAAAACAGGACCAGTATCATGCCGGACAGCGAACTACCATTTCGGCCGCGGTCAGGATCGCGAAGACTTGGAGTTGGAGGTTTACCAACTCCGTCAACGACTGAGAGCTCTGGTGGCTCTGGTGGCTCAGATGAGCCACTCATTGAAGTGCAGACCGCTAGGTATCGTGCGGCTTGGCCCAAACTACGACGCACTCCTCTGGAGCTTTCTGCCGATGCTAAGCTTCCTTTGTTCATCCAACCCTTTGTTCAGCAGATCATAGAACAAGCTCGTTCGATTCTTAAAAGTCACCAAGTGACAGACGACGATGAAGAGTCCGATGGATGGGTCGACATCAATCTAGCCAATGTCGAAACGGTTGGAGATCCCCAAACACGTATCCCAACACTAATGGTTTGCGCATCTTGGACGAAGGAGAATCAAGCCAGCTGGGTGAAAGCCGTACACGACATCGGGGTGTACCTGCACAAGGTTTCTGTGGCCGGAAACTTTGATCATGGTCTGATTCAGATTGATATCATCGCACCTAACCTCACTCAGACGATTTACTACGGACCAGTGAGCGACAAACGATACCACTCCTGGGATACCATCAACAACCTTGTGCACCAACGCCTGGAGAGCTTCGAAGCTACCAAGGGCCATACGACTCTGATAGGCCTATTTCACTACGGTCGCTCCATCTGCATTCCTGACAACCCCGTCACTGTATACATTGCGGTGGACTTCGAGTCTGATGAGACACAATGGCTTGGGGTTATTGCTGACATCGAGCGCAACATACACAGCCGTGGATGGACTGGCGTTCAAGTCCACATGGAGCACAATGTCGGCATGGACCATTCTTTTCCTTTGCTGACACCAAAAGGCAACAAGGCAACGATCAGAAAAGAAGGCGTCGCCATGAACAAGCGTATTAAAGGCGACTATCAGCAGTTCGTCAACTTAGGGGCTGATTTTGGACCTGCGGCCGACATCAAACGTACCGACAATGTCGACATGAACCCCGGAGCCGCGACCTTGGGATGTTACGTTGAACTCAAGACAATAAGAAACCCAGACTGGACGAAATACGCCCTCACCAACTACCACGCAGTTCGACCTGCCTTTGATGGCTATTGTCGTAAACCCGGAGTTTTGGGTTCGGAACTTACTGAGCCAAGACAGAACAGTGACCTTCGAAAGGTTGACCGGTATGGTTTTAGCCCCATCTCAAAGGTCCCGTCCATTGCCCTCGAAAGTCCCTCTCGAGCCAAGCACAACTTCACCATCTGGACTATTGACGAGAATATCACCCGATTGACAATTGACAACGTCCGACTCGAGGCTCAACGTCGGGCGGGCAATAATGACCAACTCCAGCCATCGATCGATGAAAACAAGCGCAGGATTCAGGAAGCGAAGAATGAGAAACAAAAGAAGGTTGAGTTCTTTAACAATGGGAAACACATGCTTGGGAAAGTGTTTGCAGGCTCTGGTTTCTTTCGCAGGGCCCCTGGTAATATGAGACTTGACTGGGCATTGATCAGTGTCGATGTCAATCGACAAGGTTCTAATCGCCTACCAACCAGAGACGTCTGGGATAGCAAGTACTCGGATCATATCCCTACACCATACGGTTCACTCGGATCCATTCTTGAAGATCAATCTACCACTATTGGCCCTGGTAATCCGGAACATGTCTGGAAAGTCGGTGCTACTACTGGGCCTACAACAGCAACGTACGACAAACACACTGTCAGAGCCCGCCTGTCTGACGACGTTTACCTCAAGAACGAGATAAAGAACTACCTGTCGACCGAGTACATCTTTCAGTCACACGAAGGGGTCAAGTTCTGTGCTCCGGGGGACTCAGGTTCAGCTGTCTGGGACGAGAACGGAGGAATTGTTGGTTTATTCTTTAGGGGGCATTCAATCAACAAGTCCTTCGATGATGGTTTTGGGTTGGTAACACCAATTGAGCTTGTTTTCGAGGACATCAAGAAGTTTTCAAAGGGAACAATCACAGAGATCAGGGTCGCAAAGAGTTAGCACAGCCAGTCATGGGATATTCACTGAAGACAGTGATAACGACACCTTATCGTATAAAAGGATGTCCGTGAATATCTCCACGTGGCGAATCATCGGCGAAGATACCAAGGTTAATGGTTTAACGATGCTGCTTCGGCATTGGTAGAAAACAGTCTTTTCAAGTCAATTTAGATTCTCTTATCTATAACTTAAATCCCCCTCTTTGTGAGTAAACTAAACAATGTGTGGCAATTACGATCGATCAATCGAACGACCGTGTGTCGATGATTTCCAGTGATGTCTGTAGTCTCAATAGCTTCCTGGGTCCTGGGTCCCATCAAGTCGTACAGGGTGTGGAAGTACATGCTTGACATGGTCAGGATCCGCCTCCCTCAAGAGGCCTCCGCGAGGGAGCATGGGACCAGTCTCTTCGCCGACAACTGCCTTGTTACTGGGTCTACGCTCTCTGCGTTGCCCGAAAAGCACACCAAAGAGCGTTTTGCTCGCGGATCCCACAACTCATGTCGTGGATGAGCAGAAACGTAAAGTTTAGGCCCTTCGGATTTGTCTGGATTGCAGTTATGATTGTCGACTTTCGCTTCAACCGTTGACATACTCCTGAAGCGTCTTGGCCACATCCTCGATGCGCTCGTACTTTCCATATAGCTCCTTGGTTGTCTCCCAATCACGGCCCTCTCTGCCAAACATCATAAGCTTGACAACCTTGCCGTCATTATCCATAACAACTCTGCCGCTACGCTCATCAGCCCAGGAAAACCTGATCTGCTTGGCTTCGATATCTGCTATTCCGACCTCAACGATGTCATCGGGTAATATGGTATCGTCGATTCTGTCATGCAAGCCCAGGCTCCGTCTTAGATCGGCGGAAACACCTAATCTGTTATGATATCGCACGATCTCTCGTCGCAGTGCTCTGACAAATCTATCCAGATCTTGTTGTGGTGGGGTGTCGCTCTCGGGTCGCGGAGCAGGGAGATGACGTGCTGCCAAGCCAGCAATGGGGATTGCAGGAGGGAGTGTATTTCTGTGAATGCGCATGCACTTGGAGCTATAGTACGGTCGGTTGAGAAAAACGTAGTATGGTTGTAGGAACTGGCTTTTGGACATTATTTCGAATCGTAAGCCCAGAATATGACCGTTGTCGACTGCATTAGGATCGGGGTCGTAAACTTTGAACGCTGTGACGGAGCTACAGGAGCGGTAAAGATTTTGTTGCGTATGAGCTTTTTGCTTTTCGGACTGGCTGTGGACTTTGGGGTGGGCGGAATGCTTTCGAGACGAGAAGCCTTTGTTCGATTTTAAGAGAGCCTGCGTCGAAGGAGCCGAGAGAATAGTTGAAGTTTCGATTTTGAGGGACTTGCGCAATGCGGCGGCTGTTTATGTTGGATGCGTTAAGCTGTGTTTTGTTTGAATGCGCCCTTGACTTTAACGACTAACCTTGTTCTTTAAGCGCCTCAATCTCTTGATCGATAATATCGCTTTCCGTCGGAGCATCGACTTCGGACGACATGATGGTGTTATATGTAGCGGGCGATGGGACAGAGCGTGAGGCTGAGACCGAGATTGAGGCTGGTGATGATGATGACGATGTTGTTGTTTTGGTCTGGGCTGTTTACAAACAATGGTTGGCAGTCATAATTGGTGGAAGCTATGACAAGGACGCTGATAAGATAAGACTGCGATAGGTACTGCAGTGCGTCGCGTCGCATCCAGTCCATTTTGACTTGCATACCCCGTAACTAACTAAAATTAGATTGATCACATGGATGGTATTGGTTTCTAATGAGATGGAATTGTAAATGCCACTTGATTTAATGAATGCAGTTCTCTAAGGGTAAAACAAAAAAAAAAAAAAATCTTCTTTCGTAGGTACTAATTACCTAGGTATCCATGATTGATGGATGGACCCTCAATTTGTAACTACCACAGAAGAAAGCTCAGTGACAGATAAGAGAATGTCTCATTGGCTCTGAGATCCTTGAAGTCCGGACCTTCAACAGCGACCGACCCCTGACGCGCTTCCTTTTTGGGAAAACCTCAGTTCGGGGAGTGCTTGGCTTTCGGGGTTGAGCGGGCAGATCTGGACTGTGGTTGAGATACTGACATATATTGTTCCCTCAGTATTCTCTACGCCTTGAAACCCTTCAGAGATATTTCTCACATCATGACAAATCAAAGGATCTCATATGTAATAGAACCCCCCATCGCATTGCCACCAAAAACAAAAACGCCTGCCTTCAAAAGGCCAGCTAAGAACAAAAAACTCCCCCCCATCCATGTCGCTATTCCCATTCAAGATTCTAGATCCATCCCCAGAAAGAAAAGAATCCAATCACATCTCATCGCTAAAAGGCCACGGTAGCGGAAGCCTGCAAGGTCCTCTTTTCCCGTATCCGAAACGTCTACAACAAAGTGACCTTGTCTTCTGAATCGGACTGAGGCGCCCATCGAGGTACCTGTCTTAGTACCTACTTCAATATTTGACAACTTTCCTTCCTCCCTGTACTACATTCCTTCATCAACAACATACTTTCTTACTCTCACTACTAACCTATATTTTCTGGTTACTTCTTTTCAACTGCAGTTTCTTCACTTTTGAACGAATCTTTCATCTCCATCTCCAACTTCCTTCTCCATAAATACGTCACGCAAACGAGACAGATCCATCGAATCGTATTCCGCCCGCATCTGACTTTGACGCTTTCGACGCCTCCTTGTCGCATTTGTTCAACCCCCCCTTTACAGCGCTGTGCGATCTATCAACACCACTTTCTTTAACGCGCGCTATATAGCCTCGATCTTCTTCCCTTCGGCACCTATGACCGCCAGAGCTCGACGACCTCAGAACAATCCCGGCCGGCCGCCCCTGACTATCAAAACTGAATCAGATGCGAATGGAAACGGCTACATCAACGTCAACGGCAGAATGAGCAGCGGAGTAGAGATGCGCCGCAAGGCCGCTAATCCAGACACCGAAAATGTTGCTGCAAACTTCATCAAGAGCGAATCCTTTTCCCTCGACGATCCTGTTCCAAAAACGCCCGCCCTTAACGACCATGGTTTCTTCGAGCTTCCTCGCCAGGACCAGAGAAGTTTCCTTCTCTTGGTACTTTTATACTTCTTGCAAGGAATTCCTATGGGCCTAGCGACTGGTTCGGTGCCTTTTCTTCTTAAGAACCATATGTCGTACAGCGAGATTGGTATTTTCAGTTTGGCCTCTTATCCTTACTCTCTGAAGTTATTCTGGAGTCCTTTCGTGGACGCCGTCTGGAGTCCCAAGATTGGTCGCCGCAAGACCTGGATTGTGCCCATTCAATTTCTCTCTGGATTCGGTATGCTATGGCTGGGTTCCCACGTCGAAGACATGATGGAAACGGCTGGCAAGCCCGGCGGCATGACAGCTTTCTCCTTCATGCTCTGGTGGTTTTTCCTCGTCCTTATGTGCGCCACCCAGGATATTGCCGTGGACGGCTGGGCCCTTACACTTCTGACTCCTGGAAACGTATCCTACGCTTCGACCGCTCAGACAGTTGGCCTTACCGCTGGCCACTTTATGTCTTATACCGTTTTCCTCGCCTTTAATGCGGCTGATTTTGCCAATAAGTGGTTTCGAACTGTTCCTTCAGACGAAGGCCTCCTCTCACTCGGAGGATATCTCAAGTTCTGGGGCTGGTCATATATCATTGTTACCGTTGGACTTGGTCTTTTGAAGAAGGAGGACAAATCACAGAACGAAGATGGCGTCTGGGATGTCTACCGCATCATGTGGGGTATTCTGAAGCTTAAGAATGTTCAGACCATCATCATTGTTCATCTTATTGCCAAGATTGGCTTTCAGGCTAACGACGGTGTCACCAACTTGAAGCTTCTGGACAAGGGATTCGGTAAGGATAACATGGCCCTGACGGTCCTTATTGATTTCCCCTTCGAGATTGGTCTGGGTTACTATGCTGGAATGTGGTCTCAAAAGTACACCCCTATGCGTCTTTGGTGCTGGGGCTTCGCGGGTCGACTGATTGCCGCTCTCTCCGCGCAATTTGTTGTCGCAATCTTTCCCTCTGAGGGAGTTACATCTTGGTATTTGTTGGTGGTCATCGCTGAGCACTTGTTCTCGACATTTACCAACACCATCATGTTTGTCGCCGTCTCAGCTTTCCATGCTCGAGTGTCGGATCCAGTCATTGGTGGTACATACATGACACTCCTTGCAACGTAAGTAGTACGTATCTTGTCCTTTAGTGCACGAACTAACATGTCATAGTGTATGCAATCTTGGTGGTACATTTCCCAGATACTTCGTACTACAGCTCGTCGACAGTTTTACTGTAGCTACATGCCAACCTGGCAAGTCCGATGCCTCTTCATTGAAGGGCACGCTGGTCACTGAGGCCTTCTCATGCGCGGTACAATCCGAAAAGGAGAGATGTGAAGCTGGTGGCGGAACTTGCGAGATGATCCACGACGGATACTACACTGTAAACGTGTTGTGCGTACTGTTCGGTGCTGCGACATTTTTCTGGTACATCAAGCCCAAGGTGTTGCATCTCCAGAGTCTGCCTCTACGAGCGTGGAGATTGACAAACGAAAACAAGCGATAAAGAAAGAGCAGGAAAGAATCGATAACATACCTAGTTCTGGGGACATGTACGAGTAGTAGAGAGTGGGAGCCCGCGCTGCATTGTTCGATACCCGCGGAAATGTTAGTATCATATACTTATAGATGGACGCTTGAGCGAAGATACTTTGTGTGTATGGGAATCTTCTGTATGACGGTGACACTACTTGATACTTTAGAACGAGTTGGCTTTCGTTCCCGACCACCGTGTTGGTCCATGGGTTTTGGTTACCTTAAGTTCTTTGTATATTGGCTGGAGCGTGACCTAATATTACTGAACAGAATGGGTCATATTCTGTATGGCAACAGCGCTCTATGGCACCCGTGCGATGCCTTCGTAGATTACCAGATCTTTCGCGACAAGTAACGCCCTCATCACCTTGTTGACATCCGAGTCTTGCGAAATACGAACAGTAGATGTATTTTTTATTCATCAGAGCCGCATTTAGAATAGAGGATGTACAGTAAGTAAATGATTGATTATAGCCCAGCAGTTTCTTTCACGGTGATTGGTAGCAGTATTCTGGAGGCAAATATTCATGATGATCTGATATGACAAATGAACATAATGAGACATATTTCCGATGTTGGTTCTGATTTATTGCCGGTTAGTAAATGTCTTTTTGACAATCACATCATGAATATGAGCATAAGGTTCGAAATGATCGATGTTTTACACTATGAGATCAACAGTGCTATTCTACGTTGATAATAAAATTTACTTGGAATGTTTGGAACAAGATGCGATAATATGAGCACATCTATGCCTGCCTGCCTAGGCACTCAAATTCAAGCTTCAAAAAAACCCGCCGGGATGATAAATGCGTAAGTAGTATCCGTCACAGTCGAATGGGGCAGCAGCGAGAAAAGAAAACATCTACGCACAAATTGTCCTCAATCTCTACTCTAATGTCCCTTTCCTCTCTCATCATTCAAACTCAACTATTGTCAAAAGCTTCACTTTTGCTCTAGTCTCCATCTTCCGGGACCCGGACGTCATAAACCAACCCCGCCCGACCGTACCTCCGGACCCCCGCGTCCGCACCCACACCCGAATCTCCGTCCGGGGCTTCACTTACTCATCCTCTCACTCCTGGTCATCGGGTAATTACTTGGAATTTCAACCAACAGAATGGCGGCACCTGCAAACACCACCGCAGAGGCCCTGGCCTCGGAGGAAGTCTATTTCTCTCAAAACCCTCCCCCGCGCAACTTATCAGCCCACACAGCTCTTGCTGCCGGCTTCATTTCTTCCCACGCTGCCGCAGGTCGTCGTGTCGTTCTGGTCACATCAGGAGGCACAACCGTGCCTTTGGAGAAGCAGACGGTCCGCTACATTGACAACTTCAGCGCTGGTACACGTGGCGCTACGAGCGCCGAGTACTTCCTTGAAGCTGGCTACGCAGTCATTTTTCTGCATCGACAGTTCAGTCTGCTGCCGTACTCGAGACATTATTCGCATGCTACGGATTGCTTTTTGGACTTTTTGACCGAGGATGCGGATGATAGAATCGCTGTGAGGGGTGAGGTGCAGGATAAGATGCGTGAGGTGTTGAGAAAGTATCGCAAGGCGAGGGATGATAACATGCTGCTCACCCTACCTTTCGTCACTATTGTCGATTATCTCCATGAGCTGCGCGAGATTGCTAGACTCATGCGTCCCCTCGGTCCTTCCGGTCTTCTCTACCTCGCCGCCGCAGTATCGGACTTTTTCGTTCCTCCTAACCGTATGGCAGAGCACAAGATCCAGTCTACCAACGCCGTTGAGCAAAAGCGACCCGAGGATGAAGAGACTTTCGACAATTTCGACTCGTCGCCTTCTGTCCCCCGCTCAAAGCGCCTTATCGTCGATTTGGATCCTGTTCCCAAGTTCCTCAAAAACCTTGTCGATGGCTGGGCGCCAGAGGGTATGATTGTGTCGTTCAAGCTTGAGACAGATCCTGCACTGCTCGTCCGCAAGGCTCGCTACAGTCTTGATCGCTACCAGCACCATCTCGTCATTGGAAATCTGCTTTCCACGCGAAAGTGGGAGGTTGTCTTTGTAAGTCCCGGAAGGGATGATCGCTGGGTGCGTGTGCCACGAGAGGGCGGATGGGGAGAAGCTGAGGGGAGACCACTCGTGGCGGAGGAGCTGCCGGCTCAAGATCCTGATGTTGAGATTGAGTCTCTCATCATTCCTGCGGTGCAGGAGCTACATGGTGAGCACATCAAGGGGCAGAGTAAGAAGTGAACAGCAGCTGGGGTAAAACAAGACACAAATTAGGGAAACAGTAGAAATATCAACAATAAAACTCGAGCACTTTTCTACAAACAACAAATATTACATTTTACTATATAGTGGTATCTTATGTACAAACAACCGTACCATTGAATCGACCTTTTGTTCCGCCTCTTTTTAGTTACTAAAACTCCATTCTAACTACAGTGTAATGCTTTTGTTCATGTCGTAATTTCTGAGTTTTGAGTCCTCATAGTAGACTCTTTGTGTCCAGCCTAGTGTTATTCTCTTGGCTTCTCGTTGAAAATTTAAACCGGTCAGTGAACCGCTCAAAGGGCGGCCTTCCAGTTGCTCCATCCAAGAAGGGTAACCTTAGCCAAGAAGAGTGAGATCATAGATCCTACGTAGATAGCGCCGGTCATGATGATGAGTCCCCAGTACTCGCCTCCATTAGCCTGAACAGTACTGCCACCAATGGGAATACCAATCAGACAAGCGAAAGACACAATTGTGTATGCTGTAGCATAGTATCGTCCATACTCTTGTGTCTTGCACAGTCTTCCAATGCAGACAGGGGCGATCGCAATACTGGTGCCAGAGGAGAAACCGAAGAGTACGGTGAAGATGATGACACCAGCTGTCGTTCCACCGAGAGGGAGCCAAACGCAAAAACAGGCCACGATGGCCAGGATGACAGCAAGGATGCTGACGTTGAAAGGACCGATGACATCGGCATAGTAGCCAGGAAGAATTCGGCCGATGACTGAACCAGCATTGAGAATAGGGATGAGGTTGTAAGAAAATTCCTTGCCAAAGCCCTTATGCAGAGCATACGTTGAGATGAAGCCGAGAGGGATGAAGAGTGAGAATTCGAGTAAGAAGACACCGATCGTAGTGAAAAGGAAAGGCAGGCTCTTAAAGATTCGAAAATTAGGGTGTGCGGTTGCGTCCTTGGCCGGAGGAAGTCGAGATTTGAGGAGGCTGATACCGATCAAACTGCAGACAAGGCAGATGAGAGCAATAACTCGAGTTGCCCATCCATAACCGATCTTATCGATTAGCCGCGTCAACAGGAAGGGGTAGATGATACCACCAATTCCACCGGCAGTAGATGCAACACCAGTGGCCAGGCCACGTCGAGCCTTGAAAAAGTGTCCAACGGCGGCGATCGAAGGGGTGAAAAGCAGCGACGACCCAAAACCACAGAGCAGACCAAAGGCGACTACAAAGTGCCAAAGTTCTAAAGCAGTCAGCATAAACGACACCAAACAAATTGAACCCAAGACTTACGAGTAGCAAAACTCATAAAGATCATGCCACCAACAGTGAAAGCCGCACCTGCAATGACAAGCCATCTGGGACCGTACTTGTCAAATACAGGTCCAATATAGACACCGCAAAAGAAGGCGAGAAAGGTGTAAATAGAAAAGACCCAACCAACGGTGCCCTCGCTATAGTCTGTGAGTTGGTTGTCGAGAACATAGGCCTGAAAGGTACCCAGAGTGTTCATTAGTCCTAGCGAAGCGAATAGAGAGAACCACGAACCAGCAACCACGGACCAGGCCTGCAAGCCGCCCTCAGGGTATGTCTCCTGATAAGAGGCTGTCGATGCGGCGGTTTGGTGCTTTTCGAGATCCGCGCCAGTCTTCACATCGCCGTTCTCTGCATCGACTTGATTCACATGGTTGATGACATCGTCTTCCTCGTAGAGGGCGCGAGAGGTGACTTGGTGGCAATCCATTCTTGATAACAGTTGTCGAGTCGTTCTTGTAATTCCTTCCGTCCCCAGATAGCAAGTTTCTTGTCTCTCTACGGGTACCTCGACATATCAATTAGACGTTGTAAACGAACAATTGGGGAGGCGAAACAAAAGATTCAATCATGCTTAAATATAAACATGATCGGGTTTCGGCGCCGCCCCAGCCAAGAAGAATAAGGCCCGCTTTCGGAGTGCGGCTGGATTAACCATATAGGAAGGTTTTGTCGTGATGGGAAAAGTAATGAAAATTCATCATTTGTTCGTTTGTCCTATCGAGATCCACATGTTCGCGGATATAGACGGTGATTATTCCAATCGAGACATGCCTGTTGGGTCTAAACCAAAACCATTGAATAGTCGACGCCTTCCGAAGACAAGCCAATTGCGCTCTCTTTTCTCCTCGGGAAACGCTGTCGGTCAAGAACGACATCGGTTAACAGTCGACTAACGCACTTGGTCCTCCGTTGGCCTTCTTCTTCTTCAGTTGTGTGTGGGTGGTCAGATGGGCCTTTTTTCCCCAGCTTTTCCCTATGCCGCTATAATAGCCGGCCTCAGCCCACCCCTCGGAATTGTGTCGATCTACCGTATCGCATCGGTGGTGGAGGAAAGCCAAGGACTAATGTCGGATTGAGTCACACTGCGTTGAAATGATGTCGCATTGCTGAATGAAATCGCTACCGGCCAGCATCTGACCAGGAATGTGTATGTCTTATTGTCTGCCAATTTGCATCGATGGCACAATCTCTGAACTAACCTCTGCTCTAATCAAGTCTCCTCATCTTCCACATCTTCCATAGTCACATGCCGTGTTGGCGGACCTTGATCAGGCTGTGCTTTTGCTTCCCGTTCGGTCGTTTTGAGATATCCTTCCTGCTCCAATCGGTCTGCTTCCTCTGGCTCTATCAGTCCACTTTGGCCTTGGCCCTTGTTCATCTTCATCTTGACTGCTGTAGGTACAAACGCCGAAACCGCTTCTTTTCGTAGATCGCGAACAACGGGTTTCGCTTCGTATACAGTCTTAACTTCCACAGGCGTTGTCTCTTTCTTTTGTTGCTTGTCTTCGTCTTCTTGCCTTGTCTGGTTCTCTGCAGCTCTCTTCGCTCGTCGCTCGGCGTACCATTTATCCATAACTTCTTTGGGAATTGGCGGTGGCGTATCTCGAGGCATGGGAATTCTTTTGATCTCATCGGGAACGTCCTCATCGCTGGTCGTAGCATCATTTGAGCCTCTGCGCCTCTTGCCCAGTACTCCAGATCCCGAATCATGATCTCTGTTCCATCCTCGGCTGAATGTAGGTGCCTTGTCGCCTAGTGTCTCTCTCGCCTTCTTCACTGCTCGAAGCTCCTTTTCAAGGCCTTCTAGTGTTTGTTCTTCATGGCGCGTAAGTTTTCCGCCGCCCGATGTGATTTTCTTGAGGTCGTCGATTTGTTTTTGGATGCGCTCAGGATTCTTTCGCGATAGCTTCTCGTTCAGACGTTCTTGCCGTTCATGCTTGCCTGAATGGGATGTTAGTTATGGATTTCGGGACGTTTCTGGATTTCCTAACCTTTCTTGAGGGCTTTAGCCTTGTCAGCTTTGCGCTGAGCCTGTACGGGGTTGTAGTTCTTTTCTTTTGGCATCGCGAAAGTATCGGTGATTCAGACTACGTGCAAGTTCCGTGTCCTGGGGTTTGGAATGATGCCAGCAATATTATGATCCGACGGAGCTTATCGACGATTTGAGATTGATGTATTGAATAGACTGCACTAAATTTACTTGTTGGTTGCGTTGAAGATGAACATAGCTTCCTTGTCGCGAACACAGCGCCCCACCTGATGACTAAGATGCCATGATCAGAAGCACATCATTGTTGCATCCCATGATCAGCATTGTTCCTGTTCCTCTCAGACTCTTTACTCATAGGAAGGGTGAATTACTGCACAAGGAGCTCGTGGCTAACTTATCAGGTCATAAAATTTCGTCAAGGATAGAAATATAAATTGTCCTTATCATGTGCATTTTCCCAGCACGCATTCATACTCAATCGATCAGATAACCTTAACAACTGAAGCCAGAATCAAGTCATAATTATTCATAACAGCAAAGACATCTGCAAAGCAAATCTCAAGTCAAAACCTTAAAAATCTCAAAGCTCGAGCTTAGAAGCCGATAATTGTAGGCATGATACATCAATATGCCCTTAGATAATCCCTTTCTCCTTTCCATGCATTCCAATCCCATCTCTGATGGTGACAAATCAAGCGCCGGAATCCCTGGGTTTTCCGATTCCATCCTTTCTGTTGTAAACGCCGTAATCATTGTGTAGCTGCTTGCTGGGTATGTCGCCAAGGTTTATAATGTACAGCCGGATCTTGTTGGTAGTCTCGGGCTCAAGCCGATAGACCGAGGTGCTTCTCCTGGTTGGGCTGCTTGGATTGAATTTCCACACCCAGCTTCTCGGCAACACAACTGCTGGAGACATCTTTACCCATGTACTTTTGAAGGATGGTGTCGAAGTCGGTTTCGGCCACCACGGGCCCCGTACCAGAGCATTTGGCCTTCTTGGTGAGTTCGGAGCAAAGGCCGTCCAGATCGAACTCGCCATTCTGCGCCTTGGGGCAAGCTTGTAATTTCTCCCTAATATCAAAGTTAGATCGCGTGCTTTCCTGAATTTTGGGAAGTGCTCCGTACCAAAGTTGATTGCAGTTCATGTTCTGCTTCTTGAGAGGCTCATCGTCGCAAGACTCCTTCTGAGCATCGATCTGATCGATCAGGTTGGATGCCTTCTTATGTTGGTTGTTCATCTGAGCACTGGGGCTGTTTGGCGCCATGTTATAAGGGGTGAAGAAATCGCTATCAAGAGCATCATTGAAGAAGTCATCGAACGATGGGTTTGAGAGGACGTTTTCTTGAGGCTCACGGTAATCGCCAAAAAGTTGGGGATCAAATTGACCACCATTCTGTTGGGAAAGCCAGTCGAAGTTGGTGCTGCTGAGGTCGATATTGCCGAATTGACCGGCATTGTTCTGGTTGGTCTGTTCCTCGCCAATGGTAGTCATTGTATCAACAGGTTTGAAACCCATAGGCGATTGGTTGAAAGGTTCAGGCGACGTGCCGCAAGAAGAGCTAGGACCAGTGTTCGAATGTGATGAAGCAGATGGGGAGCTTGAAGCGCCGTTGACACTGTAGTTTGCAGAGTCAACGCTCGCACGGGAAGGATTAGTGGCAGAGCTTGACATGGAAGGGCTGAAAACTCCCGAGAACTTGGCCAAGTCATCCTTGAATTGCTGTGCCGATTGTGCGTTGTTGTTTAAGTTGTTGGAAGAGCTCGGGTATGCTGCCTTCTGCTGGTCCGGGCTTGTAGGTGACGATCCCTGGGTCTTGTTGGTAGGCGGGCCTGGAAGCATTCCGAACTTGGGGAACTCGAATTGGAAGTTAACATCGCCAAGGTTGCTAACTGCAGCACTACCAAAGGGGACCTTTTCTCGAGGCAAAGCCTTGGCAGTTGACATGAGAGTAACCTTTTGTTTATATTGGTTGAGTTCAGCCGTCATGCGGTCAACTTGTGCTCGCAGCATGCCATTTTCATGATTAGCAGCTTGCGAAGCCTTTTCCAACTCCTCAACTTTGGTCTCAAGGTCCTTCAGGTGCTTTTCCTTGCGTTCTCTGAAAGCACGTTGAGCAGCTCGGTTTTGAGCCTTACGTTTCTATTCATGAATTAGTAAGTGTGGTCAACACTAACAACTGAGACAGACATACCGAACTAGGCTCGGATGTAAGAGGTTTACGACCAGGTTTCTTGGGAACCTTGTCGGTGCTCTCGCGCCGCTTATGCTCTTGACCTGGGCTATCTTCGTCGTCCTCATCTTCTGGGTAGCTGCGCTTCTCGGGAGTCTCGGTCTCTGGAGAGTCAGACAACGCTACAGAGGCAGCGTTGTTTGTGGAATCGGCGGCAGCATCAGGAAGGTCCCTCATCATGGTTGACTGATCCTCGCTGGCAAAAGAGAAGTCAAAGCCAGAGTCGCCGAAATCGTAGTCATAATTGTCGAGGAAGGGACTCTCCTGGAAAGTTGAAGCCTGGGCTGGCTTTTGTTGGCCTGCGGAATTGCGGAAAGAATTGGGCGAGATAGAGACAGCGTTGTTCGTAGAAGAACCAGAAAGCTGCTGCTTATTGGAGTTGAGAGCAGCGAAGAGAAGGTTCTGCTGTTGCGGGGTCAAGAGGAAGTTGGGTGGCAAACTGCCTCCAGTGCCGGTAGAAGCCATCGCGAGTGATGTTGGAGTCGTCGAAGGGTATCGCGAGGGATGGGGGAATTATTTGGAATCGGGAGAAGTAAGTGCAAGGACACTGGGTTGGATATCAAAATCCAAGCTCTCTGCCAGTCCAGGCTCACGCAGGAGGGGGGCAAAGAGCCTGAGCGCGTGTAGCGGCGACGTCGGGGACCTGACCAGGACCTAGAGGAGCGGGGCTTTATAATGGGTTATGATTGTTGCATGTATCGGTCAAAGTCAAGTGCGGTGTATAGTATAAGAGACGAGGCAAAGAATTTTCGGATTGGATTCAGGAACAAGGAACTGAGGCTATCAAGATATCAACCAGGATGGAAAGTATGTAAGATGGATGATGAAATTGGCCGCTGGCTGGCTGGTGTCAGTCTGGTCAGGCGGAGCCAAGGATGATTTGAGTGATGGATGGAATGGATGGGAGGAAAGATGAACTGCCCGCCAGGCGGCATGAGCACCCAAGTTAGTACCTACCCATCACCCATGAGAGCGGGGGCAGGCTGGCAGCTGAGCGGGCGTTTGGACTTGGAACAACACTGTAAAACACTGTATTAACGCGTACCAGGGGTCCAATGCGGACCTTTGGTCCTGAAAATTTGCTGCCTGAGTCACAAATATTCCTTCTAGCTGCTTCTCCCATCAGCTCACTAGGCCCTGAACAGGAATTATGCTGGGTGGGACCCAGGGAGGCTGGTACAACTTGATCAACTCCCGACAGTGTGAATAGCATCGAAGTTGCATTTGTCAGCCGGGGCTACCGGTTCCTCGAGATCCTGGCACTAAGATCAAACATCTGACTTACAGTACGTATCCGTACAAGTTCATATTATTATAGGATAGGACATGCCAGAACGAGATGAGCATGTCATTTTTCTGTTTCGTCTTTCTTTTCATTTACCGTCTGACTCATAGAACTGAAAACAGATACCTAGGTACCATAGGTACATCATGATGCCCCGGCTTATACCCGCCTCTTTTCGGCACATAACTTCCATCAATTGACATCCACGCCCTTCGAAGTTGTACAGTACTCGCTCGAATCTCCGAGGCTTCCTCTTACAATCAATTCTTATCCTCTTTTCGGATCCTGCCAGACCCTAATCCATATCAAGCTGTTGCGGAATGTCGTTCATCTGTTGTCATAGGTTGACTGCTCAATCGCAATCAATCCACCACCTTATACCAGCCCCAGTTCTGTTGTATTTTTCGCAAGTGCATCATAACTTGAGTCTTTGGCTCCCAGCTAACAGCCTCAATGACCTCAGATTTAACCAGCTATGACTATCAATAGCGCCCTGTTGTACTCTGTACAGTAGTGCACCTCAATACAATGCTGCATTATTGACTTATCCCCGACCATGCTTCTCCGCCCCCGGATTTAGACAAGATTCGGACTTTGCCACGGCGTGATTCCACCAACTCCGCTGACCAATCATTATCGCCTGTACTTCCCAATGGGTCAAGCCCACTGTCAAACTACCCAGACATGGATCGATCTTGTTATGGATCTCAACGGTTCCTCAAAAAGTTTTTAAATCGTCCGATAACCGTTAAAGTAATCTGTTGACGCAAATGCAATTGAAATCCAGTCAGCCTCGGACTTATCCGTTCAACCGACAAAACTAGACTTGTTCGGCGCTCGGAAGGGACTTCCCTCCAACGTGGCGTATTTTACAAGTCGATCTGACATGCATGTTTTGGAATCATTCAAAAAGACCCTGTTCGCAGCTTGGCATCCCACGTGCTCGGGCTAATACTGAGCCGCCTAGTTAGTACGATCCCTCGTGGCTGAACCGCCAAGCAACGCAACTTATCAATAGGTATTCTTCTTCCAGGTAGTCTAGTCGGTTTCCAAAAAACACAAAGTTTTCCAAAGTTATTATACACTAAGTATTGTTACTGTTCTGCATTGGTCTTGTACCATAAATCTTCAAGTCAGCTACCTTCCTCTCGGCAAATCTGCCACCTGGAATAGTGCTTGGCTGACCTGCACTTAACAATGCACTCCAGGACTGTGAGACATACGGATACCAGCGTCTCTATGACTGAAAGTATGCCAGAGACGGAGGATACATGTACTTAGTCTCATTTTCAAGAATAGCATCAGTTGTTTATTATACTTTTATGTAGTTCTATAGCCCTGCGAAGTGAGCATTGGGGCATCCAGCCAATAGGCATGAAAAAGAAAACGCGAAACAACGTACGGATAGCTATAAAAAAGGAAGTATTGCTTTAAACTGATCTGCTCCGTTTGGGTTCCCCTGTACTATTCTAGGAAATGAATCTGAGAACTCATCACGGGCGTGTGCCGTCTCTGATAGTAAATGTATTCTCGTGCTCGGCATATGCATCGACCTTGTACCGTGAAAACTCGCGAGTCTTGACGTGATGGGCAAAGAGAATGTCGAGCTCTTCAAAGGTCTTGTTCTTGGTTTCAGGGAGCCTGAAAAATGTCCAAATGAAGAAGAAGAAGGAGCAGCCCCCCCAAAAGAATGCAGTCTTTCCTTTCCAATTTCCGGCAGTTGGGTTTAGCATATAAGGGTTGACAACATTGCAAATGATTTGGGCAATGTAGTAAGCGATTCGACTAACACAGACCGTCTTTGATCGCAAGCGAGTAGCACTCACTTCACTTATAACCGCATAACAGATTGGCCCAACGGTCATGTAGTATACGCCTAGCCAAATGAGCATCATGCTGGCTTGGGCATAATTACTACTTTTTGAGTCCCCTGCACCGATGCTGATGAAACCCACAGTCATTAACACCGCAGTGAGCAACCCAAGCCCCCATAAGTATAGCGTACGCCTACCAAAGGGGGCCAGCAACCACCATGATACGACTGTGCCCACAGAAGCAATACCCAGACCACCGACAGACATTCTGAAAGATATTGACTCTGGAAGTCCAGCTTGCACAAAGAAGTATGTGGGTGTTCCAGCCATGGCTGATCCGCAAAAAGGTTGAGCGGCAAAAGCCATGCATGCGATCTCGGTTCTGCGTCTGTCGATTCCACGGAAGCAGTCCATATATGAAGTGCCTTGGTCGATCGATTTCTCGATCTCATCGGTATGGATCATCATAGCGACTGCTTGTTTGGCATGTCCTGGTTCAGTAGAAGAACTCAGTCGTCCGATTGATCTTTCGGCTTCTTGATAGGCACCGATGCGGACATAGTACCATGGCGACTCGGGTGCGAAGTAAAGAACTATGAACAAGGGAATCGGCCAAGCCCACTGGATCGCAAAAGGTACGCGATACGACCATTGCCCAGTCTTGCTCGAGAATCCGGCTTGTACACCAGCCGAAATCAGTTGACCGATAGCCCAGCAGAGGTTGACATAAACGGTCAGATACCCTCTTAATGCCATTGGGCAAACTTCGGAAGCATACGCAGGGGCCATCGTAGCGAATACTCCCCACGGAATGCCACACAGGAACTGCCCAACGAGAAGGACAGGGAGATTGGGCGAGAAGAAGGAAATGAAGATGCAGCCACAGATAGCTATTAAGGAGGCGAGAAGTACTTTGCGATACCCAAGTTTGTGCGTAAAATAGCCATTAGCAAAGGCGCCGATGATGGTTCCAACGCTGACAGCGTTGCTCAGAGCGTTCTGCCAGGAAGCTGTGATCTGCCAGGTATCAGTTGAAGGTTGATAGCTCCCATAATGCTGTCGGAAGGCAGGTTGGGCAAAAAACGATGTTATTAGGACAATATCGTAGCCTTCCATGGTGATTGAGGTCGAAAGAAGAACCGACCACAAGACAGCCTTGGGATACTTTCGAATAGCTTGGACTAATGTGAGACTGTGCTCCTCTTCCGCAGCCAGCTTTGCAAATGATGTATCTTTGGCAGTACCAGAAGCTGGGGCGTGGTCATCTTCACTAATGGCGACCTTGTCGTCCGAAAGAGCAGCCATGGCGAATATGGTCGAATGATGCAAAGAGACTTGATACTTCAAGAGCACTGAGATACCGCATTACCTTAATGATCTGCTAGAGATAACAGCGCCCCTGGCTATATATACCCATGTTGACTGTCAGGTCATCCCTGTTGTCTTGATGTGCTATGAACCTTTGTCCCATGGTACTGTACATATCCAAGGGACCCGGGGTTTGTGGAGAAGAATCTGGGGAAAGAAAGCCAAGGCATTCTAAAGCTCATTATCCTTGTCGCTTGTTCTGAGAATCTGGGGTATGCGTGTGGAGATGGATGTTTGTAGCAGTTTAATCCCCACCGGAGCAAGTTGTTCTATATTCCCTCCGGTGGGGGATGGGCTCATAATTCACCCACCAAAGACATGATGAACTTTGATGTTATTTTTTGCTTCCTTTGTGATGTTGAAGGGGATGCAATGCAAACATGATACAGTCGGTAGTGGAATGTTATTGTGTGGAGTGAAGGTGATTTCTGGCAGATGAATCAAGACTTGACTCAGAAGTTCATGTCTCTGGAAGTTTTGGGTACATTAGTTGTCAAGAACCTGGATGGGAAGGAACGATCGATGTTGCGCTTTGATCGTTCGGTACCTAGCAAAAGTGCCGACTCAAGATGGAAAGAGCGACGACCCCGCAGATGACCAAACTTCAACCCATCAATTTGGAACATCCAGAGACGCCTCAGTGTAAACATCATCCAGCCACTCACTCGATAATTGCTACCGGAGGTGTGCAAGCTTACAGCACTCACCGTTGCGATGCCTGCCTCTCAAGACGAGCATGCACAGTTCTCATGCCAGTTCTGCCCCAGGACATTTGGACGACAGGAGCACTTGACACGGCATATAAGAGCCCATACACGCGAGAAGCCATATAGCTGCAGTCAATGCAACAAGTCTTTTTCGCGACAAGATGTGTTACAGAGACATCAGGTAACACACAGTTCAACTGCAACCATTCGCAATACAGTATCAGCTAGAGCATGTAAAGAATGTGCCGCGGGCCGCATTCGCTGCTCAAGAGAACTCCCATGTGGAAGATGTAAAGAGAGGAGTTTGGAATGTATCTATCCAAATTTCAGGAGACGAAAGACTCGTTCAATGACTCAACAAGGCATCACAAACTTACAATCTCCCACAACATCCACTCCAGAAAGTCCGAATGGAGATAACGAAGCTCATGATGAGATTGGAGCCTTGGTAGCAACAACAGAAGAGACCTCTGCGGTTATGGAGAACAATGCAATCGGTAGTGGTGTCGGTATCGGCTGGGTTACCGACGAGCATCAGTCCATTGCGATGGCATCAAGTGAGGGTCTAATGACTACCGCCTCCCTGCCCGGATCTATCTTTCAGATTAACGACGTGGGCGGCCTCGCCATCGACAGAACTACTGTCGAACCAGCTTTGGGAACGTCCAACATCAACTGGCTAAGTGATAGCCAATATCTTTCGATGTGGGAGAGCCAGTTATCAATCATACCCGATGGCCTTGGATCTATGCCATTCACGTTCCCTTCCGGAATCACCAGGTCTAATTCCTATGCACCTGTGCCTTCAACCGATTGCGGTGACATAAGTGAGACTAATATAGCGAAGGTAGCCCCCATACCGGACCATACACCTAGCTCAGTTACCACCACAAGCCCTCTTCACAGCCGGGCGGGCAGCATTCGCAGCTCCAATGCCTCAAAATCAACCGATGGTGCGCTGTATGTTGAAGGAACTATGGCAAGAGCACCATTTCGTGGGAAAGTGCTGGGCCGGCACATGGAACAATGTCGTGGCTCTACCATGACAGAAGCCGCATCTATCAATGGTGCCCAGGATTTAATTGATGAAGATGGTCAAATGATCTCGGCTTCCGTTCACGTGTCAGAAGATCTTTACTCTACATTGGTTTTGTCTGCTGGCGAGCATATCGAGAATCATGGCCTAAACTCAACAGCTACCTTGATTCCCCCATTAGGGCACATCAGATGCTTTGTGCGACTATATTACAAGAACTTCCATGACACATATCCCTTTCTGAGAAAGAGTGCCTCGATATGGCAAGACACGGGAAACTGGCTCCTGCTTCTAGCCGTATCAACTATTGGGGCGAAGTACTTGGGCGGTACGTGGTCGACCTCGATGTCCAGGCTATTGGAAACAATCTTGGAGCATAAACTCGACGTGAGGTCTAGGGGAAGTAATCAGAACAGCCGCGACACCTGGACACCAGGTACTCTCAAGTCACAACCGCAACTCGACTTGACAACACTCCAAGCCATGATACTAAACTTGATCTATCAGATACATAGTGGTCAGAAGAATTTGATAGAACGTGCGCTGAGCCAAAGATCCATTCTTGTTGAGGAGTGCAGAAGGATGAGGCTCTTGTCTCGGACCCCGCCCCAGATAGATATTGGCGCCGTCAATGACACCTCATTTATCGCAGCATGGTTGAAAGCTCAATCTGAGTTACGAACAGGACTGATATTGTGGGTGAGTGATCATACACGCCGGCCATTTTTCCTTTTTCTAACGTGCAGAGATCCTTGACTCTATCATCGCGTACGAGTTTGACTGTCAATATCTTTTGCAGCTCCATGAGGTCCAGACGGTACTCCCATGTCAAGATGAGATATGGGACCAGCCGACCTTGGAGGGAATGCTTGATTATAGCAGTCGCCAAGGTTAGTCCCGAGGGTTATCAGATATTCATCAATTTTTGGCACTGACTTTACAATGTTGGAACAGCAACAGTACTTGAGGCGCTTCACCTCCTCTACATGAAAAAGCAACAACCAAGCAACTTGACCGAATTCGGGAATGTTGTGATGATTTATGCCGTCTGCCAGAGGACCAAGGAAGCTGCCTACCAATACCAGACTCCTTTATCGAGATGGACTCCAGTTGCCAATGTCGAACCCTGTCCAGAATCGGTTACTGTGGCCGAATCCTGGCCTCCTAACGTTGACATAATAACACGATGGAGAAACAGTGCCTGTGATTGCCTTGATATCTTACACTGGAAAGCAAATGGGAAGGCTGCTAACGCTGGCGGTTCAGAGCACCCGACTATCCTTCTTCTTCACCTTTCCCGGTTATATCTCTTAGCGCCTTGCAAGCATCTGCAGACTGTTGCTACATCGGCGGCATTGTTTAGGGATAGCAATGAAACACGGGACACGGCGGAGTACTTGGAAGCATGCAAGCACCTTCATCTTTGGGCGAATGTTGACCAGTATAAGGCTAGGCTATCTATTGTCCATGCTGGAGCCTTGATATGGCATGTTCGGCGATACAGTAGGAACGGCTTCATGGAGCCTCATGCCATTTACCTCGCCACGCTGTTGATCTGGGCTTACAGCGTTTTCGCTACACAACCGACAGATTCGGGATTTCTACAGAACCACGACGGACCAAATTCAAGACAAAATCCCACGAACCAAGTCCCACGTAGCTCTGATGACGCAGGGGCCCCAACAGAGTACGACGATGAAGAAGAGCCAGAACCGAAATTCATTCATTTAGATCGTCCTTGCGACGACGAAATTGTTCAGACGTTTATCCGCGTTGGACATAAGATGCAGGGTTACATGCAGCGAGTTGGCAATATTTGCAGCTCTGGTGCCCCGTCAAGGATTCTGAAGGAAGGTGTGAGGCTTTTATCATACACGCAGACCAAACAGAATGCGTGGGGGATAGAGATATCTTTTTCTCAAAGCTTGACGAACCTTTCAGATGCTACCAGCTCAAAATAAAGTGAGATAGCAGCAGAAGGCGACATGTTCAAATTGTCTATCAACCCATCTATCTCATCCTTAACACATCTAGTTATCACAATTGGTCACCAGAATCTTGAGTACAAGGAGAAAGTTATCCGCCCCTTACAAAGACCGGCATCTTCGTCAAAGGACTGTCCACCGCAGCAGTTTTGCCCGAATCATGAGACGATTCACCATCGAATGAAGACCACTTCTCACCCTGCGGAAGTTGAGGGAGATATACCTCGATGTTGGTCTGACCTGGCTTGAGGATGGGGCATACAAGGTATTTGTCGCCATACATGTACTGAGTCGAAATACTCCAGCATTTATCGTCGCTTGGGAACTCGTAGAAAAGGGGTCTCATGATTGGTGTTCCCTTCTCGTGGGCTTCCTTCATAAGTTTTCGGGTATATGGTCGAAGTTCTTCACGCATCTTGATGTATTTCACACAGATGTCGTAAACCTCGGGACCGTAGGACCAGACCTCGTTGGGAGCACCACTGCAGCAAGTCGCTCCACCCGTTGTTCCGTGTTGTGGTTGGCGAGGTTCACGGTCGCCATGCAGCCTCATCACGGGGCAGAATGTACCCCACTGAAACCATCGCACGAAGAGCTCTCGGAAGCTCTCGTCATCAGGATCGCCTCCGTGGAAGCCTCCAATATCTGTTGTCCACCAGGGCAGCCCGGACAGACCCATGTTTAGACCGGCGCATATCTGATTGCGGAAGCTACCCCATGACGATGCAATATCACCACTCCATACAAGGGCGCCATACTTCTGGCTACCTGCCCAAGCACAACGGAGAAGGTTGACAATGTTCTGCTGTCCTTCTGCCTCCTGGCCCTCATAGAAAGCTCGGGCGTATTCAACGGGGTATATATTTCCAATTGATCCATTTGAGCCTTGGAAGTACCGATAATTCTCGAAGTCATATGCTGCGTACTCTGGCTCTGCCTCGTCTAGCCAGAATGTCTTGATGCCTTTGGTATAGTAGTTCATCTTAACGGTTTCCCATAGGTACTTTCTGGCGTCTGGATTGGTGGTATCGATATGAACAGTTTGCCCCTGGAAGTCAAGTCCGATGCGAACACCTCGATCGACACGGATCAAGTAACCATGTTCTACCATATACTCATAATTTTCCGAGGTTTTATCAACAGTCGGCCAAATAGAAATCATGAGCTCAATCCCAAGATCTTTGAGCTCCTTCATCATCGCATCTGTATACAGTTATTACTGTTTCTGTGTACGTCTGGAGGAGACTTACCAGGATCAGGCCAGTACTCCAAGTCAAACTTCCATTCACCCTGCTTAGGCCAGTGGAAGAAATCAATCACGATAAGGTCAATCGGAATCTCCCGCCGCTTGTACTCCCTAGCAACCTCGAGGAGCTCCTCCTGCGTTTGATATCGCAGCTTACACTGCCAAAAGCCAAGCCCATACTCGGGCATAAGGGGCACTTTCCCAGTAGCGTCTGCATAGGCTTCCACAATTTGGGCGGGTGAATCTCCTGCAACGATCCAATAGTCAAGAACTTGAGTTGAGAAGGCTTCAAATGACATGATATTCTTGCCAAAGACAGCTCTTCCAATGGCTGGATTATTCCACAAGAGTCCGTATCCAAGTGATGACACAGCAAATGGGACACTTGCTTGGGAATTGCGATGGGCCAGTTCAAGATCCATGCCCTTCAAGTCAAGCCACGGCTGCTGATACTGGCCCATTCCGAATATCTTTTCATTGGGACTAACACTCTCAAGCCGCATGGTTAAGTGGTAGTTTTCAGTTCCAAGAATACCCTTGAACTCACGAGCCTCGACCTCAAGAGCACTGCACTTTGGATCGATGAGATCTCGTCTGTTGCGGCAGTATTCTTCGAGCAAGACATTGCCATCTACAGTCTCGATGATCAGCTTCCCAAGCCGGGAGATGCGGGCTTTGATGTTGCCGTTAGTGATTGTTGCAGAATCATCTGAGATTGAGATCTTGGGTGTTATCTCCTTGAGCTGTTGGAGGGCCCAGTCCTGTTGTGGCATCTTTGCGGACTTGGTGGCTCTCACTCGGAATGCATTGGGGCCCCATGGTTCAATCCAGAGCTCCTCGGCATCGTATCTGTAACGAAGTCGGGTTTTGTCGTCAAAAAACATGATGATAATACCTTTTCAGAATTAGGGGTACACCAACAAAGAAGTGACTGTGTCTATGCTCAAATGCTATGCTTCACTTGAGTCGACAATGCATATATAGTATGGGATAAATACTTGGATCGATGAACCACAAACCCCCATCTTTGAAGCCGTCACTTCCCCGCCGGAGTAATGCAAGTCCTCCAGTCGGGTATTGTTGATAATCCAATGACAGCATCCATAGGAACACTGATGCATGCATCTCCAATTCCCCACCGGAGTTTTGGGGGCGCTGCACCAAACTATATCACCACGCTGCTTTTGTGTGTGTGTATGTACGTTAATATACGTATGGACCAAGCACTACTCTAACTGGTCTTGCTACACGGTTATGGACAACAACAATCTGAACCTACATTCGCGTGAGTTCCTTTGTTGACGTTATTTTCTCCGTGCGATCCATACTAACTATCTTGAAGTTTCCTGGTTCCAAGCCTTAGTGAATATCAGTATAGATAGTCTAAGATTTTCTCTTAATCCTGGGGTGACGTTCCCATGGCGGTTGTTCTCAAAAGAAGCCATTGAGTTTGCTTTAGGGGCCGGGTTTTGGTTCCCTATTTCTTGTGACTTTACATGTTTATTTCAACGTCCTAGGCGAGGTATACCGTAACACTTACAACCAGCCCAACATGAGCTGCTGTTCGATTGGATTCACATCCACAGCAAAAAGAGCAAAAGTAAATGACCTTGCGTAATCTGGGAATCGAACCCAGGGCTCCCCGATGGCAACGGAGAATTTTACCACTAAACCAATTACGCTTTATAGAAAAAAGGTTTGTAAGTAGTATTCATGACTGCTGCAGGCAGCTCACGATGGTCATTACATTTGCGTTCGTCTCATGTGGTCTTCTATATTTGCGGCTCATGTACTGGCATATCATAACATGGTATCGTTTTGGTTGAAGCGTCACTAGCTCTGCAATTTGTTTCGCTGTCGAAGGCTGACAGAGGCCGTATATTCATCCATTGTATGGTCTTTCTGGTTTCCAGATGACCTCGAGAGATGTAAACCACTATCCTTACTCTGACGTCCTCCCTGCCTCCCAAATGTGACGGGCTCGCTTGCTCGGTATCTTAGATTGTTGGGGCGAGCTCTCATCGCTGCCAATATCTGCATTGGATGCCCCACCGTCCCGGTTGATGTTATTGTCCCTGCCTGTCATGTTTCCCTGGGGGCGTGTATGGACCTGAACCCCCACAATTGCCTTCAGTTGATCGATCTGCTTCTGCTGGTTAGAATTTGCCTCTCGAAGCTGTTGGATCATGGCGGACTGTGTTCGTATGATTTGCTCATGCTGCCGTAGCATGTATCCATGTTGTTGAATCGTGGGAGTCCACATAGACACTTCCTCGCCCAGCTGTGAAAGAAAGGGGCGCAAAAGACTTCCGGTCTCGTCTGGTGACTTCTTAAACGCCAATTCAGTGTCAAGGCGCTCACCATAGCGCATTATTACAGCTTTCCAAAGGCCGCTGGCCTTGCTTCTAAGCGTAGCGTACCCGTAGATACCAACTAGGATAAACCACCTTTCGTAAGTGGCATTGATCCATTTCGGCTCTCCAGCATCCTCGTCATACATCTGTAGGCTGAGTTGGTGCTTGAGTGGGCTGCATATCGACTGGTCATTATGTTTGAATTGGCCAGTTTTGAGTAGATGGAGTAACTTGAGGCGAACGCGTGAGGGCATGCTCGCTTGGTGCTGGTTGAACAACGTGCAGAGATTTATCGCACTAGAGCGGTCCCAGACTTCATTGGGTCTCAACGGTAGATCCTCAATCTTCAATTCTGGGAGCTTCTTTCCTTCTCCATTTGAGTCTGCGGTTTGAAACGTTGGGGCCTACATAGATAGTGTTAGTTTCCCTTCGTTTCGTCCCATTCAAACTAACTTTGTGTTGCTGTCTCTGTCCAGGAACGCCTCTGGATCGAGCTTGAAGCTCACCAGGAGTTTGCTTCGTGGTTTCGACTTTGGTCTGAGCGTCGTCGAAGCTGGCGTTCTGACAATCCGGTTCGTCTGATGGCGGAGACATTGACGACATTCGCCCCCGCATCACGTTCGAGTACCATTCTGGTCAAACAATATGTTAGCTTCGCAGGGATAGCTAATTCTCACAAGAACTCTTACGGATCGCCTCTTGGTACCCTTCATCTCTCTCATCCAGCAAGAGTCGGCATGCAGGTGCAACCTTACAGCCGTGTTGAAGCCGATAGTGCTCTACAAGCGAAATAGTGTCAGAGAACCTTTGGGTCTATGTCGGTCAGGTCTCGTTCATGTGCGCATAGTAACTGAAGTGTATTCTTACATTGTTGCATAGATCTCGGGTGATGGGGTGTCGCCATCGGCAGTATAGTTCCCCGGGGTTAAGATGAATGCACCCATCCTAACTCCATTAGCTTTGCATATGTATGGTGATTGACTATCCGTAAACCTGGCTATAGTCGAGTGGTGGTAGTTTGTCGTCAGGACGAGGTCCTACATAATACTCCCGGTAGGCCGGTTCGTGTTTTTGTGTGCGTGAGTGCATCATGTCTGAAGATGCGCTTTCGAGAGCAGATAGTTGCGGGGTTCGATGATACACAGCCAGGTTGAGTAAGTGCAAAGGAGACATATAATCTGGAAGGAGGTTAGGCAGATTTTTTCTTGTTGCCTTGGAGTTCGGACTGGCAGCCCCTTAGAAAACTGCACAGTTCCGCATTTGCACGAGCTCGCAAACAGTGAGTCTAGGTACTTGTGACAATCAATAAAACTCGCTCTTGCTAGGTTAGTTGTATGCAAAAAAAAACAAGGGGACGGAATTGTTTGTTGTATTGATTGGAGTATCTAATAATTATTGTCCGCTGGGTATCAATAGCGCAGTGTCGCCTCCTCACATCTCTCGTAGTGTTTGTCTAGTTCGCCGCTGTAATAAATACATTCAGAGTTCTTTCTTGTAAATTTTTGGTCCTTCCCCTTCTCTGCGGAATGGCGGAATACATTAATTGTACATTTACGTGCAATGTGAACCTCCGCTATTATAGCAATACCGCAAATTTTGACTTCTGTTCCGCTGAGACCTGGACAATAGTAATAGTCATCAAATCAGCGGCACTCCTTCCGATAGTTCATGGCAATGCACTTGATTCCATGTTTGTTGAAGTCTAATAACGTTAGTAAGCTAGAAAGAGGGCATAGGTTATTAAACTTACAGGATGCAATTGCCGCGACGACGACATCGGTACAACAAGAGAGTTCCGGACTTAATGGATTTCCAGATTTATGGTGCTTTGGATAATACAGTAAGAGGACAACTGCCGATCGATTTCGATTTGCCTCGAACTGGGGTATGAGAGGGTAGATCCAACCACAGCCGGGAGGGCACCATTGTGGAACTTGGACAAAGCGTTGGATCTTCGGGATCTTTGGTCTAGAAGGCATCGCATGAGAGTTACCATCTGAGGAAACTTGGAATCAAAAATCGACACAAGCTGAATGGGAGAAGTCCACGCCGCAGGGCCGTTGAGAGGGGTTTTGGGTGGTGATTTCACGTTTGAAGATAGTAGTTCGAAGTCATCAATCAGCTGAGATTCAGCATCAGTATAGCTTAGCTTGTATCATGACATGGACGACAAGTGTGGTTACCTTCCCCTTCGTCTCGATCAACATCCATATCCCCGAACGATCTGCCAACGCCCACAGCAGGGATAGACTGAATCGATTCTCGGTTTGAGAGGTTGGCAGCACGCTTCTGGATCTCGAAGTTGGAGTCTGCCCGTGAGTGCAATTGTGAGACCCTGAGCAGGTACTTTCAAGCTATCGAGGGATCCAAAGTCATTCTCAATCGTCGTGGGAGGTGCCCTCGGGGTCGTCTTCAGAGTCAGAATCATCAAATCTGCCCTTGAGAGGCTTCCTAACGTTAACAGCGGGCACGGGCTGAAGCGGTGTCCGGTGTGAGAAGCTGGTAGAGCGGTCCCGGAGATTGTAGTTGGTGACTGTCTGAGAATCGGCTGAACCTGCGTGGGGTCGGGGCCTTGAGAAGCGTGAAGACTTTTGCCAGCATCAAGACTTATTCTTATGAGCATCAATACGCCAATCTATTGGGAAAGCAGATGACATAACTTTGTTTGTACCTGGCCTCAGGGTATGATAAGAACTGACCGCCAAAAGCATAAGAGACGAAATGATTTGATCACCTTATGCCAGCTTAGGCTAGCATTTAGGCTACTTTATTTCTGTAGCCTAAATTTTGTGGGACATTTCTTCTGACACCCACCTGCCTGGATCTACAGGGTCAGTTTTTGAGCGGCACGATCTCCGAGGTTGACGGCGAAGAGGAGGGTGGTCTTCAGAAGATGGCATAGCGGGCTCATGTATTACAGTGGTGACCTTCAGATAGATGCAGAGACGCGGATTAGAGAGGTAGCGGACTGGGACCAGAGTAGGGGAATCGACGGCTTAAGAGAAGTCAGGAGGCCTGAGTGTAAGATAGGCAAAGGTAGCAGAGCAGAACCAGATCAGAGGCACTTTGAGAGAAGTGGTGTGAAAGAGTTGTATAGGAGAAAGCTTTGCGAGGGACAAGACGAATTTATGCTCACATGCCCTGGGTGCGCACCTGCCTCACGGTGTTGTGCAGCTCCATGTCGAAAGTCAAAGCAGGGGAAGTCGGTACGTTGAAATGGGAAAGAGAGAGAGTGAACGTGTAGGTAGGTAGGTAGGCACGCATCATGGTCGGTCACCACAGCAAATGGCAGACTTTGAAGAATGGGCACTTTAAGTCGCTTGGGTTAAACTTCACTGAGGTAGTAGGTATGCGGGCAGTAGAGCACGGGGGATAGGTAGGCGAAGAAACAAATCGCTAAGGTAGCAGTGAAATCTCAGTACCTAGATCACATCATATTTACCACTCGAATGTGTTTACTACTAAGACAGGGGCGCCTGCCCGCCTACCAACCTTTTTCATGAGAGATCTAACGTGTAGGCATTCGGTATGGAGCTCCTCTGCACAACTACTCAGAGATGAGTGTGTAGGCAATGATCTGAGCGGTGCGATGAGTGATGTGAGTGAGGCGCGTGAAGCTATCAACGATCAATACTGTGGAAGAGGAGGATGCCAGGGTTCGGTTTTGCAGCTTGTTGCCTACCTATGTACAACGAATATTATGAATGCTTGTCTGTTAAATTGATTTGCAATTACTATCTGTCTTGTACCAGTGGGAGAACTTGGGTGACAAATACCCCTTTTCTGCCATTTGAATCTGGGCAAACTCAGAGACACAGGGACACGAGCCATCCTGGGTACGTTTGGAGTTTGATGATGTGCTGAGTTGATGTCTGTATTGCAAACGATATATGAAGGCTAACTGGGAGCACGATATGCGATGTGTTTGAACTGAGTATAGAAATGCGGCACTGCCGAGCCTTTGGAGAAGGAGTGACATGACCCTATAAGTGATGTGATACGGGACTTAGGACGCTTTCAACAATACAGAAAAGACACAATTCCAAGTATACGGGGTAATGAAAGGGCAGCACCAAAGCTTCGTAGTGAGTTCGAGGCTGAGATCATCCGTTTGGAGTGCTTGAGACATCCACATCACTCCACTGACTACTAACCTAGTACGTCTGCCGGCAGTAAAATGTTCTAATCTCGATGTTGCCATATATACCTACCTAGGTAGTACCGCTTAGTCTGACTATTTCATTCATTCCGTCTAATATCATCATTCAGGATAGTTATCCAACTGTTACAGCCATTGATGCTGCGTGAGTTGAATGACATAGTAGCTGCTTCATAGAACGCATCAGCGAAGTGTCGTTCTTTCGCGTGCAGAGAACCGATAGTAAAGCCAAAGGGGAGCTTGAGACGCCAGACTCAAAACCGATTCAGTTCCCTTCCGCAGGGAGTCATAAGCGAATAAAGCTAGATGAATGGGAAAAGGAGGAGATCCGTCTCAATACAAAACTCGTCTAACACCCAGATCGGTTGGCTTTTATCTTCTGGTGCTGCAAGCCCCTTACCAGAACTAGAGCGAGCTGTTGTATCTTCACCAGGCGTCGACATTGGTAGGGGAGCTTGCAAGTTATCATCATCGATCAACAGGTCATTAGTGCTACTGAGCCACGCATACGGGGTCGCGCCGGGCAGAACGGCGCAAAGGTCTCATCACACACTGAACGTCAACACTGATACGTTTCAGCAGCCTCAACTGAGTCATAGATACAACGCCCAAGATACTGTACGAGCGTAGCGCCTTTAACTACGGGTGTGCTATTCGGTTCACCAATTTAATCACCAAGAATGATCGAAGGTATATTTGATCGATGGTTGAGAAGATTCTTTACTAAGTGATCAATCACACCGTCAATGATAATCCGAGGCACTTTACCTTATTTGGTTATATCTTATAGCGATAAGTCGTTTCGATTTTATGCATATACATATAACTCGCGTTATGGCAATGCCTCGAGTTGTAACGACTAGACTCGTCTACAGCATGGCCAACTTCAACTGCAGCCGGAAACACTGCAGTGTTTCATTTTCCCTCGGCGTGAGAGCTGCAATAGTTGATATGTTCCCGTCTCTAAGCTTTTCGTCCAACTGTGTGTGAGTATTGCTCACGTATCCATGATCGAGGGCGGGGCTGGATAAGTGCAGCCGATCGAAAGAGAATCGCAACAACAAACTTCCACGAGTGCATATATAGATTTCACAGGTGTTTCATTGGCCTTATTTGATGTTTGACTGATTGTATTAGGTGTAGGTCTGTACAGCCTATGTAGTCCCAACGCTAGTCCCAACGCCGATTGTTGAAATTGTTTCCAGTATCAATCTGTCGACAGATTCTTTACTGCTTGGCAGCCTCCTTATGGAGGTTAGCAGATCCCTCATGTTGCTTCTCATCCGCCTTGTCGCTGATAGCTGAGCCTGCGGCGTTGAGGCTAATGAAGATGTTAGTATGTTGTTGTTTGGATCGAAGGTGAGGCGACATACCGGGTGGAGATGGGGGCATTGCCGTCCTTGGCGACCTCCTTGTTGGCCTCCTTGGAAGCACCAGCGGTAGCCTGCTGAACAGTCTCAGCGACGTAGTTGACACCTTGCTTGATGGACTCCATTGTGATAGTGGGTGATTTGTTGGAAAGTGGTTGTGGTTGTGATTGAGGATTGAGTTGTTGTGTTGATGATGAGAAGAAAGAAACTTTCCAGGTGGGAGAACTCGGGGTTTATATAGTAATTTAGCATTCAACACATCGATGGCATTTCGGCATTTTTATCCATAAGCAACCGAAAGGCAATTCCTTGTTTACTTCTGTTGACGTCAAAACCTCTCGATCGGCGGATCTTCACGGACAACAATCCCGTCTAAGAGGATCACTTGACCGCGATCGCGATCAGGGAAAAGACCTAGAACGGGCCATGACATGCAGCCAGATGCAGCTTAACGTGTTGGGATTGGCTCTATCGAAAGGGGCATTGACATGGCGTTGAAGCTTGGCTTCTGGGCTTCTCACAAGATGAGCTTGATGAGAGTCATGTCGTCATTGTGCATCTAAGATGTGAGTTTCATCAGCCAATCAAAAGCTTGCCCCTGGATCGTGGATCCACGATAGTCCCCGCCTGCAATGATCCTCAGTCTTCCCGAGCCTCGGACAAGCTGTCAGCCAATTACAGCTCTGCAATCCTCAAAGTAACTCTGGCACGAGGATCCCCCTCCCCAGACGCAAACAATTGTGGGTTTTAGAGGCGTTGACAACTCCTTGGCTTAAGCTCCCAATTTGGTCTTTTCCATGATAGCTATGACGTAGTTGATAAGTACAGTATTGTCCGGACTGTTCTAACATGACAACTGACATCATCTGCGATCGTGATCTCTAGGGCCAGAGCATGCCCCTCTTGTGAAAGGTTCAATTAGATAGGGCGACTGCAGTCGCATGGTGAGGAAACCTATCAAGATGTACGTGCTTGATCGTCCTACCTCAGACGCGCAATCAATCGAAGGATTGGAGCACGTGAGAATGTCGGGTATGTCACGGATTAAGGGTCCTCTACCGCCCCCTCCATGTTGAGGATCCAAGGGTATCAACACCACCTTCCTGTGGCATTAAGATGTTTGAAGCAAGGGTTCCCTCAGCACACGTTGCGACCCTAATCCGGGGCTGCTATGACGATTATCTGCAGTCAGAATGCTTGTAAGCTCAGGGGCTTGAAACCTTGGGGGCCGAAGTACTATAGAGTACAGAAGCTCCTTGTACATATCAACAGTATTCAACCGAAATTGTTGGGATAGTTAGTTCCAAAGGCATGTCCGCTATACCTAGTTCAACAGAGACTATTCCTGCATCAAGACCAATAGACGTTGGTTGCTATTTTGACGATGCCGGTCGGAGGCTACGATGGTATCGAGGATAGAAACAACGCATCGATCGATCGTGCTGTTCTCGGCTCTCACCTCCCAGCCCCCAATCTCTTTCCCCTCTTTACAAGCTTCCCACATGCAATCTAATGTGGAAAATGAAGTTTGGTGGTTCCGGTGCCAGCCGGGATGGGGTAAAACAACACATAAACCGACCTATGCTTGAGATGGAGTGGAATTGAATGTGTGGGATTATGCCAGATGTTCAGACAAAGAACCTTGCCGCCTACAACTAAAGTAATTGGAGGCAGAGGCAGCTTTTTCAGACCAAAAATATAACCAAATTACTCGGAACCCTGGAAAGACTAAATACAATCACTTGGAGCACACAGAAATCCTTGAATTGTCGCCAAAAAGAGAGAAGGTGTCCATCATGACTATCCGAATTCAGATTACAGGCTATAGGTTAGGTGTCGTGACAAGAAGGCAAAGGAAGCATCACGTGAGCATCTTGGCCCGTGCCCAACCATTGGACCCCGCCAGTACAGTCAGGAGAACAAGGGAGATCCAAGTCAAAGACAGGAGATATCGAATAAAGTGACCTTCAACGCATTAAGCAACCAATTCGTTATCGAGATTAAAACTCTGGGACATAGTCTGGAATACATCGACTTAGAACGATACTTCTTAGCTCGCCGCCATGGATCTGGCTTACGATCATATCACAGAGGATGGCTACGCTAAGAAGACGGAAGAGCCAAAGACTACCCAACCCCAGTCAACTCTGAATGAGGACCTCCAGGACGCTTACAAGGCGTTTTCTAACAGTCCATGGGGCGCCAGGATTGGCGGTTTCTTTGGCACTGTAGCCAAGCAGGTATGTCATCCCAGTCCACAACCATAACCCATCTAACATGGACAGGGTGAATCGGTATATACACAAGCATCAAAGGAGTTGGCTGAAGTGGGTGAAGATGCGTCGAAGGGGCTTACAACCCTGCGCTCAACTATTTTGAGTCATACACGGAACCTTTCACTCAATACTGTTACAGGAGGTGAGAGCTCAAAGGATGGAGAGAAGGATCAGGCCACTCCAAGAGCTTCTCAAGATGGCTCCCAAGAAGCGAAACAATCTGAGAATACCCTTGCTCGTCTTCGGGCTGAAGCCGCCAAGAGGTTGAAGGACCTTCAACGAGCTGAGGATGCCGCCGATGAGGCTCTCATCAAGTTTGGTGGCAACGTCCGAAACTTCCTTCGTGACGCTGTCAGCATCGCACCACCACAGGAGTCTGATCAAAGTGGCACTGTTCTCTTTGAAAGCAAGGACGCTCAAGGCAAGCGGGTGATCCATACCTCAAGATTTGATGCTCAACTACATGTTATTCACACCTCGACTGAGAGCTTCACTAAGGACCCCAACAGTGCTGATTATGCTGTTTGGTCAAAGGAGTTTGATGCTGACAAGAAGACCCCCGATATTAATGATGATCTACAGAAATTCCCTGACTTGCGAGCTACCATGGAGAAGCTTGTTCCCGACCAGGTTCCCTACGTTGACTTCTGGAAGCGCTACTATTTCCTTCGTCACGGTATCGAGACAGCCGAAGCCAGACGACGGGATCTCCTCAAGGGTGGGTCAATTATGACATCTCGACAACAATTCACTAACAAACAAACAGCTGCATCTGCCGAGGATGAGGTTGCCTGGAGTGACGATGATTCTGACGATGATGACTCCGACGACTCGGCCGACACCAGCACTCCCGCCAACAAGGACAAGACTGCACCAAAGGCTGAACCCAAGTCCGAGCCCAAGACTGCCCCTACTCCTGCTGCTGCCGCCACCGCTTCTTCCTCCTCCACCACCACCACCACTACCACCACTGCTACCCAACCCCCCGCAAAGACCCTGCCGAAGCCAACTGAGCCTCGCAAATCCAATGATGAGAAGTCACAAGCCGATAGTGAAGCTAGCTATGACGTTGTCGGTGCGGCCTCTGGGAAGACAACTCAGACTCCTAACAGTCCTAAGAACCCAAAGGACCCCAAGAAGAAGACAGAGAGTAGTGACGAGGAAGACAGCGACGATGATTCAGATAGCGATGATGACTGGGAATAGAGCCTAAAATTGGTCTAGTATATGCTTGGGATGATCGGATTTTGCTTGTCCAGCTCGGCGTTCGGTATTTTGTGATTGGCATGTTGAACCAGAGCCTGTAGTTTGATATTGAAATACCAGGAACTCGTGTCTGATATCCTAATATCACCTCCGGCCTACGCCTTTTGTGTTGTTTTCGTCGTCGCTGAATTTATTTCTTCTTGGTGACCATGGTGAAGCCGTCCTCGTCCACCTGGGGCTGGGGCTTCTCCTTAGGTGCCGCAACCAGAGCAGGAGCCTCGTCCATCTCGACATCAGCACCACCCTCATCGTCGTCGTCCGAATCACCACTCTCCCAATCCGTGTCCTGATCGTCGTCCTCAACTCTCTTGAAGACACCCTCGACCTTTGTACCCTTTCGGTTCAACCACCGTGTTCGCAGAGTCTTGACCTCCTCAAAGGTTCCAAGAGTACAACTGGCCCGAGCACGGAGAATATTGGCAGCCACCTCTGTGCCTGAATCGTCGTCGACGTTGACCTCGAATTCGTCAACCATAACTTGCAGGAGGACGGTCTCTATCTCCTCGAGATCAGGATCTTCGGGAGTCTTGCCATTCTTGGGAGGCGCATCGGTGTATTCGGGAAAAAGCTCGACGACGGCGCCGGCAAACCAGTCGCGCTTATCGGCAGAGTCGGGACCTCCCCAGCCGTTCTGGACGGATAGTGTAAGGGCAGGCCAAAGGTGAAGGGCGTATGCGACGGCTTGTTCGAACTCAGACTGACGTTCGGCTGTAGTTTTTGAGTTAATTCAAACTGGCTCTCCTTTCCCAGAGCATAAACTTACCAGCTGGGGGCAGCTGTGCGGGTTCTGTAGAGGCCATGATTGCGGTTATGATTTTTGGCGGGGTTGGAGGGGCAATCTGGAAGATGGTTCTGCACAAAATTTTTGGTGTTTTTTTTTACCACTCACATTGGCCCCGCCTTGGCCTACGATAGGCCCACATGACTGGAACCTCGTACCTTGCGATCTGGATGATATCTATTTTTGTTGTATAAATGGCAATCGAGTTCGCTTGAGAGGTAAAGAAAATTTCCGACTACGGGGAAATTGAATACCGCCAATTTTGACGTTTTTTATTAACATTTCCAAGTTTTGAACAGCTATACTGTCCTGTTTATAGCATCTGTAATCCATTACTTGATTTCTTGGCTAGAAATCTTCCCCACAAAGACGAAGCACAGGCCACTTTTTAATGAAAATGAGCGACTCACTCACTGCATGCAGCAGGTGCAGACTCAAATGCTCCCTTCCGTCGTGGAGTCAGGGGTAAGATTGGATGCATTGACACTCATCCTGAGCCAGGGATAGATGACATCATGAGACCCTGACTAGCATTAGGTTTTGGGTTCAGCTGAGTCGAGCCTGAACGGATTGGACTGGTCTCTTTCATGTCATGTCTTGCTTTTGGTTTTGAATCTGTCAAGCTTCTATGGCAGATGGCGCTTCTTTAATAGCTTCTAAAGCCACCGACAGTCGCGTACCCAGCGATCACGGAGATTCACAGCCATGAACTCGCTCAATACCACGTCCGTCTCATTTGCTGTCACGCCGACAGTTGTCTCTACTTTATTTTCTCATGTAAGTACGCGCTCATCGTAAGACCGATCTGCATCCTTATTGCGGGGACAAACAAAATATTGGATTGGCATTGGCATTCAACCAATACCTTGGGACTGATTGCTTTTCCCTCAATAACTAACTCATTACTTCCAGTATTTCAATAGAAAACCTCTTAGACAGCGCCCAACCGCGCATCTCTCTTACGATGAAGGACTCCACCTGATCCGATCCTTCCTCGAGTATGCATCGCATCATACTGTTGAAGAACTTCAGGCTTTCACGGCGCAATGGGTACCGCATCCTCAATGGGTCAAAGTCGAAGATGTTACCATTCCCGAGGACCATCTGACGCGTGCTGCCGAATCTTTGCAAAAGCAATTGGGCCCCGATGGTATCAAGCAAGTTGGTGGAGAGAAGTGGTGGCAATGGCGGAAACCAGAGACCACCCTCGATGCTGAATGGATTGAGATGCGCGCTGATGCTTACGAGCGAAAGCAGGAAGGGGGCAAGTCGCGGCGCGTCATGATGTATATCCATGGAGGCGCGTACTACTTTGGTAGCGTTGACGAGCATCGATATCAAATGCAGCGACATGCGCGAAAGCTTAAAGCGCGCGTCTTTGCGCCTAGATATCGCCTTTCGCCACAGTTTCCTTTCCCATGCGGTCTTCACGACTGCCTCGCTGCCTATCTCTACCTGCTCACCGTACAAGACCCGACAACCATCGTCCTAGCGGGTGATTCCGCGGGTGGTGGTATGGTTGTGTCTCTTTTGTGTATTCTTCGAGATCAAGGAATTCCACTCCCCGCTGGTGCTATTCTCATCAGCCCATGGGTCGACTTGACACACTCGTTTCCCAGCGTCGCTGGTGACGCACCCTTTGATTACATTCCACAAGCTGGTTTTCACCACAAGCCTTCCAAAGCCTGGCCCCCACCAAATGAGGATGATGTGGCAATGTTGAGAGAGGAAGCTTTGAAAAAGAAGAAGAGTGAGACAAAGAAGACTCCAGGGAAGAATGAACTTAAGGAGAAGCAGCAAGCGCCTGTTGCGAAGCAGCAACCGTCAGATGTCTCATCAAGGTCGGAATGGATCAATGGTGGGGTTCCTGTTAACTCTGAGAAGCTTCTTTCCGTCAGCATCGATGGTAAGCTTGTGAAGCTGAAAGACCAAATCCAGGTAAGCTTGGTAGATGGCATAGTCAACTAGGTACTGACGCGTTTAGATGTATACTACTAACGAGCTTCTTGCTCACCCACTGGTCAGCCCAGTTATGCAGCCTACACTGGGTGGTCTGCCTCCGCTTCTCATTATGGTTGGAGGAGGCGAGATTCTCCGAGATGAACAGATATACATGGCCCACAAATGCACCAACCCTGCGAAATACGCGCCCCCAGAAGGGTCACTGACACCAGAGGGGAAAGCATTGCTGGAGCAATACAAACCGACAGATGTTCAACTCCAAGTATGGGACGACCTTTGCCATGTGGCACCAACACTAAGTTTCACACGACCTGCCAAATACATGTACAGATCTGTGGCTCAGTTCGGAGCATGGGCTCTTGCCAGAGCTCAGAAGCGTGGTATCGAGATTCTCGACGATGACGAAATATCGATTATCTCTGAATCTGGTTCCGATGGCGAATCCCAGAAAAAGCCCCCTAAAACCCCGGAAACTGTAGGATCCGATAGTTTGGAGTCTGGCCAGGTTGGAAAGGCTGGCGATCCTCTGCCACATTTCAAGAACCACATGATCCGACAAAGAGTTACCCGCCATGGCGCAACTTTGCCGTTAGTACCCGAAGCTGAGCTCACAGCATGCTGCGTAGACCCTGTGTCTGTGGGTGTTGTGAAAGAGGGCACGGTGAAGAAATGGCTGGCTATGAAGGACCAGTGGGATCATCGATACGCATCGGCGAAGTCAAAAATACACCAGAGAATGATTTCCGATATGGCCGTAGGCTATCACAACTTCGGCCCTGGCGAATGCCCACCTCCAACGGCATTGGCTGGTAGACGAAGAATTGATTCCAAGCTAGTAGAAGGGAGCAAGAAGCAACAAAAGAGCTGGGGTCTAGCAATGTGGTCTCTCTGGGGTTCCAAACATGACGAGATGACCGTCGAACGAGAGAAGAAGGCATCAGGACAACCAGTGACCCGAGTTGCCACCACTGCTGAAGGTGAGGGGGCTCGTTCCTTTGCCGATATCGAAGAACAAGACAGGCCACCTTTGCAAACAGGCCGATCCAGGAGTAGATCTCATACGAAAATGGTCACCGATGAGAATCAGACGGGCAGCCATCCTATCACCGAGGATACTCCAGTTGCTAATCTCATTGAGCAACGAAAGGAACAAGAAGCAGCCAGACCTAGTCTGCTCAGTCCAGATTATGCGCCAGAAACCGGCGTGGCAGGCAAACGGCCTTTCCTGGATGGCATCGCGTTGCCGTTTAGTCTCAATAAGAATGCCGAGACGGCCAGTATGATGACACTTCAGTCTGATACCACGCCCCTTCCAGGCTCAAGACCCATGAGCCCAATCTTTCAAGATGACGACGGCACTCAACCTTCACAGTCGACCCAGCTCACCTCACAGGATGCGCCGACTATCGAGATTGCAGGAAAACGACCCTTCCTTGACGGTACGGCAGTCCCTTTCAGTCTCAAGAAGGAAGCAGAGACTGCCAGCATGAGAACCTTGCAATCGAATGTTACTGCGATGCCCAGCTCACGACCTATGAGCCCAGCCACCCAGCCAGCAGAACCAGATGAAAGGGTCCAGGAGAATGGTGTATCAAAAGAGAAGAGTGAATTAGATGATGGAGCATCGAGCATACTTGTTACACCATTGGAACGACCCGGCCTAGATACATTTGTCACGGCCCAGGAAGACCTTCCTAGGGTCAAGTAAGAGGAGGGTTTCACGGAAAGGAGTTCATCTTTTGGTGCAATCGGTGGGATAGAGTCAGTTGTACCCTTTTTTGTACAGTCAGGATATCCCGTGTGTCAAAGCACCATCGTTATAGTCGTTTTCTTGCGTATGTAATCAACATCCATAGTCAATAGTCCATATGAAACAGGAATACTCAACATTCATCGTTCTCAACCTGTTGAGTCCATAATCATACATAGTATTACAGTGTATAGGGGTATATACGGCCTCGCAGAGATCCCCGGGTCTCTGGTAGGTACGTCATGTCTTCGTCCTAGATTCGCTTTTGTCTAGAAATCCTCCCACTCCAAACCAATTCTGATCGTTTTGGTTCGCTTAATCCACACCATTGAATCGCTTCCACTGCTCGACGTAGAAGTAAGGATCTTGAGGACCCTTGTCGAGGCCCTTGTAGTCTCCCGATTGCGGCTTGACCTCTCGGCTCACGAATGGTGTAAGCTATTCCACAATTATTAACTTTCCGAAGCATTACGACCAAGAATATCACAGCGTACCTTGAAGTCCTTCAGAGGCGGAACAGCATATGTTCGGACCTTGTTCCACTCGATTATGTAGCCTCCGTACTTTGTGTGTCGACCCATGGAACCAGTGCGGTTACCCTTGTAGAAGCCTTTTCCAACATCCTTGGTGGTGAGTCTAATATGGCGGTATCGACCGACCGAGAGCGCTTGTGTAGGTCTCATCTTGAGAGATTCGCGAGGGAAACGTTCGGACTCGTTTCGTGGGAAGGCGTCGGTCGAGGCGGGGCGAATGGGGGTTTATCCGTGGTCAATTGCTGCTGTCGCTACAATCGCAAGGTTGAATCTTGAAGTTTTGGAGATTCGGCGGTTGGTATTATTCCGGTTCCGGGGGTCAGCTACTGATCAATTGCAGGGGTGCCGTTAACGGCCAAGCGTTCATCTAAAGGTTGCTGAGGCATGCTTCGAATAAATAATGATGTCGTTTTGTCCCAATGAAGTTTGTAACAGTTCCTAGACAGAAAGGTCACTTCTCTTCTATCTGAAATTTGGTATAACGTACTGAGCGGCTTCTTACTTCTCTTTGAGCTTTGTAAGTGGGCTATAGCGCTAACGAGGGGCACATGCGATGGGTATCAACATGGATGGCTAACGTCGTTTGGCTACAGCAGCTCTAAGCCCGGCCAACATTCGCTATAGCGAACTCATGCATTCGCATTCACAAATATTTTACCATGGACGGGTATCCGACGGGAAGTCTGGACCATAATGTCCCCCTTCTAGTGGCTTCCGGTCTCAACAGCGACACGAACGAGCTACCGCTGAGCGCAGAACTCAAGGAACAGAGCATCCTCCTCCGATCAGAGATACCGCCCATCGATGGCAAGAATGCGGAGGCTCTGTCGCAGTACTTTAAAGATGTCGATGCAAGCGCAAAGTCGTGGAGCGCCTTCGAGAGAAGTGAACAGTATAGGTTTCGGGCCAGGACTACTGGGAGGGTAAGCGAGCGCGGGGACATTAGTCGTCAAGCTGCTGTTCTAACCATTTGGGTAGTCGTTTTTATTACCGCCGCGCCGAGCTCGTCTTCCCGAAGGTATCGAACCTCTTAGCGAACACCCGACACTGCATTCGCCCTTTTCGCCTTTAAGTCCCATATCAACATTATATCCCGATGGTCTGATCGACGCGCAATGGATCAAGAAGCACCAGGACCTTGTTCCTAGTGTATACTTGTGCTTCTACTCACTCACGAGCGACCCGAATTCTATGACACTGCAAGACAACCACATCAAGTCCGATATCAATAACATTAAGGGCGCTCTACTACGATCAGGATACAAGACCCGGCTAGCGATAGTTTTGATCGGAGACAACGAAAGCGAACCTCTCTCACTAGCTGAAGGTATCCAGGAGAGGCTAGAGAGCATACGGAGAGGAACAGCTTTGGACCCCAAGTCTGTCTTCTACGTTCCGTCGCAAGACTCGCAAAATGATCAGAAGCAAGTGTTCGACAACATACTAGGGGTCCTGTACACATCAGCTGTGGAATACTACCGCGACTTGGGACGGCATGCCAGGAAGAAGCGATCTCGTGGCATAGCACCCCAGCCAACTGTACCTCCTACAACTGGAACGTCCCAGACACTGTCACTATCGGACTGGAATTTCAGATATGACTTTAAGTCAGCGATCCTTGCAGAATTTCGACAAGAGACGGATGCGGCCCTGCGGTTTTTCGAGCAAGCATATGAGGTGCTCCTTGGGCAGGACGTGCTGGACATTATTCCTAGTTGGAGCCCGCGCTGGAACGAGGCCCGACTTTTGGCGGATGTTATAGCGATACGGTGTTTGAGATGCCATCTGTGGATGGGACAGACCACACTGGCTGTGCGAAAATGGCACTCCCATCGAGAACGAATCGCGGACTTTGTCGATCGCCGCGGGCGGGGAACCAACAACTATGGGTGGCAGGCTTGGGAGGCTCGATGGGCTACAGTCATGGCCAACCTGGTCGAAAGGGTAGGCATACCAGCTTTGGCCCCAGCGGCAGGGGCAATCTATGTTCCCCAGGATAAATCTGTCTCGGGTGAGAGAGTTTCACCATGGGAATTGCTACATCACACAGGCTACTGGTATCGGATAGCAGCACGTCACATTGTCGCTCGTCGGAAACTGGCGCATCAAATACCGGAGGATGATAGACATTCACCCGACACATCACCCGCATCCGCAGTCGCCAGCAAGGCCTTCGCATACGACACGTACATGTGCCCAGAGCCTTATCAAGAACACCCGCTCTCTGGCAAAGGAGTGAACCATGCGCAGTTGGTCATTGATTGCCTCCAGGCGGCCAGCGCACAGTTTCAAGCTCGTAATCAAACAAGGCTCGCTACAGAGATGTCCCTGGAGTGTGCGAGGGAGTTTGCCAACATGGGACAATGGGATGGTGCGATTCAAATGCTACTGCCTTTCTGGGAGGACGTCGCATTTCGATCAGAAGGCTGGATTAACATATCAGAGGACCTGTGCTTGACTATGCGAAAGATTGCTGCAGGAGCTCACCGTCCCGATTTGGTGGTTGCTGCAGACTGGGAACTAATGGGCAACCGTGAGTGTTCCGAACCATTGATATTACTAAATGTACTAATCAAAACCAGACTTCATGCGGCAACCCCAGTGGCATTATGACATTACCAGGTCGCTTGAAGGAATCACTACGGATGAAAAGCCCTCTATCATCTTGAGTGACGGAAAGTCTGGATCGTTCGTTTCAGCATCTTTCGTGTTTCGAAACAAAGAGGGGAAAGCTGGTGAGAGTTGCACCGCGCAACTTGCGATAACCTCACATACGTTTCGGGATGCCGCCCCAATCACCTTTAGCTCCCTGAAAGCCGAATTTGACGGGAGCTTGAAACCGATATTACTTGAGCACGAGGCCTCGGAAGAGGAGGAATCATCGCCAGCAACAGGCTGTTCTATCCTAACGTTGTCTTTGAAGGAAGATTACGCTGAAGGGTCGGAGGATGAGCTACCGACATTGTTGAAGGGACATTCTAATCTAAGACTCAGACCTGGCCACACTCGGGTCTTTGAGATGAACATACCCCTGAGAGAGCCAGGTACTGCGACAGCCGCAGCTGTCACCCTTTCCCACACAAACGATAGTTTCGATCTCGATTACAAATTGAAGATCCGCCCTACAGACCCTGTTGTTGGCTGGTACATTCAGGGTTCATCAAAGCCCAGAAGCACACGACCAGAAGCAGGTACCATACAAATTCAGCCTCGACCGCCCAAGATGGAGATTAAGCTCTTGGAGCCCCTCGCTCAATACTATGCAAACGAAGCAATCGCTCTGCAAGTTGAGGTGATCAATGCGGAGGAGGATTCTGCTACTGCCAAATTGGACATTCATCTGTTCGGAAAGGAGGTGCCCGCAGTCCGAGTTGAGATCGACGGGCATGAAGGTAGCGCAGAAGCATCAACGGAAGAATCCAAGATTTCAGGACTTACGCTAGGTGCGATCAAGAGTACAGCGTCAGTCAAGCTAATCCTGCATATTGAGCCCCCTTCGACTCCCACAACACTGGATCTGCACCTGAGGACGTCTTATCATCTGGATTCAGATATCGCGACACCGATTATGCAGATGCTTACAGTCCAGCTCAACATAGTAAATGCATTCGAAGCAAACTATGATTTGGTCCCACGCCTTCACCCAGGCCCCTGGCCGAGCCTTTTCGACTCCGAGGGGCTCGGAGATACGGAGGAAGGTGTAGCCAGAGGCTTTGCGCAAAAGTGGTGCCTCCTATGTCACTACGCATCATTTGCCCAGGAAGATCTGAAGGTCGTTGGGATGGACCTCAAGGTGGTGTCGTGTGTCGGTGGTGCACGATGCAACGTGACTCAAGGACCCAATGTATCACAAGAAGGGGTAGTCGTTTCGCCCAAGACGATGCAGGATGCACAGTTCGATCTTGTAGCCCAGAAGCTTACGATGGAGGATAGGCACCCTGTCACGCTCGAGTTGGCGTTTGTCATCCGATGGCAGCGCCAGGACCGCAGCGATGGACCAGTTAACACGACAACTATGCCGGTCGGCAAATACCTTGTACTAGGTACAGAGCCGCGAGTGCTAGCGTCTGTGTACCACGCCTCTAAGACAGAAGATGATATTCCAGGGTTACTGCAGCTGGACATGACAGTCGAGAACCCATCGAATCATTTCCTTACATTTGGTCTCGGCATGGAACCGAGTGAGGACTTTGCATTCTCTGGTGCGAAGCAGACGACGCTGAACTTGCTTCCGCAGTCAAGACGGACGACAACCTATCGGCTGCTGCCGCATGTCAGTGGAGTCTGGATACGGCCAAAACTGACAGTGCGAGACAAGTATTTCCAGAAGGTATTGCGCATAATACCAACAGAGGGGATGAAGATTGATGAGGATGGACTACTAGTATGGGTTCCTGGAGAGGAGAAGAAGGAAGAGGAAGAAGTTGAGAAGTCAGAGGAGCAATGATGATTAGCATGGAAAAGGATGACAAATGTTTACGTTTAGAGGTGCGGTTTAGGCTGGTTATAGATGGGAAAGCATAAATGAAGTTATCACGATCAAATGTTAGGTACTGGTGCTAGCATAAGTTTCAACGTGCATGTCAATTGAAACAATGTATTGTTCTCGTGCAACCATGGATATTCATGTATGACGAGACGCCGTGTTAATGTCTTTAAGGAAATGACAAGGTTTGACAACATCAACGGGTAATGGCATGTATAAAGTTCTAAACGTGTGTGCAGTTTCAATCAACGTCAGATATCGAATAAGATTAAATTGAATTTATGGGCGAGGAAATAGAGTTCCTCCGTCTTTTCCGTCGTCGGCGTTATCAGTCGATCCGGAGCATGGCGGAGATAAGATAACGGAGAATGGTGTTGAATCCGAAAACTGAGACGGTCGAAGTACGGTCGAGGGTCTAGACCAGGGCCCAAGTCAAGTCTATGATGACTGATGACCGAGCTTGGCACGGGATGCAGGCTGATGGACCGGGGGTTTGAAGATCGAGTTTGACTCAACGTCTTGTCTAGTCCAGGTAGTGGAGATTGTCATTTAACGGCTGAGGTTGAGAGAAGAGAATTTGTACGAATATTAGGTACCTACTCTGTGCTTTACCTACAAGTTAATAGTCAATATGGTGGTGATATCGTATCTCCATCGACTAGATATGAGATGAGATGAGATATACTCGCTGCATTTTGAAATGATGATCCAGATCAATGACCCTTTTAAAAAGCCAAAAATGAATGAATAAATGAAAGAAACTTCATTCCTTCGGACATCGGCCTTGGAGAATTGTCCGACCCATGCGTAGGTAGTCTAGACATGACATTTCAGTTCAGTTCAGTTCAAACTAGGCCGGCTATCGAATTGAATCAGCCCAATTTTACTGGGTCCTCTAATTAATTGTCTAGTCTGCCTGTCACTTTTTGACTTTGGCTTCAGCTGAGACAACCTGGAAACCTGTGCAGGTACTGTTGCTGACCGGACCACGGACGAATGGTTTACCGCGTCTCCACGATTTCTTTTATGCTCGGATAATATTCAAAGTCGTCCATTTTTCGGACTAAAAAAAGGACGGGAAAGGGGGGGAATATTTGCAGTGCATCAATCAGATCGTAGTTGCCATACCTTGATGAAGCCAATAATTGATTGACACTGACACTGACACTAACACTTGGTATTTATACAATCTTTAGCCCATCTCCAAAATCTTTCCTCTTGTTCTCGTTACTCGCTATTCGCGTTTCCCTCGCCTTTTTATTCCACTGCTAGTTGCTCCTCCCAAACGAGAAAAGCAAACATCTAATAATAAAAGTCCTCCCTTCTCTTCCCTTCCCTTTTTCCTTTCCCTCTTGAAACAAACGGGAGCAATCTTGGTTGCCCCGGACCAAGCCGAGACCGATCTAACGCTACTATCAATTTCTTGAACGGGCACAGAGTACATAAACTAGGATATCCCTTCTTCTTGTTGGCTTTCTTCCTCTACCAACACCAAATCTGTTACAAGAGAACATCACCAATGGCGACAACTACACCCGCCACGGCGCCAACAAACGCCATGGTCGAAGAGACTCGACTCTCATCTGATGAAAAGACTGAAGTCGGCTCTAATAACATCATGGATACAACTGCCGACAACAAAGAGCCACAAGCTGGTGCTGGCTCCATCAACGCTAGCAATGTCAATCCCGCTGAGGGAGAGCCTCAATATCCTGGCGCTGCCAAGCTCACTCTCATTATCTCATCTCTCTGCCTCGCCATTTTCCTCGTTGCTCTGGACCAAACCATTATCGCACCCGCTCTTGGAGCCATCACTGCCCAGTTCCGGAGTGTCAAGGATATTGGATGGTATGGTTCCTCTTACCTTCTCACCACCACGGCTCTGCAGCCCATGTACGGAACTATCTACAAGTACTTCAATGTCAAGATTGCCTATCTTGTCGCTGTCTTCATCTTTGAGATTGGTAGCTTGATCTCGGCCGTTGCGCCCTCTTCTGTTGCCTTTATCGTTGGACGAGCTATTGCAGGAATTGGAACGGCTGGTCTTTTCTCTGGTTCCATCGTTATCCTGTCTCTCATCATGCCTCTTGAGAAGCGACCTCTTGCCTTTGGTCTTATTGGCGGTATGTGGGGTATTGCTTCCGTTGCTGGTCCTCTTCTTGGTGGTGCCTTCACCGAGCATGCCACCTGGCGATGGTGCTTCTACATCAACCTTCCCATCGGTGGTCTCGCCATGATCATCGTCTTCTTCTTCGTCCATGTCAACCGCAACAGCTCCGACAGCGTCAACTTGACTTTCATGGACCGTATCCGCAAGCTTGACCTTGCTGGCGCTGCCATCTTCATCCCTGCCATCGTCTGTCTTCTACTCGCCTTGCAATGGGGTGGTGCCGATTATGCTTGGAGCAACTCGCGCATTATTGGTCTCTTCTGTGGTTTCGGAGCCATGATTGCTATCTTTATCGGTATCCAGTTCTGGAAGGGTGACGAGGGAACGCTCCCTCCACGTTTGTTCAAGAACCGCAACACCCTGGCTGCCATGGTCTTCGCCATGTTCTTCGGTGCTGGTTTCTTCCCTCTCATCTATTACCTTTGTAAGTCCTAACCATGTATATTTTTCAATGCTGCAACTGACAACGCCCCAGCTCTCTACTTCCAAGCCATTCAGGGTGTTAGCGCCGTCCAAGCTGGAATCAAGATTCTCCCACTTCTCCTCGCTACCGTTCTTTGCTCCATCGTCACTGGAGGTCTTATCACCGCTATTGGTTACTACAACTTTGTCATCATCCCTTGCATGGTTCTCTACACCGTCGGCTGCGGCATGCTCACCACCCTCGATGTCAACTCTCCCCTTAAAGAGTGGTTCGGCTACCAGGTTCTCGCTGGTCTCGGTATTGGTGCAGGTTTCCAGATCGGCGTTCTCATCGTACAAACTGTACTGCCTCAGGAGTGGGTTCCCGTTGGTACTGCCTGCGTTCAGTTCGCACAAGCTTTTGGTGGTGCCATCTTCATTGCGGTCTCTCAAACCGTCTTCCAGAACGGCCTCATCGACACAATCAAGGCTGATAACATTGGCATTGATCCTACCATTTTCCTCAACAGTGGTGCTTCGGAGATTGAGGACACTTTGAGAAAGATGGGCCGTCTGGACGCTCTGGACACTGTCCTGGAGGCATACATGAAGGGTCTCCGAGACACCTTTTACATTTCCCTGGCCTGTGCTGCTTGTGCTCTCATTTCTTGTCTATTCTTCCAATGGAAGTCTGTCAAGAAGGGGCCTGATGGCGAGGATAGAAAGGCCGAGCCTGCTGTGCCCGTTTAATCTATAGGAATTGTGGAACAGTTTTGTTATGTATGGAATGATTTGGCATAAATACCCCAGAAATCTCTCTGCTCTTGACTTCAGTTGGCGTACTTAATGATAATATCCATAGACTAGTCAGTTAATCAAAAGTTATCCTGCAATACTTGTATTCGCTCACTGTGTATCGTCTGGGGGCATATCCCATGAGAGTCGCGCCCTTGTAGCTCTTGTCTTGACCCCAGCAGCGGCTCCCACAAATCTGAGCACCCAATCTTTCACCTGCTTGGCCTTTTGCAACTGCGGATGCATCTGACCGCGCCCCGACAACTCCCTAGTCGAATAGAGACCCGATCCGTCTCGTCGCCATAGCAAGCTGACCCTAGTCATGCCTCTTCGCAGACTTTGGCCGTATACTTTGTTTTGGAACACATGCAGGGCTACATTTTGCATGAGAACGACGTCTTGGCGGCGTAGGGCCCTAATCTCAGCTGCAGCAGCGTTGTGTTCTTCGAGCCAGAATGTGACAGCGAATCCTGTCTTTGTGTCGTCGCCGAGTAGAATCTCTACTAGGGATAGAGTACGACCCCAGCGCGTCGTGACCGTTCGGGGTTGGGCGATAGATATTATTCCAGCAATGACATTGAGAGTAATTGTTTGGGGATTTAAAGCCAATATTTTTGATGCAGAAGGTATATCTTCCAAGTCAGAAAGATGCGAAGGCGCGGACTCGGTCGCATCAGCCCGGACTGCAGCAACAGTAGTCATAAAAGAAGTGTCCTCAAAAGAAGTCTCTTCAAAAGCCGTTTCCTCAAAACTGTCAAGCCTTGATGAAGGCAGCGGATTATGCACGGCCAGAGAGTGATCGTAAAACTGCGATAATAGCGTTTCTGCGTCACCTTGTTCAAAAGGCTGAGACTGTGACTGTTTATTAAATGAGACTTCAGCCGTGGTGAAGAACTCAGATTGGTTGGCGAGGTTAACGCTGATATCGTGTGTTTGACTGAACCCTGTATGAAGAGGTTTTCTGTTCAGGGGGAGAGACCGCCATGGTGCGAGGTTTTGCAATGGCGCAGGTGCTGATTTTGATTTGGGAGGGACCAGCCCTAGAAATTGGGCAAAAGAGTCGTCGATTTGAGTTATCGTACATGACTCTGAAGTTAGAGATGAAGATGGCGGTGCGCCTGCGAAGAGGAGCAGTCTTTGTGCCATGACCAGCTCGTCACGTCACGCCTGGCCTGGATAATCTGAAGAGGAGTCTATTTGAAGCATTTCATGATTTTGTCAAGATGTTGTCTCTGCCTAACTTGGACCGATAAAGTAAAGTGAGGTCCAGTTAAGGTAAGGCCAAGGATGGATACAATGCAATGCAGGAAGAGAGATCGGCTTCCACTTCCCGGGCGCAGGTACCGAGGTATGGATTATGGATGTTTTCCCCACCCCCACAACTCCCGCCCCGTTGAGTTTAGCAGTGCTCCACCACCTGGACACGCCTTGCCGAGGTCGCGCTATCTATTCAATTCAACCTTCAAATAATACATCTTGTACCCTACTAGACGAATATCTTAATTAGATCCTACCGATAATTTTGTTTGTGCCATTCAGCTGCATTCCTACTTTCGTCATGTCCTCCTTTCCCTTCACCATTCAAGAACACACAATCGAGGCTTCACATATACGCGAATACGCCCGCGCAACATCACACTCTCAAGATGAGAAGCTCTACCTTCACATAAAGCAATATACACCCAAGGACAACACCAATCCTCGAAAAGGCGATGTAACCATCATAGGCGGACATGCCAATGGCTTTCCCAAGGTAGACTGTTCAGAATATCCATCCATAAGAAATACGTGTTAACTTTCTGCTTCTAGGAACTCTATGAACCTCTATGGGAAGAGTTCTACCATGAATCCAAGCGGCGAAACATCCGCATTCGAGATATTTGGATAGCTGATACAGCATGGCAAGGCCAAAGTGGTCTCATCAACCAAGATGCCCTTGGTAATGATCGTAAGACTCACTCTCCTTCTCACTCAAATCTACACATGCTAACTATCATTCATTTAGCAAGCTGGCTAGACTATGCCCGCGATATCCTTCACATGATAAACACATTCCGTCCACCACCACCGATAATGGCAATGGGTCACTCGTTTGGTGCAAACGCTCTCACAAACGTCGCGCTCCTTCACCCTCGCGTCTTCACATCTCTTGTACTTCTCGACCCAGTCATCTCTCATTTTGCTTCTACGCCTGGCGCCTCAAGCGCAGGCCCTGCGGCAGCAAGTATGTACCGTCGCGAAGTCTGGCCTTCTCGCGCCGAAGCGGCAGCATCTTTCGGTCGCAGCGCCTTCTACAAGGCTTGGGATCCCCGCGTGCTACAGCGTTGGATAGAGTACGGTATCAGTAATGTGCCAGGCGAAGAAAGTGTAACCTTAACCACGACGAAGCATCAGGAGATTTTCACTTTCTTGCGCCCCAGCTGGCAAGCCTACGACGCCCAAGGCAAAGACGTCGTCCATCCCGAACATGCGCCTGATCTCGATACAAGTCTCAATCGGCGCTGGTCAACGTATCCCGTCTACCGTCCCGAGGGTCCCAACACTGTCGCTCGCCTCCCTAATGTTCGACCCAGTGTTCTATATGTCTTTGGTGGAAAGAGTAACGTTTCTCCGCCAGAACTGCAGGATGAAAAGATGGCTCTTACAGGAACTGGGGTCGGTGGTAGCGGTGGTGAGGCACAGGGTCGTGTCAAGAAAGTCGTCGGCGAGAACAATGGCCACTTAGTCCCTATGGAAGATCCTCGCATGTGTGCCACCGCTGCAGCTGATTGGATCAAGCTTGAGCTTGAGCGTTGGTGGGCAGATGAGCGTCAGTTTGAGGAATGGGCGGCCAAGTCCAAGGAGGATAAGACGACCGTCTCAGACGATTTTCAAAAGCACATAGGCAAGCCTGCACCCCGCCCCAACAAGGGCGCCGCAAAGGCCAAAATATAGACACACGGGCGCAATAGCTTGGAAAGCACTTCTTAAATGCAATTGCAATACTACCTCGGTTGTTAATCAATCTATCGCTGCATACTCCTGATTTTGGGTACGAAATGAAAGACTAGAAACTACTTTCGCTATCTTTCCCAGCCTAAACAAAAGAAGGCATAGGCAAACCAAACCAAAAAAGACAGTCAAAGGCTGGTAAAGGATACCACGCTGCTGCATCCAAACTCAAATCCTAACACGGAATCCGACCTTCCCAGAGTACGCCGACTCTTTGCTTCTGTGGGTGGTGTGGGTGACTGAAGAATAGCTCCAGCATTGATATCGCAACCCACTTCAGATATAGTACATCGAATTGACCAAGTTAGTGTGGACCTGCTTTGAACCGCTTGCACTTCCTCCTGGCCCAGCAGTGATGACACTTTCGTCGTCACTGATCTCAAAGAACTCGGGTCGGTAAAACCTCGCTCGAGTACACACAATGTCTGAATAGTAAGCTGGGGGACAGATGCTTACAGCCTTGGTGGCTCGGCCAAACAAGTAGCAGAGCTCATGGGTATATCTCTCGAGTTCGTTGGCTGCCTCGGCTGCGTACTTCGCTCGGAAGACCTCATCTAACAATACAGTGTAGTGCGCAGGGCGAGCTGTGCCCTTGATGCTGGAGTGAGCAGTGAGATAGAAGTCCCAGTATCGAGCTTGCGTGACACCTCGATCCACAACGGTGCCATTTTCGATGTTGTTCTTAGATGTCATGCTCTCGGCAGAAGTGGGATAAAAGCGAGTATGATGCCGCTTGACTGATACAATCAGAGTGATTCTGGGCCCTTTGTTCTTTGCGTACTTGGCATTACAGGCGATGCGAATGCGTGGTAACTCTTTCTGTAGAACTTGAGCAAATTGCCCCTCCGACACGCCGTCACGGAATATAACTATATTCTCGGGCAGCTGTTGGCGGTTGTTCTTTTGCCAAAGATCGAGGCGAGACATGAAAGCTTCAGTCAAAGTCTCGTCTAACATCTCCTGCTTGGACGACTGCTCCCAAGAATAGGCTGGCCATTGCCCCATATCCCGGTCAATGGTGGCTACCAGCCCGACCAAACTAGGAGCAGCATTGCTCTTGTCTGAAGACATATTGGTTGGGTGAGTGACATCGTAACCTACAACCATTGTTTTGCCCTCTTTGATAAGCCCAAACTCATTATGAAGCTTGTGGTTCACGCCACCTGCCTTCAAGTTCCATTTGAGAGCGGCATTAGCGAAATATGCCAGCGGGTTTTTTCCTGTTCCAAACTTGTCGCTTTGAACACAGCAAGTGTGGATGCCATAGGTGCAGTCGCCCAGTGCCTTGATCCTGCCATAGTATTGTGACTCTGTAGTGCCAAGAATCACGAGTACAAACTCGATGTTTGCTCGCTGAGCCCATCTGAAGAAATTCTCCATGTCTCCTTGAAGAAATTCATTCTGGTTAATGATTTCTTTAGGAGGCCTTTGAGGCTCGCTGTTGATTGCAATATTCATCTGTCTCATGGCCTGAGCAAAGTCTTTCACGGTGCTGATCTGAGTAGGCCCGTTTCTGCCTGGGTTGACATTGACATAGGTCCACTGTGAAATGAGCTTGCCGGGTCTGTACACCTTTATGGCTTTCATGTTCCAGGAGCCTTCTCTTGGGTGAACCTGGATAGGCTGCTTTCTGGAGTCAAAGTAGGAGACACCTGGGGAGGCGAGAACGCGTCCCTGGACAGTGAGCAACTGTTTGCCAACTTGAATACCGAAATCGCCCTAGACCAGTCAGCCTCTTTTCCAGAAAGCGCGCATGACTATACATACCAGTTTTTCGTCATCGAGGCCCAAAGCCGCCCGCGCATCAGTGACAATAGACAGGGCATTGGCGTATGTGGATCGGCAAGCAAAGTTGACCATCGCGGTCGATTCGCGGCCTGTCAGCTTTGCCTTGATTGACTGCCCTGGGATGATTTGTACAAATTCTGCCGGAGTGAAATTTGGGTTTGCGGCAGTGCCAAGGTTGAGAAGAGGATAGTCCTGTAAGGTTGCACTGTATTCTGTGAAATTGTTAGGATCGTCTCAGAGTAGGGGATAAGAACGTACTCTTTTTGTAGTATTGTTCGACGGTGATATATTTACCACTTCCACTGCCATCCGATTCAAAGAACTGTGCGTTTCGTGGCCCGGGATAATCGAACCCTCCCGTAAACTTAGGAGGATGGTCCTTCCCACGACAAGCTCGTTCAATCTCAGGTGCATAAGCCAGACCATAGATTGCTTTGGGTCGATGGATTACTTTCCCGTTAGAAAGTTTCATCTGTGTCAACACACGGGTCTTAGGAAGGAACTTGTTGATCAACCTGCATCTCTGCTTGCTTGCTGGCTGAATTCCCAGCTCCCTAAAGATCGTATCGCATTTGCCGTCGATTTTGAAGATACCATGAGTGACGTTTGTGTTCAGCAGAACTCGGCCAGTGCCTAAGCGTACGGACTGGAAGAATCCACGGGCAATCTGTAGGGGTCTCCCGTAGGTTCGCAAATCCTCGACGATACCACCATCTTTGAAAGAAAAGAAGCGGGATCTTCCTACAGCGCTGGTATTGTTGTTCGACCTCGGACCAAACCCGAATATGACGTTCAGGGCATCAACAACGTCAGGGAATTTGGGGAATGCCAGGGCTTTGGCCGCATCGTCACCGTCGATAGATTTATTTGGAGTGTCATTCGAGGCACCAGTGGTCGAGTTGGTGTACTTGAGCATCTCGCTAACTTGGATTTCGGCAGGACCATGCAAAGTCACTTCAAAAACTTCGGTTTTGTCAAGCTTCGTTGCGGATGGGAGGTTCACTTGGATCGAGTTGCCAAGTCCGAGATCAAGCTTGCGCAAAGAAATGAGCTGCGACGCGAATTCAGTCGCAAGGACCAATGTCTGGTCATTCTTGGTGAGCTCTTTCAAAGTTGCCTCGATAACCAGATAGAGCCGGCGGCCCTTGACCTCGCGGGGTGCGGTGTTCTTGGGCTTCCCGTGTCCCTTTCCCTTAGGCTGGGCGACGGGCTCGTCGGCCTTTTCTTCTGGTTCGGTCACAACCTGCTTGATGGACATGGTGTATTTGTAGATGACAGGGATTTTGACGGTGACTTCGTAATAGTTCGCCCACAAAGTGACGGGGCGGCCTTTGTTTCCGAATGCAGGTCGAGGAGGAAACTTGCCCAAGTTCTGCTTTTCTTCCACTCCCAACTTGGACATCTTTGACGTAATTTGGGCAACGGAATTGTTCTGGTTTCTCACCACCTCGTTCTCGAGCTTGGTGATGGTAGCGTCTGGTTGAGGTACACCAGATGGAACCCTGGAAGAGCAAGTGTAAGCAGACAATAATACCTACTTGGTCGAAACTTACGTGAAAACAGGCGGCTCGTTTGAGGGTGCTCCTCCACCACGACCTCCTCTGAAGCCTCCCCTTCCGCGATCATAACCACCGCGGCCACCTCTAGGGCCACTGAAGCTGCCACGGAAGTCACCACGGCCTCCATCGCCGCGTCCTCTGCCGCCGCGAAAGCCGCCATCGCCTCTTCCCCCTCGGCCATCATTATAACCGCCGCCACGCCCACCTCCTCGGCCATCTTGATAACCGCCGCCGCGTCCTCCACGGCCACGGCCTCCACGTCCGCCTCGGTCACCTCTGTCCGCCATGGTAAGAGAGTGTCTGGGTGCTTTTGGTGTGTATGTAGAATGAGATCAAGATGCAAGGATGTGTATTCTGAAGTCCAAGAAAGATTGTTAATAAAAGATAGTTTCTGCTCTTAATGGATGTGTGTTAGAGTAATCTTGATGGGAGAGAGAGGGGATTTGAAGAGGGGAATTTGGATGCCTTTATGTAAAAGCAGTTGTAGGAGAAGGTGCTCGCTCATTCACAGTGCCGTACGTTAAGCAGGGTAGGAACGGTGAATCAGCAACAGCAACCAAAGAGCTGTGTTTGCGTTTGCGGTCACAAAGGCGGAAGGGAGTTCCTGCCTGGCTCTGAAAGTGACTGATCAGTGGAATCCAAGAAAGGAGCCAGTCTGTCACTGTTTCCAATCGACAAAGAAGCAAGCCTCAGCTTGCAGTGGTGAAATGATGGGAAGGTGGAGCGAAGGAACTAAGTGAAGTCGGTAGCTGGGATCAGGCCGGGAGGACTATCTCGGCCGCTAGTCAAGCTCCGTCTCTCTTGGTGGAGCAAAGCCAAGCGAAGACGACAGCCCGTCACCTATAGTACTTAGCTTAGGTACTAACCTTAGGTATCCGTACAGGTGCTTTAATTGATAACGCGCGGGGCAACAGTTGCTGGTTGACAATGAGGGGTCCAATTGATAAGTACTTAGGTACTAGGAAAGGCAAGTTGTAGGTACGGGCAAGTTTTTTCTTTTCTTTTCTTTTTCTGAGAGCCTTTATTGAATGAACAAAGAGAATTAGGCTGGCTATTCCCCTCCCTCTCTCTTTTCTTTCTTTCCACATTCTTTTCTCTTCTACGCGCCCGACTACCTAGGTACCAAGGTAGGTTCTGTTGTGTAACCCTCAGCATGGTCGGCCTCCCAAGCTAGGTAGCTTCATCCTATCATGATTGTCTTGCCTTACGTCAAGTTGCTGGTGAGTTGACATGACGTCTTCAGCTGGCCATATTGAGGGCCGACTTACAATACCTACCTAAGGTAGTTTTGTTTTTGGGCCAACAAGGTTTTTTGTCCCTTTAAGAATGCACCTTGCCTGAGTGTGTTCAGCGCTATTGCCTTTGGCAAATATAAGGCTCTGCAGTAGTCTATGTCTTGCAGTACACCCAGAGTAGAGTTAGGTACTGCGTTTCTTATTATGATGACACGTGCTTAGGTTATGTCCATCGTCCATGGTATCATTGTACTTAGCAACCGATACCTAGAAAGCATCCTTGCTTGCTTCCAGGCTGGTTGCTTGCTTCTTCTTCAGCCACAACGCCAACGCCCAGCATTGGCTGGGCTGTGATGAACATACTGTAGAAAGGCGGTATGTAGTCTATAGCATATCGACCTAGTAGGTACTAAGGTAACTTAACTGCCTTATGACGAAAGTACGTACTTGTTTCGAATAGACGAATGGACAGTCTGATTCAACAATGGATCCTGAAGGAAACGGGCTGGGCAATCAGCCGTCGCGGTCAAGTGCAGACCTCTCAGATACCATTACAATCACTGTTGGACAAGATTGCGCCAACAGTCCCGTGCCTTCCCGATAAGTTGACAAAAGATGATAGGGCTCATGTCTGTCTGGTCCGTACTGAATCTTGGTACACCTGCAATCAGCTCTTCATCCACTTGATTTCTCACATGCGAGACCAGCCCTGCGGGTTCGGATAACCAAACATCTAGCCAACACATGGATTGTTTGAGCTTGAGCAGCTGCAGCCGTAACTCGTCGCAAATGTACTGGAGCCTCGCACAAGGGGATAAGTTCCCTTCAATTCGCCCCACTGCCTGGTGTTTGTCCCGTGTCTGAATCTCCCCATGCTATTCAGCTCAGTCACTTACATGGACCTTTTCTTTGTGTAACCTGAACCGATATCATGAAACCCAGAACCGAGATGAGGCTCTAAATCCCTCTTGCTTGGGAAACTGAAATCGAAAGGTTTCGTAGAGGTGTAGCATCTCCAGTAGAAGACTCTGTGCTGGCTAACCCGTGTCGATGCTGTACTATCGTCGTGCCTCAAGCGATGCTCGGTCCCTTGCATGGTTTGAACAAAACGATACAAAAGGCTGTATTAAATGAGCTTGACCACATCTCAATGGCTCTGGAAGTTTTTGAGTCCTTCGCTTGTTGGTGAATCACAAGCAGCGTTCAAAAAGATATTCCGTCACCCTTATGCCAAACGCAAGTATTTCAAAGCAGATGGACCATCAGGAGATTAGCCCTGTTAACTACACCAAACTACAATCGTATGACGCGGCTCACGGAAGCGCAGACAATCAGAAGACAGCATACCAAGCAACCCTAGATTGGGCGGCACGATAACGAACATAGACCCTTCAGCGGTAACACTATCATGTGTACTGGTCAGAGGGGGTTTTACATCTGCCCTTGCAGATGTACACATTGCCCAAAGAGAGGAATTGTACCTCATAGACTTATCACGCAAGGTCACGTCTACAGGATCGAAATCGACACAATTGCCTGGGACATCTGCGACTGGTGGATTGTGAATGGCCCCCCTGAACAAGTTCTCAACCGGTACCTCAAGCCCAGCTGTCAATACTTCACATGGCACACACTTATGGTTCCCTCATCGCTTTGTCCTGAGTGTCAAGCCACTTGCACAGAGAAGAAAGAAGTTAAGGACGAAAACAGCAGCAGTGATAAGAAAGCGTCGCGGAAGACCAAAGGCAAAACACCAAAGCAGTGATGGATTATATTCACACATGATCTGTCAGTTCTCTTAAGTAATGGCGTATTTCGGGCTTTGAGATCCAATAGAGCATCACTGGTGACTGAGGCCATGAGTCAGGGGCAAGTTCTGATTATGTATGTTCAAGCCATTGTGTACCTTTCCTCTTTGTACTTGGTGAACGTTCCAAGACAGAGAGCTAGAGCAAGATCACATTTGTAATATTTGTCAAGAAGAAGGCTGCGAAGAATTAGACCTGGGTGGTGGTTATAAGTGTAAAGCTGTCAATGGATTAGCACATAGCCAAGGCTATACGAGAAGGATATAGATATACTACATTTAACATGCCACACTTTGTATGTGGTGTATCCGGGGAGCAGAGTCCTATATGTTATGATGCATCTTACAACTCTTTGTCAGACATGAGCCTGCTATATACCAAAGTTACGACCTCAGGTCCAAAGGTAGCCCACTGTCTTTGTTTCAGCTCTCTTGTGAGTCTCTCTGCATTCTCGAAGTGTAACATTTTCACTGCTGTAGTCATGTAATCCACGATTTAGCACAGCATTTCCTCACTTATTTCACCACTACCAACTCCATTGTTCTTCCGATACAGACATGCCATTTTAAATGGCCTACCGACACAGCTGACCCTTCGAGTCATATGCAGCCAACCTTAATCCTTATCATGTCCTGCAGTTGCTACTTTTAGTATGTCATCTTCCAATCCCGACACATGATGGATCTCAATCCCAGCATCCTCTAGCGTCTTGCGACCCGTGTTCTCTCCCACAAAAGTCTCGGGTTCTTGAACGCCGACATAAACTTGGGTGATCCATGACTTTTGGCGTAACACTCTCTCGACGCAAGGTAGCTTGCCGCTCAGCCGCTTAAAGCATGGCTCTACGGTAGTGTAAAGAGCATGAGGGGTGTTGAATACATCTGAGAGGTTCTCTTCAGTGGTTCCATGCTGTTCAGCAAGTTTCATCAGACATGTCTCTTCCGCATGCGTATTTCCAGGAAGTTCCAGAGTGTATCCTTCGGCAATAATGGTGTTGTCGTTAAGGCGCACAATCAAGGCACCCACGCGAAAGTTGGTGGGTTTAGGGGGAGAATTATGTGCCAAGCTCAATGCCCGCTGCATAGCAGCTTTGTGGTTTCCAGGCTCTAATGTAGTCATTTTGATGTTGAAAATGCGATGTGTGTTGTATAATTGAATCCAGATGTGGGATCTTCCGGGATGCTCCATCTCCAGTCGGTGGGGATAAGCTCCGATGACCGAAAGCACTTAAACATCGGCTCCACAATATAATATCAGCGCGTTGCAACGCGTCTCCCACGCCAGCAACGAGCTTGAGCTACCACCAGCGTGCATCTCTACTGATACATCACCAATCGAAAGTCAACAACAGAATCACAATGTCAGATCACGAAGATGTTTTGGAGAGCGAGCCTCCGACCATCGATCCCTACGAGGTCCTGAGCCTTGAGAGAACAGCGACAGGCGATCAGATCAAGCAAGCATACCGAAAGGCTGCCCTCAAGAATCACCCAGGTTTGCCTGATCTGTGCTACAACACAGAAGTAGTCTGTTAATACTTTCTGGTAGACAAGGTACCTCAAGACCAAAAAGAGTCTGCGCATGAGAAGTTCCAAGCCATCGCTTTCGCATACGCCATTCTTTCAGACCCCGCCCGGCGCAAACGATACGACGAGACTGGTTCAACCTCCGAGTCGATCGTAGACTCTGAGGGTTTCAACTGGAGCGACTACTACCGAGAGCAATTCAAGGAATCTGTGTCTGGCGATGCCATCGAGAAGTTTGCCAAGAAATACAAGGGATCTGACGAGGAGAATGGAGATGTTCTAGATGCCTATGAAGACTGCGAGGGTGACATGGATGCGCTGTACGAGAGAGTTATTCTCAGCGACGTACTAGAGGACGACGACCGTTTCCGCGATATCATCAATAGGGCCATCAAGAGCAAGAAGGTGCCCAGCTTCCCAGCTTACACCAAAGAGACAAAGAAGAAGCGAGAAGGGCGATTGAAGAAGGCCCGAGAGGAAGCCACAGAAGCTGAAGACTATGCTAAGGAACTTGGTGTACACGATAAGCTATTTGGCGATAAGAAGGGCAAGAAGAAGGGCAAGGGCAAGGGAAGTTCAGAGGATGATCTGGCGGCGCTGATCCAAAAGAGACAACAGGACAGGTCCGAGAGTTTCTTGGATCACTTGACCGAAAAGTATGGGGCTAAGGAAAGTAAGGGAAAGAAGGGCAAAAAGCGACCGGTTGAGGATGAGCCATCTGAGGAGGCTTTCCAGGCAGCTGCCTCTCGTCTGAAGAGTTCGAAGAGGTCAAAACGCTAAGGGCTGTATGATGATTATTGGCACTCCCCTTGACATGGGATAGTTTGATGGTGTTTGGGCGTTTGTTTCTCGCGATAATACCTTTCATGTTCAATAGATAATCAACCAAGAAGCTTGAAATCTTGTTTAAATCTTGTGTTCAAGTTATAGCTGGTGATGGACGCTGACTAGGTTACCAACTTGCCCCATACATTCCAATAGACCAAACCGGGAGGCGTCAAACTCCCGTGATGAATAGACCAGAAGGTAATTGCCATACCCGAAAGCGAGAAACCATGGATTCAACGCACATGACAACTTCAAATGTTAAATGCTGTTTTACTTGTAATTGACATCGTGATCGTGTCCGTCCTACCCTAAACATACTACTTTGGTGGGGCATGTCTGGGTCACCGTGAATAGGTATCGTCAGGTCTCACTCCAGTTGACTTCCTTCCTTACATGTCGGTTCATGCGAAAAGCACATCAGATCATCGATGATGCTAGGGATGATAGACTTGTCACCTGAAGATACACTGCTATCATGATGCCATGAGCGAACCAGACAAGCCCCCAATCTACCCTCGATACTGCTTTCATCTTGCACCCACCGTGAACCAATGGTGCCCATTCCGCGTGACCGATGTTCACGGTCTTGATCAACACTCAGGTTTTGAAGGTGAACAATACACTACAGTACGATGATGGATTGAACAATGATGGCTGACAGTCTCAAGGTGAAAACTTCTACTTCTATGAAAACCTACCAATCAAGTGGGTGCGCATAGTTGGGTTGGTCGTCGCCATTGACGAATTCACGGGTAGACGCGTCTATACCATAGATGATAGTAGCGGCGCATGCATCGAGTGCACTGTTACGATACCCATCTTTTCAGGGGAATACGATAATGCGACTGCAACAGGAGATGCTGCCTCGAAGAAAGCGGACGCGAACCCGCCACTACCTGCTAATCCCTTTCCGACTATCGACGTTGGATGCGTTGTAGACGTCAAGGGGGGCCTTTCCAATTTCAGAGACGAGCGGCAGCTCAACATCGAAAAGATGACTGTCCTACGGAGCACCCAGCAAGAGGTTGCACTCTGGGAAAAGAGGATTAGATTCCAGTCCGAGGTTCTCGCCAAACCGTGGGTCCTACGAAAAAGTGAAATTCGCAGATGTCGCCATGAAGCTGAGCGAAGCGAAGAAGCAGCGGAGAAGAAACGAAAACGGATGAAAGCGATGGCCGGATCTGGCTCTACGAAACAGGCATCGAGGTCGGCAGAGCAGAATGAGCAGAGTAACGAGAGGGTTAAGCGGGAGCCGAGCAAGGAAACACGTCTGGATCTTCGGCAAATTATCGAGAGGGGCGGAAGAGGCAAATACAATGCGCTGGGATTGTGATGCAAACTATTGATCGGCTTGAGTTAGATAGGAGCTACTAGCGGGTGTTGATGGGCAGCTGAAGGGTCTGGGCTACCTAGACTAGAGTGCTAGGCTGTGCGCAATACAGCTATCACTGCCAAGTACTGATTGGCATGGCCAAGGATTTACGGATAGAAGCTGTCGTGTTCTGGAATGCGACTTCGCAATCAATCAGCGTGATCGTCCTCGTGTACTGAAAAGATGTCCATCACCTAGTCTGAGGGTCCATGGGACAGCCTGGAACGGCTTGGTCACTAGACCGGTCCTGTCCCAGTTTACAACAAAAAGAGTCTCTCTTTCTTTTTCTTTTTGTGACCTGGAGCCCGGTTTTGGGGCAGATGTTACCCTGAATCAAGTACAGGTTGTCTTAACGCCTTTTTACCGTATGGCATTCTGAGTCAAGTGACTGTCTCACATCAGAATCGAACTGCCTCTTTCATGAATGTTGATGTCGTTATCATCATGACCAAGTCATAGAAGAGGTTGGAATAAGAGACAACAAAGACAGTAAAGCAACGTAGCAAAGAAATGACTCGATACTCATCAGCCGTCTCCATCGTGAGGTCAATAGTGAGTTGTGCCAAGCATCGATATTTGGGACAAAGGCATTGCGTCGGGTGAGGGATGATAGTCAGTATCCATGCGAAACAATAACAGCCTCCAGGCGAAAAGCCTCCGAACCATCAACGTTGAAGGCTGAGACTTGATTCGGGAACGAACGCCAAGGACGTTAATGAAGGAGTCAAGAGGCGTAGACTAAACTTAGGACCTAGACTACCTTACCTATCCTCCAAGTCGAAAGCTGAAAACTATAAGCAAATTTGCAGAGTATTAGGCATCTAGCTAGTCTACCTAGGAGTTAGTTCATCGCTACAAGATGTGGCAAGCGAAGAAAACCCCCCTTGAATTTAATCAATCGCGAATCGATAGTTCCTGGAACTAATGCCAGCTTACCCAGAACGGCGCCCGCTAGGGAATAGTTTAGCGCTTGCTACTGCAGGCACACGCGGACGCCACAGACGAGCATCTAGGGGACTTCCCCTTTGAGACCTTCAGTCACATTCTCTTTACCAGGGGTCTGTAGGGTCTGTAGGGCCTGCAGCTGCAGGAACGTGAACATGCGCTCCTGGCACTTGATTCGACTTGGTAAAAAAGACCCTGCCTTTTCTGTTCACGATGCTCTTTCCTTTCCTTCAATGATACCCAAAGCAAAAGGAAAGGACCAAGCTGTATAGAACACATGTTCAAGCTGCCGTTGGTATATTGGACCCTGAGATAGAAGATAAAAATGGAATCATCTCCAGTCATCTTCTCATTCTCTCAACCTCAAAAAACAAACGCACTTCAAGTTCCTGTCAATCGATCAAATAAACCAGCATCTTACTAAACACCATCCTAAAGAATCCAATTTCTCCAATTGCTACCCTAACCTCCATCACTGCTCCCCGTCTGCATCTCACCAGCTTCTGAGTGGTCTGAACCCCTAGTGTAACATTTCTTTTGGTGGTAGATTCTAGCCTTGGTCTAGCCTTCAGGTAAGCCACACTCATCTATGTTACTGAGCTGTTTGTATTCTGTGCCTCTGAGACATGTCCACTTCATTTCATTCTCCGATGCAAGTGCCTGCTAGTCTCATCAGTCGCGGCGCCACTCGACTAGTGGTTTTCCCTTCTCGATGGCGTCCAAGGAGCTTGAGCCTAGGAGCTGGCCCTTGGCCGATTATATTATAAGCTATGAGGCCCCCTTGTCCTTAAGATCTATCTCCAGCTTCGCCCAAGCCTCTATCATCTTGATCTCCCCAAGGTTGTGATCTAGTTGCTCAAAACAGACTCACACTTTGCATTAGCCCAGCATGAGATCTCGCAACATTCTGCCTCTATGGCTTCTTTGGCTAACTCAGGGACAAGCTTCAGTTCTGCCACAAGGCGAACAGAACTCACTCGATTCTTTGGGCGACTCCAACCAAGAGTTCAAACGCGACCTCGAAACATCTGCTTTTGAGTACTTGACAACTTACGACAAGGAAGATATCATCCCGGTCACCGAGACTGTCAAAGTCAGCACCAGCAAGGCCGGCACTACTGCAACGGCTCAGGTTCTACCATCTCTCTCGGACGTTGAGCCTCATACCGAAGGTTTCATTGTCACAGATCTTTACAACCCTTTCTACACCAAAGCTGCTGTCCTGAGTACTTCAATCCCCAGCCCAACAAGCCTTATCAAGCCCGTCAAAACTACTACCAAGAACGCGGAACCTTCCGGACTCGTCAAGATGGCTGCTGCTGCTGATATCTTTGCGAGCCCCATCGATACGAGTGCTCCGATGTCAATGTTTCAAAGGAAGACCACTCATCCAGTTTCCAAGAAAGCCGTCAAACAGAACACCCCTATTGGAACCAACAAATTCTACTCCAACTTCTACCTGGAAGATCAAAACACTCCTGTCTATACATACCCTTATTCTCTCACATGGGCAAAGGGTTCAGGCCCAGCAGCAAGCTGGGGCATGGCTATCTCGCACATCGATGGAGATAAACGTTCGTATGGTCCAGTTGGAGCTAACGGCGCCGTTGAATTTTACTCCAACCCCGTCGGTATCCAGTCCATGATCATCTCGGCCAAGGAACTTGGTAAGAACACTGTTCTGACCATGGACTCTATCACCCCTCATTATGCCAAGGCATACCTCAGCAAGGACAGCAAGTCGGCCGCTACAATCACCTTTCCTCTCTACCAAGGCAGCGTCTTCACAACTGCCTACTTCAGCGGCGGCACACCCTGGATCCAGACTGGCGTCTACTTCCGGACTATGACTCAAGTGACAAAGGACCCTAAATCCAACGTGCGCAAGTATAACTTCGTGCTCGAGGATGGAACCACATGGCGCCTCTATGCCTACAAGACAAAGGGTGATCCTCTTACTCTCAAGGTTACCAACCAAGGTCTTGCTGCCTCAGCCAAGCCCTTCTACGGCTTTATCCAGATTGCCAAGGACCCCAAGGTCGGCCAGTCTGAAGCGGTTCTTGACAACGGCTGTGGGATCTACGCAACTGGCATGACTATCAGCGGCACCAACGTTGGTTCTCAGGGCACTTACAAATTCAACTGGAGCAAAGCTGGTCACTCAAGTGGAAAGCTCTGGATCTTTGCTCTCCCCCACCATGTCGACTCATTTGATGCCACGACCAAGAAGGAGATGAGGACGTATACCATGCAAACCCTCACCAAGGGTGTGGCCACGGCTGTTGGCGGAGATTCTTGGACCATGGTCGAGCCATCGCTTCCCGTTAACATGGGCTTTGCTCCTTGGGATCCTGTCAAGGGCAGCCGCGGTCTATCTACCAATGCCAAAAAGATCATTGCACCAATTGCCAAGTCCGAGGTATCTCAAGATATGGATCAACAGGCCAACACCGATTCCATGTACTTCTCCGGCAAGGTAAGTTGTTATCTCGTGAATCTAAAGGTGTATGAACTAACAAAGCACAGGCCCTGGCCAAGTTCGGATCGGTCGTCTATGTCATCAACAACATGCTCAACGATAAGGCGTTGGCACAAGCTGGTCTCGAGAAGCTCAAGACTGCATTTGCTCGATTCGGTTCAAACAAGCAAAACTTTCCTCTTGTTTATGAATGTAAGTTTTTTGATGAAAGTGCTTCTTACATCGACTAACTGGGTGAATCAGCTGTTTGGGGTGGAATAGTCTCCACTGCATCTTACAAATCTGGATCACCTGGTTCCGACTTTGGTAACACTTACTACAACGATCATCATTTTCACTTTGGCTACCATGTTCTCACTGCAGCCTATATCGGCTCAATGGATAGCAAGTGGCTTGCCGCCAACAAGGCGTATGTCAACACACTCATTCGTGACTATGCCAACCCCAGTACCAGTGACAAGTATTTCCCTCAATGGCGAAGCTTCGACTGGTATCACGGACACAGTTGGGCTCACGGTCTGACCGCCATGTGGGATGGTAAGGACCAAGAGTCAAGTTCCGAAGACATGATGTCCGTTTATGCCATGAAGATGTGGGGTACTGTGATTAAGGACACTAACATGGTCGCGAGGTAAGTTGTCTAAGTAACGAGGGTTGAGGAAGGAAACTAACTCTGGATATAGGGCCAACCTCCAGCTTGCAGTCATGTCTCGATCTATGCAGGCCTACTACTACTACACTACGACCAACACTGTCCAGCCTAAGAACTTCATCGGAAACAAGGTGGCAGGAATCCTGTTTGAGAACAAGGTACACCACACAACCTGGTTCAGTGCAGACATCGAGGCGGTTCAGGGCATTCACATGATTCCCATTCTCCCATTCTCCAACCTTGCGCGAACTGGAACGTTCGTCCAGCAAGAATGGGACACTTACTTTAACAAGGGACGTGTCGACAAGTTCAACAACCTGTGGAAGGGTATAATCTACGGCAACTATGCAACAGTTCAGCCCAAGACTGCATGGTCTTTCTTCACAAAATCCAACTTTGATCCCATCTGGATCGATGGTGGAGCTTCCAGGACATGGTATATGGCGTATGCTGCAGGTGAGTTTTGCAACACTGAAGTGAAATCACAGGAACATGGTAGCTAACGATTGATACAGCATTGGGTGGCATTTAATGCGAACAACAAAGCAATAGTAGTGCTAGCCTAGGATAAGCAGGGTCACTTTGTATAACACTAATTGAAGATGGACAGGATGATACCTCGAAGGGAAGGTTTTCTTTGTACATTTAGAAGGAGGAGGAATGTTGCTTTAAGCGTATAGAGATGGACAAGAAGGAGCGGAGAGAGTCAGATATCGCTGACCTGGCCGAGACCACATACAGATACAGATACAGATACAGATACAGACACAGACCTATAGACGGCAGGCAGTTGCTGGACCCTTAGACTGGGTAGTTCTTAATTTCATCCGTTAATTTCAATATTGCTGCTGCTGCTGCTGCACATTGTTCGATGTGACCCTGACAGGAGATCTAAAAATCAATCAAGGCATAGGACCAACCACGTGCTGAGAATGACAGGTCGATTCAGGTAGCTTGACTGGGGCGCAGTTGTGACGACCCTGAGAGATCCATGTGCGCCAAGGCGGGGGGAATATTCGAGATGAGTGCCAAGATGCAGATTGCTGACACTGCCTCTCAACGTCTCATATTCAAGCCCAGAAAGATGAACCGAGTGACAGACTGACAAAGTTGTTATGTACAGTACAGTATAGTATCCATATCAAGGTGGATCGTTGAACATGGGGGCAGCCAGAGTCTGTCTGTGCATGTTTCGAGTTTGGACCACAAAACGAAAGACTCCTACTGCAACAGACCAAAGGCAATTAATTATTTCTTTTCAAAGCATGTATCAGATGCAGGTAAGAATGCTTTGTTTTGCCTTGCTTGCCAACCGCCTACCCATCTGAGTTAGGAAGTATACCGCGGACCTGTAAGACGACGCCTTGGAGTGATGCGTTGTTCCCTGGAAAATGCAGCCACAGCGTTGATCCCAGTGATTCGGCAACGTCGGACAAAACTACTAGGTACGTAGATCGGATAAGCCTCGACGGTTACGCAAAGCGAAGAAAAAAAGAAAGAAACAAAGAAGCAGAGAAGCAAGACAGAAAAAAGAACGCGTGCTATCAAAGAATCTTGATGGCGGAGTCGATTGAGTACCTACTTTGGGTACTCTGGTAGGTAGTAGGTACTGTATGGAAGCTGCTGTTACCTGGTACAGTAATTACTCTCATACCCCATTCATGACGTTTAATATAGAACTAGAGCTGGGGCTAGCCTCGGATATCTGCCCACAAGAAAGGGGTAAGGCCACTATCCGGATACCTGGATTACCTAGGGAGCAAAATAAAGAGAACCACAAGATGGTCGATAACCCTTTTTTTTCTTCTTCTGCCATTGCACAATTAAAACATCAATTTTGAATTCCTTACAACTTAAGCGCTCGCAGGTTCAAAGTAAAGTTTTAAGGTTTTGCTCAGCCATCAGCTAGACTAAGCCGAAAGCCGCCCTGTTTCTTGGTAACCTACATAGACAGTGGCGCGCGCCGAATAAATGAGCATCAGTGACACAACAACCTGGCAAAGAGCTCGGAGCTTCATGTTAAAAACTAAAAAAGGGTTTAAGTGGAGACTGTTGCTGCACCAGCTCTTGTCAGCGGACGAATGAGATTGGCTAATGGAAGACGTTGATCCTGGGAAAGCCCATGTCCTACGTCAACCCGTACCTAGGTAGCACCTAGCTCTTTCCAGGTTCCCTGCCTGCTTGCCCGTCGTTACTGCCAAACTCGAGCAGTCTTGGGCCCCAAACCCAAAGCAAGGCAAGAGGCCTCCTGGGCAACGGGTTTTCGTTTCTGCAACGTAACGCAACGCAACCATCATCGCTACTAGTCAATATCAACATCGTCACCATCTTCTTCTCTGGATTTTCGCCAAAGGCTGTGTGTATGTGTAGTAGCCCGACAAGATCTCCTTCGTCTTCTTCTTCTTTATCCGCCCGCTTGTTTCTTCTAACTCCATTGAGCAGGGGCCGAGCGTATCGATATTGTCACTGCCTCTTTCCTAACTAACTACAGTAGATTGGATTGGATTGGATCGTCGTCCGCCTCCATCTCAATCGCAATTCATCTCGTCGCGCGCTTTCCTGTTCCATTCCAGACTGATTTATCCGCACATAGTCTACTTGGTACCTACCGCAAAAGACGCGGGGGAACACAGACAAGAACAAAGACAAAGACAAAACACCCATCGCGTTAGATTCATTTAGCCAGAAACAAGTCAAGCCATGGTTTGTGAGTGAATACCTGCTTTTTCCTTTTGTTTTCCTTCAAAGCATCAAGCCAACATCTATCACCATCAACGCCATCCGTACCCACAAGCTCTGTGAATACTTTCAAGTAATCATCCCTGGCCTGGTTTGGCATTGTGGAAAGTCAATCGTCATCTGCCTTTTTCCTTTCGGTCAAACTTCTTTCTCTAGTCTATCTACCCCATCCATATCCATATCCATATCCATCCATCGCCGTCACCCATCCCTGCACAGAGCACAGAGTACCGAGTACCACACACATCCAGAACGAGACAAAGTGCAAGATTAGCTTCTTCCACGGGGGGTCTCGACTGGAGACGCCACTCACGATATTGTGTCCGTATGTAGGTATCTTAATCTAGTGCCCCGTGCCTGAGCCCTTGTCATTTTTGTCCCTCTTCCAACTTCATTCCCACGCCTGTTATTCCTGTTGCTTCCCCTTCGACATCAACAAAGGGACGCGGGAGTACATCCAGTCCATCTGTTCCTCGAATCCATCGAGTATATCGACAACGCGACAACAATTGATACATCCATCCTTCGCCCTCAACTCGAGTCCCTTCATTCCAATGTATGCTATCTGCCTCTCTTTCCCTCCGTTTGAAACCCTGTCATCAGCAAGCGCTGTTGCTGCACATGCGACTCTTCATCCACGCGCCAACTCCAGGCATGATCTTCTCATCATTGTGTAGGAGATGGCGCAGCAGGGTCCTTGCTCCGTCGAGAACAAAACAAGCTCAAAGCAATCGGCCATGGGGAGGGAGCCAAGAAGTCTAGCCTAGGCCAGGCCCAGTCAGCCTACCATGCAGCCTTTCCCAAAGCTAAGCTTGCCTTGCCTCATTGAGCTTGACTGCTTATTGCTTAATTGATCTTCTTCCGCCTTTTGGAGTTCTAACACTAGTTCATGTTCATTATCAATAAAAGCTAGATCGCTGACCATGTCGGTGACTTGATTCACCATATAGCTCTTCCGTCCTTTACCCTTCAAGTCAGACGATCAATGTCGAACAAACCAGCAAACCTCAGAGCGGCCGACGAGACCAGCCCGCTCATCAACGGCGGTGCCTCGTCGGCTCTCCATGATACTCTTGGCCATCGTAATGGAAATGGTCATATCAGCCTTAGTCGAGACTCGAGTACCATGACGTTTCTCTTCGACTCGAAGCACACACCCGGTATCGATAATCAAAATATTGCTGTCAGAAGCTTGGCTTATTCGTGGCACATCGCCAAGGTCACTCTTCTTAGCAGTAAGTTTGCGACCCTTTACGTCCAGGCGCACATGCATCTAACACCATTGTACAGACTATGTCAACTTTCTCTTAGTTATGGTGCCTCTCGGCATTGTCGCTGGCAAGATGGGCTGGAACTCCACTGCTGTATTTACCATCAACTTCTTCGCCATTATCCCGCTTGCCGCTGTCCTTTCGTTTGCGACCGAAGAATTCTCCCTGAAGCTCGGTGACACCCTAGGTGGCCTGTTGAACGCTACCTTCGGAAACGCCGTCGAATTGATCGTCAGCATTGTTGCTCTCCAGCGAAACGAAATCGAGCTTGTTCAGGCCTCGATGCTTGGTAGCATTCTTTCTAACTTGCTGCTTGTCATGGGAATGTGTTTCTTGTTCGGTGGCATTATTCACCGAGGCGAGTCTGGCAACGGAAGAGAACAGGTATTCTCTTCAGCTACCGCCCAAACGACCTGCTCTCTTATGACTTTGTCTTCAGCCTCTCTCGTCATCCCTGCTGCTGTAAGTTGAGCGACTTGATATATGAGAATCGCACTAACGTTTGTAGCTGTATGCCGTTCTTGACCAGAGTGGCTCTAAAGAAAAGGCTCAGAGCATCCTTACCTTGTCCCGTGGTACTGCTATTATCTTGCTTCTGCTCTACGTTCTCTATCTTGTTTTCCAGCTCCGAACACACAGCAACCTATTTGATGCCGAGAACCAACCGGATGATGAGGATGCCGAGCAGGAACATGAGGAGCCCACCATCGGTCCCGTCGCCGCTGTCGCTGTTTTGATTGTCACGACTCTTTTAGTCACCGTTTGCGCCGATTACCTCGTTGACAGCATCGATGACCTTGTCACTACCTCAGGAATCAGCCGTGCGTTCATTGGTTTGATCCTGATCCCCATTGTCGGAAACGCCGCAGAGCACGTCACCGCTGTTGTAGTTGCCGTTCGTGATAAGATGGATCTTGCTATGGGCGTTGCCATCGGTTCATCTATCCAGATCGCTCTTCTGGTCACCCCCTTCCTTGTCATTGTTGGCTGGATCATTGGATCCGAGATGACTCTACACTTTGAAACCTGTAAGTTTGAAGGACCCGGCATTTGTGAGATTGTCCACTTACAATTTTCTAGTTCAAACTGTTGCATTTGCCGTCTCTGTCCTGGTCGTGACCTATACGGTCCAGGATGGCAAGTCCAACTACCTCGAGGGTGCTATGCTTATGGGTCTCTACATTATTATTGCTTTGGCTTTCTACGCCACCCCTTCTGATGTGATGGACCCTGGCAACTAAACTAAGTGCTAGCGCCAGATTTGGTGTCCTTAACTCTCAACAATCAAGTATTATGTTTTTAAACATACCTTTCAAAATTCGTGACTTGTTCTATCAAGTCACTCGAATTGGATATCCACTAAAGCTGCTTCAAATGAGTGGCGTCGACGATACGTTAAACTACGATCAGATAATCGATCAATTTTTCATATTTGTATTACTAAGGAGATGCAGTCTGCTGGACTGGACCGCGCATCTGGAAGTTTCAGACTTCAACAAGCTCGGAATTAAACAGTGGAAAGAATGGGGAGTCTCAGTCGCATTCGCAAATTTTCATTGTGTCAAAAGGAATAAGGGGTGGGGATATGGTCACGTCTCACTAGGCTGGTCTAGCAGCAAGTTGCAATATGAGGGTTTCTTATTTATATCATTGGACTGCAAGGTCGGAGAAGGAGTGGTGAGAACAGGAAAAGGTTGGTTAAACAGTGAATTAATGTTTCGAAGTTCTATTTGTTATCCAAGAAGGCTCCAAGCCTTACACTTGCCTGTCGTGCTGATACCAATTTGGTGGTGTCAAAAAAGCCTTGTTTTCACATTGATGTCCGGTTCCTTGCTAATATAGGTTTCAAGCCTTGGTGATAAACACCTACACATGACCAAACTAACGTTCGCCTGGTGATATGTCTTTAACTAGAAGTTTATGCTGTTTGACTGGATCGTTTCACATTATTAATATGAGCTGGCTTCAGTTTGGTTCTCAGGAATCTGATTCCGAACAAGCAACGTCTTATTACAGAACTATTCTCGTGCACTAAAGACCCTATCAAATCTACACGAAGAGATCGATAAACCAAGCCTTTGATTCTCAACGCCAATTATATGTACCTGTATATATTTGCACAGTATCCGTATTTTTAAGTCATGGGCTTGGACATGGGCGCAATGATGCCCTGCTTCATGAGCACACGAGGCTTGGTGCTCTCCTGGAAAGTCTCCTTTGTCTGCCATTCAGGCCCAACAGGTAGACGCAGCGAGCGCTCGTACTGTTGGCGAGACTCGAAGGGGAAAGGGAGCTGGGATGCGAGGTAACGGTCATTCTGAGAGATGTTAGTAAATGGCTCCTTTTTCGACGTCTGAAGATGGAGAGTGCCTTACCTTTTTAATGCGCTTCTCGTTGATAATGACCTTGTCCAGCTTGGCGTCCTTCCGATCCTTCTTCTTGATACCGTCAACCTTTGTTAGGAAACGGCCTTGGTGACGCTTTTTCTCCTTTGCGCTTACACCATCACCAACCCACGATCCCCAGCCAGGTAGTGTGTTATCAATGACTTTGTCGTCCTCTTCATCGGCGATGGCCGTCTTCTCGGCCTCAAACTCTCCTACAACATCTTCTCCAGCGAAAGCACGATCAAGCATTTCTTGATCACGGATCGCCATAGGGAGATGCAGATCTGTCTCGGACTCAACATCTGAAGCTTCATCGGCAGTCTGGGCTTTCGACTTGGGCTTGGACTTAGGTTTGTTGAAGCCCTCTTTGAGCAAGCCAGCGGGTGTAAGGTCGATGTCGCCAACGCTTGTGGCAGACTGGCCCTTCTTACGGCGCGTGTCGGCACGAGCCCATGGACCTGCAGTTCCTGAGGTGGCGGGCCCGGATGAGGTTGTGATGTTAGGAATGGCAGGGTTGCTAGCAGCACCGTCGGTGGTTATAACAACTTCGTCATCACTGTCCTCTGACCTGCGCTTCCTGGGCGCTCGGGATGATGTTTCAAGAGCTGGCTTGAATGGCTTGCCATCTGCTGCACCGTATTGTCGTCGACCAATTTCTTCCAATTCGTCTGCAGATCCATCAAACTCCTCGCCATCAAGTTCTCGTCGAATCTGCTTGATAAGAGCATCATCCTTCTCCTTCTTAGCGGCATCTGCCTTTTGCATAAATTTCATGCCCATCACGCCCTTTTGAGGCACACTCTCCTCTTCCTCAAGGGCTGCGAGGTGACGACGCAAAGATGCCTCACCGCCATCGGAATCGCTGTCAGAATCAGATGTCGAATCGTCGGAGCCACCAGCGCGGCCTTCCTTTCTTCTACGGAGCTCTTCGTCCTTGCGAGCCATCTCGGTCAAACCAGCACGGAATTCGTCATCCCACACAGCTCGCTTTGTTTTGTTGCCAAGCTTGGCCCACTTACTGTCCTTGTGTCGCTGACCAACACGCTCTAAAGCACGTCGGCGATCTTGGGCTTCACGCTCTGCTTCGGAATCAACTTCGCTATCCTCCTCCCCTTCGCGCTCGCGCTCACGTTGCTTCCTGTGTACACGGTGGTAGGCCTTGCTCTTGATTTTCTTGATGCGCTTGGCTCGTTTGGCCTCTCTTGCGGCCACCTCACGGTCTATACGCTTGCGGGCTAGAGCCTCCTTGCGAGTAAGCTCGTTGCCTTCTTCATCGTATTGCTTGGGTTTGGGCTTCTTTGGCTTATCCATAGACAAACCGCTCTGCTCCATGATAGACATGATAGCAGACTCAAGCTCGTTACTTGGGTTCGAGGTGGTCAATGGTCGTATTTCAGTAGTGTCGAGGCCAGCTGTATCCGAATTCTGGGCGAGAGGGAACATGAGATGCTCTGCTCTTCGGTTTTGCTTAACTGTATCATTCCATCGATCCAAAGTCTCGTTGGTTTTCTCGTAAGCTGCGCTTCGGTCGAGACGGTCCTGCTGTCTCCTTGCCAAAGGCACGTCCAGCTTCTTGGAAACACCAGGGCGCTTTTCCTTTTCTTCCTTGCTCATAAGCTTCATAGACTTCTTGATATTAGCGTCGTTAATGCCGATCAGTCCAAGGTCGCTCAGGCTAATCTTGGCTTTGGCCTTGGGTTTGTCGTCTTCATCGTCTTTTTGGCCTCCAAATTGCTTAATCAGGTTCTGCATCTTTTCTGAATTTCCATTTTCGCCGTCCTCGTCGTCGTCCGACTCGTCGTCGTCATCCTCATCATCTTCTTCCGATTCGTCAGAGGCATCGTCGTCAGATTCTGAAGATCCAGGTTGGTCCTTCTCCTCGGGCTCGTCGTCTGACTCTTCGAATTGATCAAGAGCAGTTGCTAGGTCGATTGCGTCTGCGCCAAGGGTTTCGCCCTCATCGTCTTGAGAATCGTCCTCAGAATCGTCGTCCTTGGGGTGTGTTAGACTGAGATCAGCCAGTTTTCATAAATCAACATACCTCGCGCTGTGTTGTCTTGCTTCCTCGAAATGCGTAGCCATCGAACTTGTCTTGGTCACTGTCGCCAAACGCATCGTCACTCTCAATCTCGGAGTCCTCGTCATCTTCTCGTAGTCCTCCTAATTGCCATTCGTTTCCTTCGCTGTCGCTTCCGTAATCGGCATCATCTGCCGGTCTGCTGGGTCTCTTGACCTTCTTCCTTTGGGGTTCCTCCTCTTCCTCTTCCTCGTCATCTTCGTCATCGTCTCGGCCATGCTTTCGCTCTATCTCGGCGTCTAGCTCTCTCGCTCGAGGTGTTCGCTTTTGTCTGGGCGCGAAGTTTTCCTGCGCAATGCCAAATGCATCGAGCGCATTCTTTTGAGCTCTCGCCTTTGACTTTTTGTTGGCGGCCTTGGCTTTGGGGGCGGCCACAAGGGACCTTCCGTGAGCCTGTCGTCCACCCATGATAATTCTCGAATGTCGTTGTCCAAAATGTCGAGAGTTGTGGTGGGTTTCGCGGACCTGAGTTGCGACGTGAAATGGTCTTTCTCACGGTAACACTTTTTTCCAACTTTTCTGCCGCGTAAAAAAGTTTGGCGGTGAGATGACCCTTAGCGGGGCATCCAATGGACGGATCATGGCGTGTGAGATAAGCCTATCATGATCGCTGTAAATTGCTGATTCTAGTGGGGTCCTTTCCCACTGAAGCGGACCTAGTCCTGCACCGAATACCGAGTCACATCGGATCAGATGTTGACCTCTCCACTAGATATTTTATTGAATAGCCGTTGTTCTGGGGTCGTATGATTTATAAATGAGCCACCAACTACTTCTTCTTCTTCCTCCTCCCAATTGATCTCCTTTACTCACCTTTAGAATATTGGCTTCAACCATGGCGTCCTCTTTCGCCCCCGGGCTCCGGAGGTTACTCTTGCAGACCTCGATTACAGCATCCGGGCCTTCAAAGTTCTTCTTATGCAACCAATGTCTTCGAACTGCTCCCCGGAGCACGCCCTCCCGAGTCCTTAACACCGTCCGATCACGGTCATATGCTGATGCTGCTGTCAACAAGTCAATTGGATCAATCGCCGAGCAGGCTTCTGCTCGTGCAGCTCCCTCTATTTCTCAAGCCGCCAAGAAGGCATGGCCTGAGTCGAACCCTAAGGGTGTCGGCCTCTGGCTGATTGGCAGCGCTGTTAGTGTTTTTGGTATTGTCGTTTTTGGTGGTCTGACACGATTGACCGAGTCTGGGTACGTTAATTCGCTCTCTTGTGACAATTGAGCAAACCAGTTAACATCATGATAGCCTCAGTATTACTGAATGGAGACCTGTTACCGGTTCGCTCCCCCCCATGTCTAAGGAGGACTGGGAATCCGAGTTCGAAAAGTACCGCGCCTCGCCCGAGTTCAAGCTTCTCAACCCTCATATGAATCTCGACGAGTTCAAGAAGATCTACTTTATGGAATGGTTTCACCGTGTCTGGGGTCGTTTTATTGGCCTGACCTTTGTCATCCCCACTGCCTACCTAGTCGCCCGTCGCAAGGTCACTCCCAAGATGGCCCTGAATCTGGCTGGTATCTCTGCTTTGATCGGTTTCCAAGGAATTATTGGTTGGTGGATGGTCAAGTCTGGTCTCAAGGACGATCTGTTCGCGCCTGGCTCCCATCCCCGTGTCTCCCAGTACCGCCTTACCACTCATCTTGCCACCGCTTTCGTCTGCTACTCTTGGATGCTTCTCTCTGGTCTAACTGTTCTGCGAACTCGCCGCTGGCTTATGAACCCTGAGGCAGCCATGAAGCAGATTGGTGAAATGAGTCAGCCCGGTCTTCGCACAATGCGCCGTGTCGTTTTTGCCCTTGCTGCCCTGACCTTCACTACTGCCATGTCTGGTGGCCTTGTTGCTGGTCTCGACGCTGGATTGATCTACAACGAATTCCCCAAGATGGGTCTCGGTATCTTCCCTCCCAAGCAGGAGCTCTTTGACAAGTTCTACTCGCGAAAGGAGGACCAGTCTGACCTCTGGTGGCGCAACATGCTTGAGAACCCAAGCACCGTCCAGATGAACCACCGAATCCTTGCCGTGACTACTTTCACCTCCATTCTTTCACTCTTCATCTATGCCCGCACCCGACGTGTTAAGGCTATCCTTCCCACCAACATCAAGAAGGGTGCCAACGGTCTTTTCCATATGGTGTCACTTCAGGTCGCTCTTGGCATCAGCACCCTCATCTATATGGTCCCTATTTCCCTTGCCGCAGCTCACCAGGCTGGTGCTTTGGGTGTTTTGACCATGGCCCTCGTACTGGCGCACAGGCTGCATATCCCCAAGCCTACCCTCCGTCTTCTTGAGAAGCGATTAAAGGCGGCGGCTGCTGCTAAGTGAACGATTTGACGAAGTTGTAAGACCTAGAAAGAGGATATGTAAATTATTATTGTACAATATGGTACCATACCAATAGCATCAATAGAATTGCGAAAGAGGCAGCTGGTTCGCGCTGTCTGGGCGTTTGTAACAACACCACAGAACTAAGTACACAATTCTCTGATTCATTGGCTTGTTGGGATGTTATCGAGCTCAAGCTTATAGAAGCTACTGTTTTCCAAGCTATTTCACTAGCCCTACGTTTGCAAAGTAGTATCTGACCTCGTTACAATGTTGCGTTCCTGTAAGGTATCTGAGATTCCGGGCCTGATGAGGGCTTTGTTTTGGAGTGAAACAGGCTATGCTCTTGTGAGAGCTTGTTCAATGCCGCATGATTCACTTGAGATTTAAGAAGCAGATTGAGATTCTTCTATCTAAGGCTGGAGGAAAGCTGAACTTTATATATAGCCCAACATAAGCATCCAGAAGGTTCCTTAGGTTTACTCTATAGGTAACCTACATACAAACATTACTAGTAAATAACAGAGGCATACGGGTCTGTCTAACAGATTCATAGTCGTTGTGCTCTCCTGACAGAAGTTTGAGTGGAACATATCACGAGTGCCGTATAGAGATCAGATCAACTGTTAACAAGCCAAAGGCATTTCATTTTTTGTTTCAAGATTGAACCTTTGTCCCTCTTGTTATCAATGTCCTAACTTTAAATCACACTCTCCAACTCATCATATAAAGCTTACAATACTTATTACCCAGTTTTACTTGTGGGCTGTTACATAGTTAGCTGTGTCACCATAGCCAAAGAAAGTACTAGAACTTACCAATGCCCTCCTCAGGCATGGGCTCGATGCCAGCAACCTCCGCAGCCAGCTGCTTCTTCTGCTCTAGCTTATCATCCTTCATGAAGGGGAAAGCGAGGACCTCACGAATGGTGTAGTTGTCAGTAAGGAACATGACCATTCGGTCAATACCCATACCCCAGCCACCAGTAGGAGGTAGACCGTACTCGAGCGAGGTACAGAAGTTCTCATCAATGAGCTGAGCCTCGTCGTCACCCTGGTCCTTCTGGCGGGCCTGCTCCTCGAAACGCAGGCGCTGGTCGAAGGGATCGTTCAACTCGGTGTAGGCGTTGGCGATCTCCTTCTTGCACACGAAGGCCTCGAATCTCTCACAGAGACCGGGAATCTCGCGGTGGTACTTGGCGAGGGGGCTCATGACCTGAGGGTGACCAGTGATGAAAGAGGGGTTAACACACTTCTCCTCGATAAACTCGCCAACCAGCTTGTCAATCATGCGGGCGTTGGTCAGAGGAGGTGTACACTCGAGGTTCATCTTCTTCAGGACCCTCTTGAGAAAGTCATTAGTCTCTTGAGTGTGAAGCTGATCACCGGGAGGGAACTTCTCGCCAGTAGCCTCCTCAAGAGTGGGAATCATCTCATAACGAGGCCAGGGCTTCTCCCAGTTGACCTCATACTTCTCGCCGCTCTGAGTGTGGAAGGTGGTCTTGTAACCGCCAGTGAGGTACTTGACAAGGCCGGAAATCATATCCTCAGTGGTGTCCATCAGGTCGTTGACATCAGCGTAGGCCTCGTAGAATTCAATGGTAGTGAATTCGGGGTTGTGGGTAAGATCAGCACCCTCGTTTCTGAACTGACGTCCAATCTCGTACACACGGTTGAGACCACCAACGACGAGCATCTTGAGGTACAGCTCAGGAGCAACACGCATGAACATCTGCATGTCGTACTCGTTGTGGTGAGTGGTGAAAGGCTTAGCGGTAGCACCACCAGCAATCTGGTTCATCATGGGAGTCTCAACCTCAACGAAGTCACGCTCGTCGAAGTATCGGCGGATCCAGGTGATCATCTTGGATCGGGTGACGAAGACATTGCGGGCCTTCTCGTTGCAGATGAGATCGAGGTATCGCTTACGGTATCGCTGCTCGAGATCCTTGAAGCCGTAGTGGTCATCAGGAAGAGCGTGCAGACAAGGAGTCAAGAGGACAATCTCAGTAGCAAAGATGGACAGCTCACCCTCCTCACCCTTCTCGATCTTGGTCTTGGGAGCAGTTCTACGATGATGTTAGTTCAGAGGCTTCTTCGATTGACATTTGAAAGTTAACCTACCGGCCAGGGTATCCAATGATACCGATGATATCACCACGGCGAAGGTGCTCATGCTGATCCTCGAAAGAGGGAGCCCCCTCACGGACCTCCTGGGCCTGACACATGATCTGGACCTTGACGCCCTCAGTTCGAACATCGTAGAAGAGGAGCTTGGAACCGGATGCTCGCTTTCCATGGACGCGGGCGCCAATCTGGATGATCTTGTCCTTAGCATGCTCGCCAGACTTGAGGTGACCGAACTCCTCAGTGAACTTGCGCAGGTCGTATGTGACATTGAACTTGTGGGGGTAGGGGTTGGGGCTCTTGGTCTCGCGGAGCTTGTTGATGTTCCTTGATCGGATCTCGAAGTACTGGTTTGGGGTGAGGTCCTTCTCAGCAGCCTCAGCACCACCAGTAGCCTTCTTGGGAGCTGGAGCGGGGCCACGCTCAGCAGCCTTCTTCTTCTTTTCCTCCTCCTTCTGGCGGGCCTTCTGGCGCTTCTTCAACTCGGTCTTGGAGATCTTCTCGCCAGTTACCTCATCGAGGTGCAGGTTGGCGACCTGCTCGGTCGGAGGGGCAGCAGCGTCAGCCATGATTGCGTCTCGTTTCGCGGTTAAGGAGTCGAAATGGCAGGATCTCCAGATCAGGCGTCGATACCTGATATAAATCTCTGATGCCGGCAAATTGAGTCAAGCTGATGTTGTGAGTCAGTGGAACAGTCAGGGCATTGGAGGGGCAGAAGAAATGGTGGGCGCCACAATCGCGGGGTAAATTTTCTGTCTACGATTCAGCCACATCCGAAATCAAAGTATCTACAGCAAAGACCGTCGAGATGAAAGCATTCGTGGATGTCATTGATGTTCACCATGTTATGTTGTTGCATTGTGAGCAAACACGAATTTAGCTCGCTCGAATTCTTTCGTCATTACATATTGTTTTTGGCGGTAGCCTCCCTATATCAGCGATTGTGCTATAAAACATGAAAATGGATGTATTATTCCAGAAACATGGCATCGCCGCGAACTCCTTGCATTGCCATGGCCATGTCTCCTCCATGCATACCTCCATTTTGCATAGCCATATTCATGTTAGGCATGGAGCGACTCATGTTGATTGCCGCCCGGTTGGCAGGACTTCCTGCTCCAGTGGGCATCATGAACTGTGGATTGCGTTGTTGTTGTTGCACAGGCCGTGTACGTGGCACTTCAAGAGTTGCTTGCTGCTGAATAGGTTGTTGTGGCTTAATTGGAGAGGGGTTAACCATGGCAAAGCTATCATCGTCCTCCATCTCCGCATCAGCATCTTGATCACTGTTCTCGGCAGTGGAAGACGGGTCAGTTGTGGCGGTGGAGGCAGTAGCATGTTCGCTGAGCGCCCCGTTAATGCTCGTTGTTGACGGACGTTTGGAAAGCTGAGGTCGCTGCTGCTGCTGTAGTTGCTGCTGTATTTGCTGTTGTTGCTGTTGTTGCTGCTGCTGCTGTTGAAATTGTGGCTGTGATGGCGTCTGAATTTGTGGCGTAGGTTGACTGCCGTTAATGGCGGTACCGCCAGAAGCTTGACCGGATTGGTCTAAAGGTTTTTGAGCATTCATCCCGTTGGCATTGGCTCTCGACGAAGCAATGACGCTCTTCCAGCGCTCGATAGACCTCGAGACAAGTGTTGGGAGGTCAACCTGGCTATCCTCAAGCGAGAAGCCAACAGCTCTTCCACCCTTGACGGCCTGTTCATAAGAAATGGCAAGAAGTTCTCGTTCCATTGGGATCGTAACGGGCGGCGCAAGCCTAAACTCCTTGGGTTGCTGAAGCTTGTTCAGTTGTTCTATCTGAGACTTGAGATTGGCGTTCTCTTGTTTGAGTCTGTGATGCTGTTCCTTCATCTTCTCAGCCTCCTTGTGTTTTCTCCCCACACCACGTGCCAACTCTAAGATCCAAAGCTCTTGCTGGCGTTGGAGAGGTAAAGTTCCCCATACTGCGTACGCTGATTGTAGGTGCTCATCGACTTGTGCCTCCAGTTGCTCTGCCATCTTCTGGGCTTTGCGGACTGACTCTTGGGGGTTTCGGAAGTTGTTTGCTGAAGGAGGATACTTAAACTCATCCATGACGGCGGTGGTGGCAGCAGTGCAAGTCACCTTCCAAGTCTTGAATTGTCCTGCGAACCAAGCTTGTAGAGCCTCGAATTCGCGTTGTCCTGGCGATTGGACAGACCATGATGTTGATGTAGGATGCTGCGTCGACGAAAAGAGGGTAGGAGGAGGTTGTAGGCATTGAAGGGTCAATGCAGGAAAATCGAGAGATAAAGGATCAAAATCGAATGGCATTGAATTGTTGTCAAGTTGCACCCTGTCAAAAAGTTAGCATCCGATGAACGAAACCGACTCAAAAGTCAAAGCACATACTTGGCCGCCCTCCAAGAGCTGAGAAGCTCTCGCAATGCGAGCTCCGCGGCACGTGCTGTATCCATGGCATCGGAAAGTTTCTGTTTGACGTCGAATTGAGCTTTCTGGATAGCTTGTTTGCTGGCGGTCCGCTGCATGCCGGGGCGTTTCGGTGGCTCGGGTGCGGCGTCGCTTTCCCAACTGCCTCTTTTCGGGATATCGTTCATAACGCCAGTCGCCTCCCAGGTAGGTTGAAAAGGAGGCGCATATTTCATAGACTGGTCAACTACAAGCTGGTTGTTTTTGGAGATAACAGGCGATTGATAATCCTCGTTTTCAGGAAGAGACGCTTCTTTCATGACAGGTGCCTTTGGTGTTCCCACAGGAGTCGAAGTTTCCCGCCTGCCACCCATTGAACCTCTGGGCTGTCGCCTTGTGATACTACCACGGAGCTTCTTGATAGCATCGACATCGTGAACACCATCTGGTGGTTTCGGGTTCTTCTCCTTGATGTAAAGATCGAGATGGCGACCGAGGGAAGATGACGTGAAGGCCTGGCCGCAAAAGGGGCAATTCTTGTCTTTAGGGGCGCCAGCTTTGGGGGTTCCTGAATCGGCGGTTTGGGGCGTTGAGTCGGGCATTTTGAAGGAGGTGCGAAGGATCAAGTTCGGGGAAAATTAGGGGGATGCGAATAGCTTTGTGAATACGAGCGCCGAGAAGGAAATACGGTGGTCTCGATAACTATAAGAGTGTAAAAGTCGACTACGGCTCCAATGGGGGAGCTGTACAGACGTTAATCATAAGGAGCGAGCGAAGTTTGAAGTGAAAAAAGAACGAGCGTATTGGGGCCGAGACCTCCGGATGGAAGAATAGTATAACGGACGGTTATGAAAGTCTGGGCATGGGGTTTAGATGAATTGGATTGTAATGTAAAAAGAAAAAAAGAGGACGAGATGTGAAGTTTCGGTACGGACGAGTTGAGAGAGCGAGCGAAGACAAAGGCGAGAACGGGAGCAAGACGGGAGGGAAGAAAATGAGAGACTCGAAATGTTAGCTAGTTAAATTTAGAGGCGAGCGATGAGAGACTAAAGGGGAAGCCAGGTCTCTTAGCATCGCTGGGTTTAATTGTTCTTTTGGTTTTTTCCCCCTCTCCATTTTAAAATAAAGCCTCCTCTCAGGCCAGGTCCAGGCTATTCAGGGGCGCAACCAATCCAACCAAGACCCCCGAAATGGACCCCCAGATTGGCGCCACTAGCACTAAGCAGCACCCATGGAACCCCTGACGCTTAGTGGCCGTCCCGCCGTCTGGATGTCTCTCCCGCTGCTCGCTTAGCGCTGATCGGGCTTCTCTGAGAGGTCCGGTTTAGTGCCGTCGGGACCTGGAGCTACCTGTCGATGAGATCCAATCCATCCATTCCATCTATTCATACCAACCCGCAGGGTGTCAGAAGAACTGACCGCTAAAAGCATAAGAGACGAAATCATTTGGTCACTTTATCCCATCTTAGGTTAGCATTTAATCTACTTTATTTCTGTCGCCCAAGTTTTAGAGGACATTTCTTCGGTTATCCACCTAGCCAACCTACCTACATTTCCTACAGTAAGGCAGCCCAGGCCGTTGAACTTGGGTATTGTGCTTAGGATTTTGTAACGGCGACATCTCGATTCATGATGTAATTGCTACCTAGGTTAGTAACTTCATGGCCTACCAAGACATTGTCGAAAGAAGCACTTCTTAACAAAGACTTGTCTACGGACACCGACTCAAGACAGCTCGTAACATAAGTTTGGACCGGCAATTGCAGTTGATCGGCCCAGGGTCGCCAAAAGGGGAGGAGGATAAGCAGCTATAAATACAACAATTTCTCATGCTAAAATTAAGCTATGGATATTACACGTTGTATTAACAAATTCGCTCCCAACTCCCTCTTCCCGTCCTTGTAATGAGATGGAGTTGTAGCCCACTAGACAATGTCGGTTATGCTGATATTACTAGGAATCCACTCGCGCTGTAGTCAATCAGACCCTTGGAATCTATAATAGTCGTTGGTTCCGTTAGATTCAGCTGCCACGATAGCCGCATATACGAGGATTGTGAAGCGAAAATAGCTGTCCGAGATTTACAACTCAACGACCTGGCGTCAACTAAATAGTGTCCTTTAGTTTCAACTGTTGACCACATTTATTGATTGGATGCTCAGCGGGTTCTGATCACGCCTCAAACGTGCATATCAGAGCCGAAGAGGCTTGGTGGCTGTGCACCAACGTGCGCCCCTTTTATATGAATGTCTAATAGGTAAGTAGGTAGGTTCATCAAAACATAAGTTCTTGCAAACGGCTCATGGACCAACGACATATCATCTTCAACCCAATCATAGAGAATGTGACCTGGGGGAGAGAACAGCTGTAAAGTGTAATCCTCCCGGCAGTCTTACAGCGCTATACATCACCTACACTGCCCGGACAAGATTGGCTTTGGAGCGCAAAGCATGGGTGGCACCGACCACGGGGTTGTTCTTAGGCATTGGATCCTTGTCCGAGACATGGTGAGCTTCTGCATGCCCCTTAACCACCGCAGCAGCACTATCTCATAAAGAGCAGAGAGGCAGTCAACACCGCATCTGCTTAATTATACTCTGCAGCTGCTAAGTCCGTCAGATGCAAAGGAACTTGCTTCTGTGGGTGGGTTTCCAGTGGCTTTTCCAAGTTTTCCAGGTGAGCGCAGTACTCGGCAGGTCTATCCGTCCTTCCGCCCTGGGTTTTCCGTGCCGAATTAAGAGTGCCCATTTGTCCGCTTGGCAAGAGGTCGGCCTCCTGTTCCACATTGAGCAGCTCGGAGATGCATACAATAGAGTACTGGCAAAAAGGACTGGACGAGAAAGAAGGATGTACTACGTAGTAGAAGAAACTTGGTCCTCTGTAGTCCGTTAATAAACTTTATACCTAATACCTCTTACCCCTGAGCAGAGCCGCAGCCAGCGCATATCGTATGGTCAGAATACGATAATTAACGTAATTGAACTTGTGAGGCTACATAACAATAGCCGCCGGTGGGAGCACATGCCTGTGCATCTAATTCTTTGCTAGCCGTCATCCACCATGGTTCATCAATAGCATTGTGGGAAACGAGACTGAACATCGCCATGCTTATTATTTAGGAGGAAACAAGCATGAGACCTTGTGGTGGAAAAAGCAAAGTGATATGAAATAGTTTGTCTTCTACACCGATAGTCGAGACTGCTGCTACTCCAACGCATTTTTGTCAAGAATTTGTTGACGCTACGGTTTTTGGCATGCAACAGTCCAAGGCAGATTGCGACTTCGTACAGTGACTTTTCAAATCTTTGCTCTTCAGGAGGTTAGATCTAAATAGACAGCCCAGGCCCCTCGTCAGTAGGTATCTATCATTCATGCAATTCACTATAGCATCAAACAAGGGGTCGGACGACTGTGGAAAGCCGCAGGCGACGGAAGCTTGGTAGAACAAGCACAGCCGGTATGCAAATCAAAGGGACACAGGAACAGAACAGTCCAGTCGTGAGATATGTTTGTAATGTGTGTTTCTTTCCCGTCTCAAATGGTGAAGAACCCTCATGTGATGCTGAAGAGGCGCCACAGCCCTGATCAAGCCACAACACCGCCCCTCTAAGATCGGGCAGTACCTTCCTAGGTACCTACGTAGGTAGGTAGGTATCGGTCGGCAAGCTGCCTGCCTGTACCTACCTTAAGCTACCAGTCGACGCGACTTGCAACCTCCACTTATCGTCGTTTCTTTGCCGAATCAAGGAGCTTCCATCACTTGTATAAACAGCCCTATTCAACAGCATAGCTTCTGTTGCCCTCGTTTTGGCAGAACGAGACAATATCTGCGCAACTACACCCTGTCCTCAAAATGCCTCCTGGTATGTTGCTAATCACTTGAATAATTCGCACAGTCGACGCCTACCCCATGCGACAAACGATGGCGCATCACGAGCGCGTCTCGCCCATCCCAGAAACACCACTTTTCGTCGTCGCAACATGTATTCGACAATTGCTAATTAATGCGCAGCTCTCAGCGATGAAGAGACTTCTGACGTTGGTGAATTCGCCACGCCTCCACCAACTACCAGAAAGAAATCGACCTCAGCTGCGGTGTCGGATAAGTTCGAAGATACCAAGCCAGAAGATGAATCAGATGGGGATGGGGATGGGGATGGGGATGGGGATGGAGACGAAGACGACGAGGACCTTGACGAGGACGAGTAAGACATTAGCTCAATGATCAAACGAATAACACTGATGCGCCACAGGTTTGTTGTCGAAGCGATCAAAAAGCACTTTGTCGATGAAGACGTACGAGAAGTCTGCATTGATTGGAACCCACAGACTAATCGTAGTTGCAGGGTACTTTGAAATTCCAAGTGAAGTGGGAAGGATATGAAGCCAAGCAGGATATGACATGGGAACCAGAGGAGAACCTTCGGTAGGTAAAATATCTGCTTCTGACTAGGCGTTTCTTGTTTAACGTACCTTTTACAGAGAATCTGCTCAAGAAATCCTTGATCAGTATTTCGAGCAATTTGGAGGGCGAGAGAAGCTTTTTCAACAGACTGAGACCGCTGCCAAAACTAAGAAGCGCCGCCGAGCGACCAACGGCACGCCCAGCACCGCTACTCCGACGACCACAACAAAGCGATCCCGACGAGGCAATACACATCCTGCCAACTCCACACCACCTGCCACGTCCAAGCCGTGGAGCCCACCCGCCGGGTCCTGGGAGGATGAAATTGAATCAATTGAGGTTGAGGAGGACGAGAACCGAGGCAAGATCATTGTCTACCTGAGATGGAACAATGGCAAGAAGACCAAGCACGACACTGAAGTGGTCTACAGAAAGTGTCCGCAGAAGGTGAGTAGGCAACGCAGTTTGATCTGGACATGTACTAATGCGACGCCATACAGATGCTTCGCTTTTACGAACGTCACCTTAAGATCGAGAGAAGTGAGAATAAGGCCCTTGCTGAAGGAGTTTAGAATTAGATGCAGCAGACAAAGACTTGTGCTTGGCTCCGAGGGACACGAGATCAAATTGAATGGCGTTTGGCGTTTGGCGACTGGCGACTGGCGACTGGCGACTGGCGACTGATGGGGGATAATGCATCCTACATTTATGTTTTACTTTTACAAAGATACTCGAGCAATATGGACAAGCAGTAGCTATTAGGCTGAAAGTGAACTTCATTCCAATTGGGAGATCTAACCATCAAGCATATGTACAGTATAAAAGTTGCAACTCGGCATCTGCTCAGGACCTTGATGGACCTCGATCAACAATTGGAATTGAAAGAAATGCATGACATGTGAGCGTGTAGAGAGTGGTACCTTGCATATTCACGGGCCGTAGTACTAAATCAGGTAGGCTGACTTCTATCCATGAGGTGGGAGAGGTAGGGTCTCACCTCAGGTTTCTTCCTTGGCTTTTGAGTCCTGACGCGCTTTAACGCGACGATATACGGATAGTCTAGCGCCTAAAAGATGATGAGGTGACGTTTTATGCGAGGCTGGGAAAACCTCAAAGCTGTCCAGCGTGTCAGAACCCCTGAAAGCCCCCACTATAAGACCCCTGGTAGGGCAGCTTCTTCGCTCCCAGCCTTGCCATTTAACGCGTCGGGTCCAGATCCAGAGTCGTACCCTTGAGCCCGGGCATTCATTAGGTCGCTTTACCGGTCTGGTCTAAGCTGTAAGAAAAAAGACGGTGGCGGGGCAACGACTTATAACAGAGTGACTGACCATGTGCGATTGAGAGAGAGAAACTGAGACTTTGCATTCCTGCTCCCATTTTATCTTTAACTTTTGAGAAATAAATCTAACGATTTAATATTCTTGGGTAAAAATAGAAAGACAATTGCAGTACGATTACTTTACGACACTATCTATTTGTATCACGAAGCTTCTGATTGGTTGACTTAATTGCACCACGTCTTTGACTCGACACCGACTTCAGCTCAACACTTTACTCTACTTTCCTTTACTACCTTGCATTTTTGACTGAGTATGTCAGCTCTATACTTTTAGCATTCTGCTGCAAGAATCTCAACTAACTTTGTATCAGATCAAGACATTCTCTCAAGCATCAACACTACTAGATCTTTGGTCTACCTTATATCAAACACTCCCCGCTCAAATCTCCAACCGCCAAGATGAAGAAGAACGACGTTATCGCCATCATCATCATCATTCTCTTCATCATTCTCGCCGGTGTCTCATTCGGCATCTGGAAGCTTGTCTCAATGGCGAAAAACCACATGAGCGCAACAGGCTCATCGAGCAGAAGCTCTAGCGAGATCGCCGACTGATTCAAAAACGTCCTTTCTCTGAATCATGATCCATCGATCTTCAGGGCTCTCATGCCTCCTTCTCGATACCCCTCAAGCACAGAAAGTGCTTGGCCTTTACTTCCTTGTTTATTCTTTTTTGGGCACAGCGGTTTGGCGGTGAATCTTCATCACCTTTTTCTAACCTAAAATCATGGTGGAATGTGGATGGGTAATGTCTGGTTGACTGTGATTGACCACGAGTCACTCACGTTCTGGGTTACGGCGCAATGTCATGGTGATTTCTGATTACGGTTCGTGTTGGGCTGCCGGTTATGTTTATGTATACATGGATGGATGGGTATGATTACTACGCAAGATAGACTGCTTTTACGATTTTAGGAAGTCAATTATGGCATGAATGATAACAAAACGGAATGGATTCTATGGCAAACATGTTTGTAACCCTGAATCTCCTCAGTGACTGTACTCTCATTACCGATGTTGTGAGCCTCAACAATGATTCACTCAACTTCAGATAGCCTGTCCGTGACAGGGCAGGTCCAATGGCGTATATAAAGGTCATGGAACAACCGACTTTGCATACACCAAGCAATCTGTTTAGAACAACCCTAGTATAACAGCTACAAACGATCATTGGCTATACTCTTCTCTCACTACAGCTACAATGGGAAAATTTGGCATAGATCTCAGCCTCACTGGCCTGGCCACCGAGGCCTCCAAGCTCAATCTTAACAATCCAGAGGCCGAGAAGAAACCAAGCAGCACTGACCGCTACCAGAAGTATCCCTTTTCTCGTTTCAACATGGACGAGACCCAGCCCGATGTCCTCGACAAGAACAGCCCCCAGTACCGCGAGCGTGTCATCAAACTTCTCGACGCCCTTGATGAGACCTACCAAAAGAAGTATACCGAGTATCTAACCCAGCGGGCCAGATACATTGCGATGGTGGAGGCGGACGAGGAGCGAATCTGGAACCGTTATATTCTCAATCCGTTCGACAAGACTTTGATGGTCAGTGACCTCAAGCTCCACGACTTTAAAGCCATTGACTTTGAAGATCGCTTCATCAAGATAAACAATCGCGAGTTCTTCTATCTACGAGACCTGCAGCTGGAGCTCTTCTACATCGGAAGACTGGTCAGGACCGGGCGTCTTGAGAGGGCCCGACTTGAGGAATCTGACACGTTTATTCAGCTTCGTAATGAGTGGGCCGACATGCTCGGTGATTACATTGACGATGATTCTGTCTGCAGTGATGAAGAGGGTCCTTCTATCTGTTGGTCCTCTGACGGATCAGTTATTGAGGACTAGGGTGAAGAGATTTTGAGCACCATCTCCTTAGTGAAAATAGCAGAGGTTAAAAGAGAAAAACAGCCATTAGCTACTATTACCGGTATTTTCAATCGGGTTCATTAGGTAATGAGAGTTGATTGACAGAGGTGATCAACAGAACAATTGAAGCAATGGCTGTTGTTCAACTTATTAAGTTAGATTAAGTCACCTACGCCGTTCTCAAACCAACTCTTACAACTCTATATATATACTCACTCAGTTACGGTAGGATCAATGTCTGCGTCTGTATCTTAGCGTTGAGAAAGCTTTAGATAGAGCTTACCACAAAGTCAAATCCTCTCTATCCCATTGGGCCAATCGCTCTGCGTCGACTCAAGAAGGCAGCCAAATAGAAGTGAGGATTATCTAGACTAATACCTGAAACTGATCGAACCCAATGAACTTTTATGAGTGCTCTACTTACGTGACTTACACTTAAATCTAGTCAGTTTACGTTCCAATTATAGGACCTACAGTATATAAAAGCCCAACCTTTCGTTTTGGTTCACGTTAATATCACGACATAATAAGTCACCATGTTCGAACTAGACTAGAAGAGTATTGAACCCAAATAAAGTATGATTCCTTTCACCGACTAGCGGCATTCTATCCATATGTATAACAAGAGAACCCTAGTCTATCCATTCAGTTCCTTGTTTCGCATCCTATTCAATGTACAAGAACAAAAAAAGAAGTAAGCTCATTCACGTCGTCGTGTTTGACGTCTTTACTTCCGGACAGCGGGAGTGGGAGTTGGGACCACAACGGGCTCCTCGGGGGCAACAGGAGGAGCGACAGGAACCGCGGGAGGAGTGAAGACGGGAGCTCCATGGATGGGAGTAGGGACAACGGGAGGAGCAACGGGAGGAGGGGTAGGGACAACAGGAGGAGCAACGGGAGGAGTAGGGACTAATATGATCTGTTAGTATCAAGGTCCTGAGGTATAGACTTGTGGTGTAACTTACCACCTTGACCGGGCTGGCCTCCAACGGGGGGCATAGGGGGCATGGGAGGGGGAACTGGCAACCAACCACCAGGACCTCCGGGAGCACCAGGAGCACCAGCACCAGCTCCGGGACCGCCAGGACCTCCAGGACCGCCAGGGCCACCAGCTCCAGGGCCACCAGCTCCAGGACCAGCTCCAGGCAGAGTACCGTTCATGGGAGGGAAGAAACCTCCAGGGAATCCACCGTCTATACGATATGTCATTAGTATCCCATGTATTCGGGAGGGTCAAAGAGTGTAACTCACTGGGAGGGAAAGGAGCAGCCATAGCGAGAGGAGCCGCAGCGGCGACAACGAAGGCAAAGATCGCGGACTTCATCTTGACGGTTGTGTATGAGAGATAGTGACAGAAGATGTGTTTTTGATGTTGTTGAATAGAGACAGACAGGATAGTAGTCTTTTATAAACGAACGAGACCAGCTCAGAGACAAACAACAAGGATACAGTAAAAGATAGACAGACAATGGATGGGTCTTAGACCAGGGAAGTTGTTGTTAAGAATAGAGAAAAAGAATGGGTTGGGGCAGGAAATAGAACCTGTTTTTGCAAGAGAACAAGACCATGACTATATACTAGAATCTGTATCTGTGGCTACGTAGTCGTAGCAGGTCCGCACACCCCTTGGTAGCCTTGCAAATCCCTACTTGGATGGAAAGATTTCTCCGTTTCTAGTTTCTCAAACCCTTGAAAGTGATCAACCGGCAAAAAACAAAAGGTACAGTATCAGGTCGGCTGTTGGACTGGATGTACATTTGGGAGCGAACCAATAATGACCCATGAAGAGTCGGCAGATAACTGGACTAGATCAGACTAGAGTATCGGTTTGATGAAGCTTACAGTTTAGAGTGAAAGTGCAGGGGGTGGAGGGGAAAAGCTTGTCTTGTCTTGGGTGTTTCCCTGTTGAATTTGAATGGTTGGATGAGGCTCACGAGTAGGCTGCATATACTCTATTCGCAACCCTATACTATATTATATCAGCCATTAACTCACTAGGTAAGGTACCTAGGTAGGTAGTCTAGCTACGGAGTAAACTCTTTTACCATAGCACCTCATCTTTATTCCAACCTCTCTTGTTCTCAATCCAAGTTTCTATCAACAATAATTTAAAAATAACCTTGACGATCATCCATTATGACGCTCGGATTGTTCCTTTGGGTTCAACGAAAGTCTCCATAATTAAAAAAGGAGTCGGAAGTCCACAGTTTTCTAACAAACGACGCGTAACCAAAAGAAACATTGATTCCTTCTCCAGCCAAACAAAATTCCCCACAACCCAGTTCCTTGACATCAACAGTTTCACGTTACGCCTTGTTCCTGTTTCTCCACCCGCCGTTAGACCAAACTCAGGCAAAAGACAAAGACAAGAAAGGAAGGAAAGGAACCCCAACTACGTATCTACAGTAAAGTACAGTATCTCCATTGCAGATCCTTCTCCAACAAGGTTCCTTGCTCCATATCAAGGAGGGTGACGACGCGGCATGCAGAGACTGAGATCCAGTGGATTGCCTCGATGCACGGGGAGATAAAATTATAGGATGGATACAGAAGGACGATCTGGAGGCTTGCAAGGCTTTGTCTCATCTCTATATCTCTCGTTCGTTTTCTCATGACAGCGTCGAGATGTGAATGGTGCAACAATTCAAGAGGGTTACATGTTGCACGACACACGGAACGACTTGCTCCATATGGTATCCGCAATGTCTATCCATAATCAGATAGATGAGAGACACGACTCTCCTGTAATCACTCTCCATCTATGCAGCGTAGTCTTTGGCACTGCCATAGTATATCGTATACTCTATCTCTTTATTCTATTTCATTCCCTCGTCTAAGTACGTAAGTAAACTCACACCTGATTGATGTACACAACTTCCCCATCCAAAGATCAACACTCTCCTCCCCAGAACCGTAAGTATCGACCTCTTCTTTAATTCCTTATCTTTTATTCAGAACAATGGTCCCTATCACCCTGTTGCTTCTCACCAACTCATGACTCCTCTACCGCGGTCGAAACCGCCTCGTAGCTGACGCTCAGGCTTGACGACCTTGCCTCTGAGGACAGTGTATCGGACTAAGTTCTCGCAGTCCTCGGGCATGACCCGAGCAAGCCAGATGCCCTGAGCTGCACCCAGGCTACCCTCTCCCGAGCCGTTCTTCTCAACGCCATTCATGCCATTCTGCTTCTCTGTTGCATCATCCAGACCAAACGCATTCGGCCGTCGGTAGATCATGACATTGGCAGAGTACTTGTGTCCTCCTACATGGCTGATGTAGTAGATACCGACACCGCCGGGTCTCTCATCATGCAGATCCCGATACAGACCTAGCGGCCTTAACTGGCGCTCAAACTCCTTCCTCAGAACAGGAGCGCTTTGGGCACAGCGTACATCGCGTGTTCGATGACTGCACATGAGGATGACGGCGTTGTGAGGACAGTCAACCAAGGTCACGCCGGGAATACCAGCGGCCGGATCTGGAGATGGCAAGGAAGCGGGCAAGGGCGTTGGTGTAAGTGGGGATGTGCTGGTAGGGGCTTGATTGATGACCTCTGCGATGATCTGAGGCACACTGAGAGGGTGAACATCGCGGAGGAGTTTGAAAGCTGGTAGAAGCAAAAGTGTTGTGGGCTCAGAGTAGTCATCTGTGTCATGGGGAGTAGGCATGTTAGAGGCCGAAAGTTTGAGTTTCTGTGAGTTGATTGTTAGTGGTCGCTCATTCAACTAAACCAAGCATGAAGGAGTTGGTATATTTGAGAAATACCTTCCCACACAAGTTAAGGACTCACCCCGTTCGAAGGCTCAACTGCTTTGGAAAAAGCCTGCATGACACTGCCCTCCTCCTCTTCCACATCTCTCACCCAATCCGTCTTGCCCGTCCCAACAAGAACATGCGTACTCCAAGCCGCGACTTGACCATATAGCACATCCTCCTCTTCGATCTTGAAGCCCCTGGGATATCGCGCTGAGCAATTCTCGCAGTCGTGCAGACACTCGTCACCATCTACCTTTGGGTCCGTCTTGACAAACAACTCCGAGGCCGATGGCGGCTTATCATCCTTGGCTCCTGAGCCCAGGACTGAGCTGACGAGGTTTTTGAACGAGAGGGCCATTCTCTGCTTTGGTGGTGGACGTGGAAGCCAAGATGGAGTGGCGGCTGTTGCTGAAGAGGAGAAGTTGTGATGTTGAGGGTGAGTGGATAATAAAGTCATGGTGTAAGAGAAGTCAAGTCAGTCGGTAGATTTTAGGGCCGTCCACTTCAGATCCCGTAGGTTCGGCTCGGTTGCCTCAGACTGATTGATTGGCAGTACGGAATCCACCTGGATAGGTAATTAATTCATAATTAATGGATCCGACAGGTATGCGATTGGATTTCCCCAAACTTTCTACTGATTGATAATCAAATAATCAATCAGTTAATCAATCTTGGGCTGTCAGGGATCAGGTAGGTAATGGAACTTGGCCAGCCGACTTTGGTACTTAATTACCTCAAACCAAAAGAGGAATTACTCTAGGATTAAATACACAAGAGGAAGAGTGTTTAATTCATATACCGCTGAATCTCGCTATATTCCTTCCTGTCGCGTCGCTCTTTTGCTTCGCTCTATTGCTTGTCCCGTTGACAGCAAATCAGAAGAATTGGCCGCCGAGATCGCAAGAGACGAAATAATTTAGTCACTTCACACTAAGCTAGACCATCATCTAGGCTATGTTATTTTGGCGCCCTCAACCTTGAAATCTCTCAGAGCTGGCGGTAGAGCTGGAGGTGGACCCAATAATGTACTGTACTGTAAACCGTCTAACTCCTATCACCGAGGACCTCGTCCACTGGCTTGGCACGTCATTAGGTGCAGAAGGCATCTTGAAATCATTCTTCAAAAGTAAGAAATACAATGCAATGTATTGACGCTACTTAGAATAGTACAAATGTCAAGTTATGGCTACTCGGCGCCTTCCAGGCTCGTTACAAACCATTTTCGTCCCAAAGATTATGCGTTCTTCTTTCTAGCTTCGTCGTAACCCTCCTCTTCACTATCGTCTTCTTCATCGTCTCCATCTGTTTTCTCCTGATCTGTCTTGTGTCGGCGATGCTTCATCGCTTCTCGAATCTTGCGACTCGCTTCATCAAAGCCACCACTCGAGTCGAGTGTAGTGAATCCACTGATAGGAAATCCACCAGATCCAAACCCACCTCCGCTGCTGCTTGATCGCGACCTGCTGCGGGCTCTGGATGGTGGCCGTGTAGAGAAGATGCCAACATGACCAATGTTGCTGAATGAGTCGTTGCGCGGAAGCGCACGGCTGGATTGTGTTGTGCTTCGTCGTGACAGAGCTGGTGGTGTCTCAGGCTCGTAACCAGTGCTTGACTGGTCGCTGTCTCGTCGTCGGTACGCCTTGGGAGATGTCGCGGCACCACCCTCAACCTTGTAAAGATCGGGAACAAGCCGAGCCTTCTCAAAATCGTCAAACATCTCAGGCCCAAGAGTGTTGATCACATCCGTCACCTGAGCGCTCAGCTCCGCTCGCCTTAGTCGCAGTTTGTGGATGTTGTAGTTTGAGGTTGGCGTCAAGCAGAGCAGGAGTGGTCGCAGAGACTTGAATATATCGATGCCTACCTCACCAAAGCGCAGAGACGCAAACGTGATGCCAACCATAAATGGCCACATAGCGAAGTAGATCAACCACAGTGGCACGCCCTCGGGGACGTATCCCCACAGACGATCCTGCCAAACCTTGAACGTAACGATTCCCGAATAGATGTGGTACAGTGTGGGCGCAAGACCGATTGCTACAAGAATTTTCCATGTCGCCATAACATCGCGACCACGGATCTTGACAGTTGAGCCGGCCAGAGCTGTCTTGGCCTTTTGCCGACTGATGATTTTGGTTGCGACGAAGACAGGTGCGAAGAGGATCAAGCCTGGCAATGTGCAGATGAAGAGGAAGAGGAGCTTGATCGATCGATAGATGAAGAGGAATATGACCTTGAGCATGTTCATCTTGGCGTATTGTACTTGATGATCTTTCAAGTTCAGGTATCGTAGTTGTGAGTTGTACTCCTTGACAGCAGCAGACAAGGACGTGATGCGCTCATCATTCTTGTATCTCTCATAGCCCATGCACAATCTACGGTTTAGCTCGATAACTACTGGTAGTGGCAGCTTCTTGCCCGTTGGATTATAAAGTCGCCGAGCAGCTTGAATCACCATGAGCGTGTCGTAGTCGGGGGCGGAAACAGTGACCGAGTTGAGAGCCTGGTATACCGTGTCTAGGACTTGACCAATGGCTTCACGACGTTGGTTATTGCAGTAAAGCTCGACGAGATGGCGGGGAATCTCGAAAGGAGCACCGAATTCAACAACAGCGCGTGAGCGGAACTTATGAGCATGGAAGTAGTTCATGCCAACAGGAACGATCTTGAGACCACAATCAGGATCTTGAGCCAAAGTTCCCAGAGCCATGATTGCAACACCAGCCTTGAGAGGCAGCAGCTCGGTGCGATCATGACTACCACCCTCGGGGAAGATACCAACACAGCCACCGTTACACAAACGGGAAAAGACAGCCTCGTAAACCTTAGTCTGGTCGATATGAGGGGCCATCTTGAACTTGGTGCCCTGGTAGCCTGGGGCAGGTCCTTTGACATCCTTATTGGTGAAGTTTCCATCGGTATCAATGTCGTCACGGCCTGTGAGTTGCGACAAAGCTAGCTTGCCCTTAAAAGGTCGCTTGACACGGATCTCCTCAGGGCCGATAATCTGCGAAATATCGACACTGGCGCCATTTTGGCCCTTGATGGACGGCAGAAAAAGCATGCCCTGAACTTCACCTTCGCCCTGGCCAAATTTGGTGCCGATACCACGAACTAAGGTTGGGTCGTTGATAGGATCGGGTAGGTAGATGGTTCCGGTTGCTGGCTTGGCAGCATCTTGGGCGCGACCGACGGGAACTGAGCCGACTTGCCGGGAACCCCAACCGATAAAACCGTGAACTGACTTTTGGGCGATAAGGAGAGACGCTCGTCGTTTAGCCTCGTTGCGCAGAGTTCGCTGAAGGATGATGGCATCGACAAACTATTGTAGGTGCTGGTAAGTTTTACTGTCCAATGGCAACGCCAAGCTGTTCCTCCGCCTTCTTCTCTGTGTGAAGCACAACTTACCTGGTTGGCATGCGGCGCAGCGACGAACAGGACGGGACCAGTCTGAGGGACGCGCCAGGCACCTCGAGGCACGACCTCTCGGAAGAACATATCGACAATGTTACCGACGGTGTAGAGAAACATGTCATATTTCCAGTTCACCATAGGATAGAGCTCCTTCTGCGGGGTCGGGTTCGTCGCAGACTGCGGCGCTGCCGCGTCCTTGGTGCCGGCGTGTTTAGACATGGCGGGCGAGCGAGGAAGAGACCAGCGCTCCTGAAGCAGGTGATAGGAACAGTATTTTGAAGTCCAAGGGTGGATATTGATGTTGTAAAAATCTTAACAGAGCTAGACAAGCGAGGTGTAATCGATGTGAGGGGCGGCGGGCCTCTGGATGGAGCGAAACGAAGAAAGGTCGAACAATACTTAGGTCGTTAAGTAAGTTAGGTAGGTAGTGAGAGATATGAGATATATTATATTAAAAGATGGACGCTATGAGCTGTTTAGGTTCCTCAGCATTCCTGCGCAGAGACAGGATGAGCTGGGGAAGAAACGAGACAGGAGGTAATGAAGATGGAGAAATAGCTGGGGTTGGGGACGTTCTCTTGGTAGGAGGGGGAAATGGAAGACTGGATGAGGTGCCTTAGGCGCGGGTAGTACCCAGTAAGTTAATAAGGAAAGGTCCACTTTAGAGCTGTGAAGCTACAGTCTTAGCATTGAATCATCACTGAATCTAGTACCTAGAAATTCAACTTTATCGAGAATCTTCGAATTATCCTTTCCTATCAGCTTCCTCTTCGGTGATTCTCGCTTACTTGTGAGCCGCTTCTACTTACCTACCTACCTACCTAGTTCATGACCGGGGATAATTATTACTTACACGTCGTACTCGCTCTCGGCGGTTTTGCCCTTGCAAATACTGGTCTATCACCCCACTTAATATAAGGTCCAGGTACATTGGTGCAGGATGTACGGATACAGAGGTATTAAACTTATCTGCTGCACAATCAACAAGATCAGAGACATTGACGAACCAGACTACAGTACAAGCCGCATAACAATAGCACAATACAGTAGTAATGATCCATAGTGATATATGCAACCGGAACCGTCATTCTCAGCGCATCGTGTATGCATGTATCACCATCTATATACTACGTAGTATATATCATTACAATTAGTACTTTGTTCTTGGCTCATCTCACGAGTACGTAGTTCTTAATCACAAGTTCACTCACACCACCATCATCACATAGTAAGTACCTAAGGTATTCAGCCCTCTCTACGGACATTAACACCTTAATCTATTCGGACCCCGGAACCAACCACTCCATCCCGCTACAGCTAAGTATCCATCATGGATCCTCTACGAATTTCCGAGAAACAACGACAAGGAAAACAGATCCCTGCACCCGGGCTTTCACATGTCAATTTCGTAGCACGTAGAACATTCGAACTGTAGTAGGTACTGTACGGATAGTATTCATTATCTTGGTTGGATCCTAGAAGCCATATGTAGAAACAAGATCACTCTCGGGCTCACGGCTTGTCAATAGAAGTCAAGTCCCAACAAAAAGCAAAGCGCCAACACTGGTCACATTGAATGTGGTTGAGACTCTCCGTAGTAATGCGCCATCAAAACTACTAAGGTACTAAGGGAGGGGGAGGGGTACACTGCACTTCGCTTTACAGTACAGTACTAACTTCACTTTATCTACCTCATCTGTACTCCGTCAAGCGTCTCCGTATCCCGAGGCCGAAAGGATCCCCAGATTTCTGCAGATGTTATGTTGGGTTGGGTTAGACTTGGGGAATGCAGCTGATATGTTGATTTATCAAGCCCTTTTCAAAACCCCCCTACTTTTGCATGTGCAATACTCCATTATGCTACAAGTTAATTGTGCCGTAATCTGTACAAGGTCAGTCAGTAACGATCTTGTGCATGCTGTACCTAGACACAAGGAAAGTGGGTTGACTCGGGCGTAATACCATATATTTATGCAAGATTGTGTTGATTGCTCGAATTGATAAGTTTGTTGACGAAGCTGTCATGAGCTCCAACTTTCAAGCTATTCCAACCATTCAACATTCCAGGCGATAATAAAACCAATGCCGCATGAACTCATGAACTTCGCGGATGCGCTATCCATATTATCTAAGTGACTATTCAGAGATGTACGATGCGATTCCGCCGTGCGTCTTTCTCATCGCTTTCGTCGCCGATTCTTCTTCTCTGGTATGCTCGCGCTACTTCCCTCAAGGTCAACCTTGCCTTCATTCTCCAACTCTTTCAGTTTTTCCTGTCCAGAGATAAACATACTCAAATCCCGATTCATCTCCTGTAATTCGGCGTTCTCTGTTTTGATCTTGTTCAGCTCTTTGGCCATTGTTTCGTGGTCGGTATTGAGATGTTCGATACGCTTCATCAGTCCTTCGTTCAGTCGTTTCTCTTCCTGAAGAGATTTGCCAAGGTTGCGTGCCAACATTTCGCTCTTGCTTGCCTTGTTGCGCTCTCGTTCAAGCTGTTTCTCTAGCTCGGGAATTGTTGCCTCGCTGAGGGCTGTATATTTCTCCTCTAATAGCGCCAACTTCTCCATGGCCTCAGAGGCTTGTGCAGCAGCATTTTCAGCAGTCGCAGATGCCTTCGAGGCTTTATCGACTGTCTTGCTAATTAGTTCTTCATAGTATGCCCGCTGCGATTCGAGTTGACTCGTGACTAGGTGCGTGTACTCGAGGCCAATGCTTTCGAGTTTTGCCCGAGGTACGACATCTTCTTCTTCTAAGTGACCAACTGATCTGTTTCTTGATGGGAGCTCCACCACTTTGCCGTCGCCTTTGTCCCGTATAAGCCGATGCACCCACATGTCACCGGCATAGTCCCAAACATGCTGTGTTTCTAGTTCGAGAGCAAAGCAGTGCGCTGTCTCTTTCCAGTGGTCTTTGGCATGACCACCCTTATAACGGCCACAGCCTACGTGGCCGCAAATCAGGCAGATCCACAAATCGTCTGTGCAATCACAGACGGTGCAAAGGTTTGAGGCGCCGGAGCCAAATGGCTGTGTATGAGGATTTGACGAGTCCGAGTCTACCTTAGGTGACGTGTTCGTGAATCTGCAGACCGGACATCCGGCTCCTTTCCAATTCTGAAGGCATGTGCAGTGGAAGACATGTGAGCAAGGAATAGTCATCAACCCGTTTGTTTCATCCATGCGCTCTAAGCAGACAGGACATGTAGGTAGTTCTATCAAGTTCGGCGTTGGGGGAGGAAACGGTCGAAGGCTACTCGACATACCAGCTGAGGAGGTTAAAGTAGAGAGGGCAGCGCTCGATTTTCTTGTCGGGGTTTCGAACGTTATGGTTTTGACGAATACAACATGGCATATCTGAGGCTGAAGGGTGTTAGCAAGCATGCCTTCCTATTTCATTAAAACATCACATACCTCCATGGTGTTAAAAACCTTTCCGTCAAATTCTTGACGCCATTGTTTCGCTCGGAAGTTATCTCGAAATTTTAGGAGAACGAGATACCTGTTCATCCGGGAGGTCATAACCATACGACAGTGACTTATATCACTTCTCCATTTCTCTCCTACGAATCCCATAAGATCACCTGGTGACATGTAGGCAGGAACTGCCGGAATGCAAAGAGTGGTGCAGTCGTTATCTTTTGAATCCCCAATTCCGTTTTCTGGGCCCCCGAATTCCACAAGACTTGGTGTCTCATCACCGTCTCGGTAGAAGTGCACAACGCCCCATCCAAGTTCAGTATTCTTGGTCTCGAGTGGAAGGAAATCGGCCTTGGTTGCCGTACCGGCCCCTCCGAACGTTGGCCCTAGAGAAGGGGCTGCGGATGGAGTAATTCGACTGGCCTCGCCCATGACTGTATGTCCGGTTCGTAAATCGACCGTTTCGAGACTAACACGACCAAACCTCCAGTCTTTAACTGCGTTCTGTGGGTGTATTGCGGCGCTCGAGTTCGGTGGTGGGAAGCTGTTGGCTCTCTCAAGCCACTGTCTTTCCGACAAAATTTCAATGTTCCTTTCAGATTCTTTTGCAGGCGGCCTAGTAGCTGCACCACAGTCGATTATACCGAGACTTGAAGTAGATGAATTTTGTCCTGCAGTTGTGTATGGAGATGTGTGGTTCGCAGAGCTGTACGAAGGAGATTCGAGAGCGTTCGGTACTCTGTATATTGTTCGTCGATCGGGTCTTGGGTGGGAGGGAAAGTCGTCAAAAACGCTCGCTTTGGATAGTGGAAGCCAGATGTCCTTATGGTCTGTCGTCTCTTGCGCGGCGGCTACTGGGTCGGGCGTCGGATAGAGCTCGAATTTGATGTGATAGAAGTAAGACGGCATAGCCTGTATCAGCCCGTGGCTGTACTAGTTGCTCAAAAGTTGATAAAAGCACAAGTCTAGTCGTAACTCGGACTCAAGAGATAACCGACGAGTACGACTCTGATTACTAAGGAGGCAAGAAAATAAGATGTTGGTGTTTGCGATGTTTTAGAATCATCATATGATATTGTGGAAAGGCGTGGATATAGCTTCGCAACTTTGAGTTCATGAGTGTCATTATATATGTCGGCTGCCCCACTCGTCATGAGCTGGGCTGTGGAGCATGAAGCCGGGCCTGAGAGTACCCCACCCATAATTAAGCGCAACCTCACTTACAACGATAGGCTGCCGACACCATGTCAGACATCGAAATCTGAAAGCATGAGACGAAGGAACGTAATTTCATGTCCAGCTGGGATTGGCACTTGGATGATTTTATGTTGACGCCCTAGCCTTACGATTTCACACGGAATGTTGAAGTATAATGCAGACTTTAATTGAGTCTATCGTCAGAGCATGAGTATTGCATGCGAAAAACTACATAAGGTACGATCCCGGTTTCAAATGAATCCCCAAACGCCATCGTTAACCCACGTAAAATATCTACTGGCCGCCGCGAAGTCGGAGGACAAGGTGAAGGGTAGATTCCTTCTGGATGTTGTAGTCGGACAGGGTGCGACCGTCTTCCAGCTGCTTACCAGCAAAGATAAGACGCTGCTGGTCAGGAGGAATACCCTCCTTGTCCTGGATCTTGGACTTGACATTGTCGATGGTATCAGAGGACTCAACCTCGAGGGTGATAGTCTTTCCAGTGAGGGTCTTGACGAAGATTTGCATACCACCACGAAGGCGGAGGACGAGATGAAGGGTAGATTCCTTCTGGATGTTGTAGTCGGACAGGGTGCGGCCATCCTCAAGCTGTTTGCCGGCGAAAATCAAGCGCTGCTGGTCAGGAGGAATACCCTCCTTATCCTGAATCTTGGACTTGACATTGTCGATGGTGTCGGAAGACTCAACCTCAAGGGTGATGGTCTTGCCGGTAAGGGTCTTGACGACTGAGGATGAATGTTAGTAACGAGACCTGTAGCTGTGATGTCTGGATAACTTACAAATCTGCATACCACCACGAAGGCGGAGAACAAGGTGGAGAGTTGACTCCTTCTGAATGTTGTAATCAGAGAGGGTGCGGCCATCCTCAAGCTGTTTGCCGGCGAAAATCAAGCGCTGCTGGTCAGGAGGAATACCCTCCTTATCCTGAATCTTGGACTTGACATTGTCGATGGTGTCGGAAGACTCAACCTCAAGGGTGATGGTCTTGCCGGTCAAGGTCTTGACAAAGATTTGCATGGTGGCAGTGGTATGACGCGAATACTCTTTGGGTTGATGGTATTTCGGTTGATGATGTAGATGAGTCTCGAGCGCGTGGTGATGTTTTGTAAGAGAGGTGTTGTGGGAAGAAAAGAAGACGAAGTTGAGAAGAGGCGGAGAAGGTTTAAGTAGGTAGGGGGGGGTATTGTTTGATAATCAAGGTGCGAGGGGGCGCAGTGACCGGTTTACGCCTGCCAGTGACGAACAGTAGCGACAAGGCAGGCAGGCGCTCTGGTTGCAGGCAGTGGCAGCCCGAGCCAGACAAGGAGAAGGAGCGCAGCTTCCGGGGGCGGATGATTCATAATAGGTACCTAGCCAATGATGGTGATGACTAGGTAGGGAAGGCTCCAGAACCTGGCCAGGCTGCAGCGCGCCACAGCAGGTTTCGAGTACTTCAATCATCCACTGTCCAAACATGCAAGGCGAAGTATCCGAGACATGTCACTCATTATCATGCCAGAGTGGGTCCAGGCAAAGCCAAAGGCTGAGAGTCAGACTGATGTCAAGAACGTGCTCGTTTGACGTTTCTACTCTGGTGTTTTCTAGCAGAGTCTAGAAGACTGTATGAATAAAGCCAAACCAAGAACAAGCAGTGGACACATATATGCGTCGCAGCCTCAAACCTGAGACTTTCCTCAACCGAAAGCGCATAGTGTAAACAACAAGCACATAGACCATGTTGTACCCGTCATGGGCGGTCGCATTCACTTGCCCGTCACCGTCTAATTCACGACCATTCACCCATCAGCAGCTCATGCACCAGAGCGGGGTGGCGGGGTCTGGGCAGCGGTATGTCGCCACTTTACCCCGGGAAAGGCTCTAAGAAGCAATGCTTGTCTGGATATTATTGACAAAGGCCATTGAACCAGAGAAAGCGATATCGAAAACAGACGATCTCTCTCAGCTTTATACAGCAGATCACAGTTGATCGTTACCCTAAGCCTCTGATGGTCAAGTCTTAGGTTCAGGAACCACGAGTGCAACGCGCTTTGGATCAACTTCCATTGCCGAGATAAGCTCAGAGTGGAGATGCCAGCCTCAGCAACACTAGCAAAAGATGGGGAGACTCTACGCACCTGGACGGACACCTTCCTATAATCAAGGCTTGTTTATTCCAGTAATCAGTTGCGGCCTGCTTCGCTGACCGTCTCACAGTAGAGGAGTTGACGATAACTCAAACTTCAGTTGATGAACGACCGACTTCTTCCCTCCGCTGAATCCGGCCGTATCGGCCTTTGCAACGTCATCAGCCAACAACAGGCTTGGCCCGTGAGGACCCTACCTTGAAGACCACCCTGTTCGCATCAACTTGTTGAGCTGGATGCAACACTAATTACGAGGCTGGTCAGTTTCGCACTTTTATAACCAATGTGTCCCCAAGCAATAGTATTGTATCGGCACTAGAAGATCCCTTCTTGTCGCTTGTCATTCGTCACGGTGTCAGAAGAATCGGCGGCTGGGAGCATAAGAGACGAAATAATTTGGTCACAGATTAGGCTATCACTAGGTTATTTTGTTTTAGACGCCTAAGCCTTAGGGGACAGTTATCATGTCAACCACCCACCTGCCATAACAACCCGCCTTCAGACATGGATATGACTCGATGCCAAAGGACCGTGTGGTCTTATCGTGACTCCGCCTTTCGTGGTGTTGGCTCGGTAATACCGGTAGTTCAGGATTGGCTACCCTGGATCGAACCGTCACCAAAAAGTGGTGTATGTATACAGAACTTCTGCATTCATTGCGTAAAACCAAGGGCACGTAACCGTCAGGTACACATGATTTATCACAATATCTGTCTTTGCAAGCGATTGATTGAGGTATTAAGCTACCTAGTGGCATCAAACATCTTGCGTTTCGTTTTAACTGATGCTGTTGCTGGTTGCTTGTCGCACCAATTATTAAACGTTAACAGGGCATGACAAGTCAGATAAGAAACCTGTGTTCTTCCAACAAGACACCATCTCAGCTGCTTCTGACCATGGTCTGCGTAAAGCAAACCACATTAGATTGCAGTGAAGTGGCAGTTTCGTTTTTAATGGATCGGATGAGCAGACGAGGATCATCACACTGCACAGATTCTTCGTCCAACATTGGAGACAGGTTTGCGGGTTAATATCAATTCAATATACTCGTGGCGGTGCTAGAGCGCTTGCCTAGCATGAAGCCTTTTTTTGTAACTACCCAAATATCCCTTTGTCAAACTGCTATAAAAACATGATTCGCTCTGCTCTTCTGCTCTACTCTGTCGACCATGGCTTGTCGCGAGTCCAGCCCACTTGAGCTCACCAACGCCCTCAAAGATATAAATCACTCAACCTCCATATAGGCTCTTCAGCCATGCAAAATCAGTCATCTCAAATGCCAGGTCGTCAAGCATGATCCCATAATCACCACAAAGTGGGTGAGGTTCGCTCTGGATTGTATGATATGTTCGTTCTCCTCCGCCGCCAAGATTTAAAAACAAAAAAATATGATAAAAAGAACTAAAACGCTCTGTCTTCTTCAGTCATACATTCATAGAAGAAAGTCATAAGAAGGTCATAACACATTTTCCCGTGTCAGGTTGCTTCGTGTTGTCGGACGGTGACCAGCCGTGGTAGAAGGTTAAAGCCGTATTCGTATGCTCAAAAGAACAATTCTGGGGTCGCTGTTGACCAAGATCGAAACGGCCTTGCCAACGCTGTCGCTGTGATAAAAACAATTGTGACAAAGGAAAAGGCGGGCGCCTTAAGGGCCCTATCATATGTTTTGACGTATTCATAGCAACTTGAACAGGCTAAGCTATCTTAGTTGGCCCGGATAACAAGCTTAGAAAGGAACTTGTTGGACAGAGAGTCGAAGTCGTAGCGGTCGAACTTGGACTCCTTGCGGGTACGGAGATAGGCCTCTGCGTCAGGTGTTAGTGGTGTGATGCGAGATAAAGCATTGGAAAGGATACATACCGTGCTTGATGACATGCTGTCGCACTTCAGTCATGGCCTCGCAGACGGAGGTGTTGTTGTGAAGCAAGTGACCATGCTTGCGGGTGTCCCAGTCGGTAAAGGCGGGAAGCTTCTGAGAAATGGCGTGGAATAGACCCACAATGACACCAACAGGCGTTGTCTCCATGTCAGTGCAGAACTTGTTGACGGCGACAGGGTCGGGGACTCTGTAGTGGCAGTCGAACTGCATCTCCTCCCAGACGGCAAGGAGGATGGAGGCAATCATGAAAATGGTAGGCCAGTTCTTCATCTTCTCACCGCTGTAAACACCAGAATACAGAGCCGAGAGCTCCTCAAGGATGTCCTTCTGTAACTCACGCCACATGTCGGCAAGGGCACACTTGATCTGGAAGTTGATCATGACAGGAGCGACGGTGCGACCGTAGTACTTGGAGTCCTCGTCATCGATCTGGCCATCAAGATCGACCTCAGATCCTTGGTTCTCGACCATGGTAATGTGCATGGTCAGGTTGTAAGCAAGGACGAGCTTCAGGGACTTGCGGATGACGGGCATCTTCTCCTTGACATAGAAGCGGTGAGCAGTCTTGAGGATCTCCGTAATGAAAGGAGTACCCTCGAAATGGTCGTCAATGAAATCCTCGAAAGGACCGTCAATGTGCTTGTCGAGGTATTCGGACAAAGCATCAAGACGAATACCCTCGGCACCAACATCGAGCTTCTCGGTGCGGGTTTCAAAGTCAATGGGCTCCTGATCAGTCAGAGTGGACTCGACCCAGTCGACGGAGAAGCAGCTGTCGTCGGCAACGAAGACCTCGCGGACCATAACGGGAAGTGCGAAACCGTAGCCATGAGTGATCCACATAAGAGTCTCCTTCTGGGCGAATCCCTTCACGTTGTAGACCGAGACACCACGGTCCATGTGTCGCTCGTAGTCAGCCTTCCAGTCCTTCATAAAGTAACCAATGTCCTTAATGTCGATACGAGTGCAAGGAACCTGCCAGAGACGAGCATGAGAAGGTTGGCAACCAGCGCAGGGCTCTCCCTTATCGCAAGTCTTCTTGAGGAACTTGCATCGCAAGCAAGCTCGGAGCTTCCTGATCTCACTGGCCTGCTTTCTCTGCTCGGGCAGAAGAGGTCCCTTTCTGCGACCAACCTTCTTCTCGACGGTACCATCTTTCTTGCCGTTGGAAATACGGCGAACAACGCTCTTAGTAGTGCTCTTAGCAATGGGGCTCTTGCGAGGACCCGAATTTCTACGGTTTGTGCTGCTTGAAGACGGGGATACGGATCCGGCACCACTTCCGGGGCTGTGACGGCTCGAAGAAGGTTCGGACTTGATGGGAACAGTGGCAACAGTGGTAGTGGCGACGGGTTGAGGGCTGTGATTATGGGTATGGGCGTGATTGTGGTTGTGGCCGTCGTTGGCGAAGCAATTGCGGTGGTTACCAGCATCGACATAACCGTCAGACTCGGGAGAGAAGGGGGAGTAAGGGAAAGGCGGGATCTCCTCGAAGCTTCCAAACTCCATAGAATTGGCGCCGTCGGATGAATCGGAGTTGGTTCTCAGGTGAAGGGTCTGGGAAGGGTTGAAGATGGCAGCACCTTGAGCGTGAGCCTGCTGGAACTGATCAAAGTTGGGCTGGTTCCAGTCCACCATAGCCCAGCCTTCGCCCGACGAGGAAGGAAGCGACAAAACCTCGAGATAAGTCCCGGTAGGCGAGTTGCTCCCGACACTATCCAGACGAGGCATACCATCCATCTGCAGTGTATTCTGAAACTCTTGCCAATTCTCCATGCCGGTGCTGGGCCAAACTGTTTGGGTATGGTCGTCCATAGTAGGAAGGCCGCTGAATGTCGATTCGAGGAGGTTGGCCTGGAGAGCAGCCTGGGTGGTCGCAGGAAGGTAGTCAAGAGGGTTTGTTGGCTGGAAGTTGTGGGGGAAGGCATTGAAGCTCATAAGCGCAGCATCCTGGATGAACTGTGTCATATCAGCAGCAGCCAGGTGCTGCTGCTGCTGCTGCTGCTGTTGCTGCT